TCAATTATCCAAACGACTGTAAAAACAATCGCCAAACAATTATTAATTTATTATGATATTTATTTAATTATGGTAACTGGCACTAATTGAAAAAAAAATCATTTATGTACTGAAAAGCAAAATTAATGGAGAAATGTCATTAGTTCGTTTAGGAGAAAAGTAAAAGAACGATAAGGTATTTTTGTCCCCAAAGATGCTTAATTAATTTTAGTAACTGATACTCATTGAACCAAATAAATATGTATTAAAAAGCAAACTTAATGGAAAATTGGCACTAATTTGTTTAGGAGAAAAGGTATAAATTAATGCTATTATTGATGTCAATGTTCAATTGATTGTGATAATAGGTAATAATTGAAAGAAAAAAACATAAGCTGCGAACTGAAAAGCAAAATTAATGGAGAAATGTCATTAGTTCGNAAGAAAGAAGATCAAGCATTTTTCTTTTTTAAATTTAATAAGCCACATTAAAGAAGGAACGTTGCAATGCTACACGCTACATTAACGACGTCTCCAGAGTAACTGAATGACGGTTCATATGGAAATCGCAGGTAAGCGTCTCATACAACAACGCCCCCTATAGTTCGTTGCGATCGCGAATTGTGTTGCCTTTCTGTTTTGTGTATTATCGCAATATATTTTTTAAATTCTGATCAGTTAAATTTAGATAGAAAATTTTAAAGTTTAATTATGAAGTTGGTTGTATAAAAATTGTGGAATGTTGATTGTCTAATAATGCAAAAAAGAATTTGCTGATTTCAATTTGATTAATTTGTACTCTATTTTGATTTCCGTCATATAATTAGGAATAGTGTGATTGATTTTTGTTTAAAAATGTTATCCAGCTTTGTTTAAAAATTATAAAAGGGTTTTAAAATATTTTTAATGGTACTTCTCCTTTTCCCAAGATGGCAAGATGGAACTTACGCACCTGCGAAAGTAAATTCAGCTATTTTATTATTTTTTTTATATATTTAAATAAAAAGAAAGTTGAATTTACTGTTTTTTACATTGCGACTGTATTAGACAATTGGCGACTATATTGGCGATAATATAAGAGAGAATTATGTAACCTGTTTCAATTATCCTAACGACTGTAAAATCAATCGCCAAACAATTATTAACGCAAATGATATTTATTTAATTATGGTAACTGATACTAATTGAAGCAACAAAAAAAAAATCATCTATGTACTGAAAAGCAAAATTAATGGAGAAATGTCATTAGTTCGTTTAGGAGAAAAGTAAAAGAACGATAAGCTATTTTTGTCCCCAAAAATGATTAATTAATTTTAGTAACTGATACTCATTGAACTAAATAAATATGTACTAAAAAGCAAACTTAATGGAAAATTGGCACTAATTCGTTTAGGAAAAGAGGTATAAATTAATGCCGTTTTTGATGTCAATGATATTCAGTTGATTGTGATAATAGGTAATAATTGAAAGAAAAAAACATAAGCTGCGAACTGAAAAACAAAATTAATGGAGAAATGATACTAATTAGTTTAAGAGAGATGTCGAAAATCCCCATATTAATTTAGGTCAGTGATGGATAATTAGTTTTTGAACCGAGCATTATTGGTAATTAGTGCAATTTTAATTGGTACGAAATATATTGTTTTAGGTACAATGTATTATATTAGTATATTTAGTACCGATTAAAACAAGTAATAGGTAGCAAGTATATTGTTTTAGATATAATGTATTATATTAGTATATTTGATACCGATTAAAAAATCATCAATACTGCGCAGTTTTAATATAAATACTGTGGAAAGAGGTTTTTACAGCCCCTCGTACGGGATAAGTACTAGAGAAAATCGCTTGATTGTAGTAAATTTTGACTATCTCTAGCTAGCCTCAAGAAGCAGCATCATGCCAAACGATACAGAATACAGTTAATCTTTATTTTGATAGGATGAACTGCTAAAAATATGTTTTGCTTAATCTAATAACGTAAAGTTACCGGGAAACTCAAAAATTAATAATGAAAAAATATTTTAACTATTGGTATCTATCTTTTCGTTTTGTGCCTGATTTCGTAGTGCTACTCAGAACTGATTTATTCTTAATTTTACCCGTATTAATAACGAGTGTTCAGTTAGTTTTTAGAATGAAATTTAATCTGCTGTGTATTAAAAATCTTAAAGGATCAAAGCAATAGTTTCAGGTACATTACATTTTAGCAAAGAGGAACAGCGATTACAAAAGAACTTTCTCAGCTACATGGATCTGATATGTGCTTGGCGAATGAAATATTAACGCCAATCAAAATATTCAGAGGAAAAGCGTAAAATTTTTTTTGTTCGAAATATCACAATTTCTTATTTTTACATGAGTAGAGAAATATATAATAGAGTGATTTTTACAATATGCTTCACGTTTAAAACAGCGAATAGCTCTGGAAATGAAAGCATAATAACTTATTAAATCGAAGTTCAGGATGTGGATTGGATTTGAATGTAAGTAACCACAAAATAAAAAATGACACAAAATATAATAATATGGTAACGATATTAACAATTTAGTTTTCTTACATGAATTCATTTAAAAATAGGACCTGCACACTCTTTTGCAACACAAGTAAGATTCTCATCAATGTTACTCGATGCAAGAAAGAGAATTATTACCCTATGTTATCAAATTTTAACTAAATGACACAATGGATTGTCGTGAACAATCACTTAAGCTTTTTTTTTGTCTTTTCATCATTGCCGATTTTAGAAATGGCAAACGAAGTCGTTAATTTTTCCATTATTTATTTTTTTATTCGTGATGTTATATTGTTGTCACAAAAATTTACTTATGTGGATATATATCACACACAGAGACTTCGTTTCAGACTTGTAGCTAGTAAGATTTTAAAGAACAAGTGTTGCTCGTTCAAATTTTGATACTGTCACTGACTTTTGTCTTCTTGCGCTATTTTTTATTTTACATTTAAGCTTTTCTAACATATGCTTTTCATGAGTCATTCCATACAAACCAATTAAATATTCCATGTTTTGTACTTCATTATATTTTGCCATTTCTTTTCTTAAAACTAACTCTTTATGATGAAAGTTAAAAAAAGAGCATACAAAAGTTTATTTTAAATCGGATATTTCTAAAAAAAATTCCTTTTGAGTCTTTTAAAATTTAATGAAATAAAAAAGACCTATAATATAATTCTTCCTGGTATTCTGTAGCGTTCTTTCTTAAAATAATGCGGTTGTCTAGGGGTGAAATCTTGTATCAACTGATGCAAATTCGAAGTTTTAAGTACCCTTATAGCTAAAAGATGTTCTTTAAAGGTTCTGTCATCATGTAAAATAACACTTTAAAAAAACAAACAAACTTGGAGACTTTTTCGTAAGTTTTGTCTTTCTTTATCCTGCGCCATCTATGCTAATTATGAAACTGGTGCAAAATGTCCATATAAAATTACAGCTTTATAAAAATAATTAGCTCTTGTGATCTAATTTTTTTAAATTTGAAAAGTTATTCTGCCCTGCATTGTTCGGACTCAAAAAGCATTTAAAAATTGAAAATTACTTATTGAGTTTAATAATTTTTTTAGGGAAAACTTCTCGTCATATAGGCGATTATAAAAAATTTTTAATATTTTTTTAAGGTGAAGGTAAGCGAAGTTAGTGTTAAGGTAAAGTATGAAATTTTTTCACCATTTTATAAATAATAGTCTTAAAATTAGGTTTAATATCAGACAGCTGAAATCGGAGGTCAGAAGCGGCATCCAGTTTAATGCTGAATTTGATTATGGTATATACTTAAGCTGTAAAGGAATAAAATAAACTGAGTCGCAGTTTTTGGAAAAGTGAAATTTGTTTTTAAATAATTTTTGAGAATGGTTATCAGAAAGACTTATTGCTGAACTGTAGAATTTAGTTACTTTATTTTGAATTGAAAAGTTAGACTGTAAATACTATGGCATTTTATTTGGAAATGAATATATTTTACGCAATGTATTCAACTAATTCCAATAAGAATGTATCGATATTTTTTTGAAAAAAATATTTTGATATCTTTTTCCTCTTAACGAGTATTTTACTTAAATAATCTCATAAAAATAACCTAAATATTAAATAAACAATGAATTTATTGGATATGTATATAACTAGAGGTTTTAAAAACTATTGCTGGTTTTAAAAAAAATCCCAACTCTCGGTGGAACTTTAAGGTTTGACGGAGCACTTTCTAAGAATCGCTGTCCTAGAACAAAGCTGGGATGTTTCCCGAATAAGTACGATAGTTGTCTTACGAAGTTTTGCCGTCTTGTTTAGTCTCATCCTGTATACAGTAAATATTAATCTTTTACTTACGGCTGGTATTACAGGAGTACCAGAATGGCGGACTTCATCATACTAAGAGCCGTAAGCAAAGGGCTAAGTATATTTCGATCAAATCTCGAGCTTCATAATTCGTATATGGATTGTTATATAATACAAGACAACTTACAGAACTCTATGGTGCAGTATCGCGCATTTATGGAGCAACCTTTCTTTGGTTTGATCTACATTGTTCTTGTAGATGAAAAGTGCAATTATTTTTATTAAAAAGCATAACGCATAGCAAAGAAATATACTTTTGTACGCTATTTTTGCTTTGATTCGACAATTCTGATTTAAAAAACATTGGAATTTTTTTTTTTAATCAGGGAAAATATTATTTGTTTTTTCTAGATATTTTACTTCATTCTACTGTTGTGAAGCATATAAAAATAGCACTGATTGTTTACAAATTTTAAAATTTATTCAATGAAACATATTTACTAACAACAGTGGGGATAAAGTAAGAGATAAAGTACAGTTGGTATCCCGCCAAAAACTGTTGGTATCTGTCAATCGCCGAAGTGGCAGATTCATTGCTTTATCGTGATGCCAATATTATATATATATATATATATATATATATAGCTCATGAATCTCATCAAACCTTAAAAAAATAAAATTAAAATAACTATCGTTTCTCACTTAATCGACTGAATGAGCAGAAGTTGATTTCGAATATAAAGCATGGTTTTATTGCAATTATTTCGTTAATTGTCCTGCAAACACTATATTTTTGATACATGACGTCCCTTAAATTGAAAATTGAGTAGCATTCGTATATAACATTCATATATAATTTGTAACAAAACAATTTTTGATATGTAAATAATATAATATTTTCCATTAATATATATTATTTTAAAAAATATTATTTGATAAATATATATTTTTGCAAACGTCCGGACGGACGCCAACACGGACAAATGCCAGTTCTCTTCTTATAAGCATTCTGTACAAGTTGTATTGCTTTAAGAACAAGAAAGTATGTGCATAGATAGAGAAACGTGATTGCAAATAGATAGTATAACTATTCATAAATAGATGTACATAAATATTTTTATACAATATATTATTTGAAAATATATGCAACATTCAACAATGTATGAGAAAAAACATTTTACTCAGAATTAAAACATATATAGATATATTTATATAGCTCTTGAATTATGGGATGTTCGTTGCTCCAAATTCATCCAAATTAATTTCAAGTTAAATTAGGTTATATCATTACAATTAACTGTAATGTATTGTATTTGTATGATCATTTCATTTCTGAAATTTTTACTCACTAAGCTGCATTAAGATAGGTTTTTCTTCTTGTAATTATCAACTTCAGTTTATTGCATGTGACTTATTGCCTCGCTGAAGGTGGGCAAAATTAAAAATTTTAAATTCACTTCAAAAAATTGTCTGTCGAAAATATGAGATCGAATTCTAATTGACAAAAAAAATGTGTTTATAATCCATTCAGCTATTCGGAATCTCTGACGAGGTCTTAAGAAGTCGTGTCAAAGGGAATACAAATTTGTAATGAGAAAATCTTGATTTATGCAAATCGCGTGGTTATCGCGAGGTTATTGTACTATTTAACTACTATTAAAAGTTTTAATAGTTTCATTTATTCTTTAATGTTTGAACACTTAGAAAATCTTCAGAACAAATGACTAGTGAAAATGTGAAAAATTTCGATTTTTTTTCTTCTGGCTCCAAGAAAGTCAGATGTTTGAGAATCACTACTTAACATGTTTTGTACATTCTATTCCACAATTAAGAGTTAGTATTCCAATTTTTTAGTTTATAAAAAGGATTTTTTTCGAGTTTTATTTTTTGAACCAAAATAAATATATATAAAGTTCAAGAAAAGGAAAGAAGTAACTTGATGCGTATTATTGCGATTGAATGAGATGAATTTTAGAATTTGGAGCACGAAACGGTTCTAAATAGAAAACTTTAATTATTCTAACTACATTGGACCCCTATGCAGTAGTGGTTCAAGGGGTTGTATACTTTGAGGGGGTATTTTCATTTCTTTTATTTCAAACAGAAGCAGCAGCAGAGCATAATAAACAATTAAAAAGAATTATTTATCGCTATCCAAAATTTAACTGTTAAAGTAATGCTCAACTCGCAGCTTCTGTAGGAAAGAAATGGGCTGATCGCAGTTCACATTGATATTAATTCAATAAAAAACTATTGCAGAAAATACTACATATTATTGCAAAGAAGTTGCAATCCACAATAGAGTAATTCTAAGAAGCACACATTTGTAAAACTAAAACAATTATTAAATGATGATTAACTCTCAGAACTCATAAATAAGACATAAATTTGAAAGACCTTAAATTAGATCTGCATATTATGATATGGCAATGCATGTCAATAAGCTTAAATAAAATGGGTATATATATGTATGAAACTCTCGTACAGCAATATATTTCAATGAGTTCAAATAAGATTTGTAATAACTCTTTGGTATAGCAACATACATCAAATAAGTTTCATATAATTCTTTGGTATGGGAATTTGAGCAAATCCAATGAAAGAATACCCTTCTCTTATCTGGAACTTTTATTATCACACATTCAGAATACGTTACTCCTTTGGCGTTAGATTTGGCAATCAAATTGTTTTCTTAGATTGAACAAATCATAAATTTAAACGAATGTTGATTTTTTGTTGGAGTATATCAGATTTATCTTTAAAACTGCCATTGAAGTAAAGATAAACCTGACATGATGAAAACAAGCTATTGTTGAATCGAGGCTAATTCTCTCGTCCAGCCTCTTGACAAAAGCTCATACAGTATTTATTATATGTCTGTACACTATCTGGAATATGTTTTAAAAGTGTGTAGTGGGCCAATCAAGCACCCAGAATCCTTTTCATGGTGTAGCCAGGGAAGGAATACACAAATAGTAGAATGATGAGGACTAGGGCTGCAAAAAGTATAGACTTTAGGATGACCCATTTGTAATTGTGCCAGATGATGTAACGGATAGACTTTAGAGGATTTAGGAACCAAATAAATGTCGAATCAGGTCGACTGAAACATAAGAAATAAAAATATTGAAATATTTGTGCAATTTATTTTCTTCAAATCAATAAATATGCCCAAGCAAATTTAAAAATGGCAGCGTCTGGTGCAAAGAATATGTTATATAGTTGGATGACAAAGAGCTCCGACGTCAACGTCTTGGCGTCTTTTGCATATTCTCCGAATATAAATTTTTAAGAGTTTAGGTGAGAGAGCTTGAGTAGAGGGTGCATTATGCTCAGACGTTGACTTTGGGGCTCGTTGTGAACCTATCCTTTTATAAAAATTACATAAGTTATAACTTTCTGTTAGAATATAGATAGACTTATTTTCTTGCACAATATTAAAGTCTACAGTTTTTTTTTAAAAATCACTAAGCTTTGTAGCTTTAAAAATACATGAAAAAATGACGTTTTTTTAAGATAAAATTAATTGATATAAAATCAGGGTTTAATCAACATTCTATTTTATTTTCAATGCATCCAGTATAAGTGCGCCTAGTCGCATAGCGTTAATGCTAAAAGTATCAATACTTTTAATAAATTTAAAGTCGATTGCATTCTGCTCATGCAATTAAAAATTTGAAATATCCTTTTGAAAATGAAGCATAAATTAAATTTTGGATCCAATAATTATAAAGTTACCAAATGTTTAAAATTTACGATCGACCATTTCCCGAAATACAAAGTATCCATGTTTCTAAACGTTTTCTATAATGCTTGATTACTGTAAAACACTATACCCATGAATTACATAATTTCATTGAAAAAGAATTACGGGATTTCGTAACCTCATAATCATAACTATTTTTTTTCAATGTGCAGTGAAAGCTATTATTTTTATTTTCTGTACCATTCACTTTGCTCGCTCTAGCATTTCATTAGCGGTTTTCCCTTTTTCAAAATTATTCCTTCAGTTTGAAAGCAACCACTACCGGGAAAAATATCTAGATTTGTTGGTAATTTATTGACTTTTACAAATAGATGATTTGTAAGCTCTCTCGGATTAACAGGATTTAATACCGCGGATGGAGTTTCTCCTTATTTCCCAAATTATGAAATGGACGATACGGCCCGATTCAGTGGTCACAAATTAACATCAAGGTTCCGTGGTCACCAATTTCATTATAATACGGTTGGTTACAATAATACGTTTTCAACTTAATCACTTTTGCTGGCTATTTTGTATAACAGTTAGCATCACGAAAGACTTTTATTTTGAATTATATAAACTTTGTCACAATAACAAAGCAACCAATTTGTTATCCTTTATCCAATTAATTATTTAATTTGTTTATAACTCGTAATTTGATGAAAGCAAAAGAAAATTGTTTTATTTACAATCTTAAGGGTTTATTTTGGCTAGTAAGATGAAAATATGAATTTTTTTATAAAATTAAATAATTTTAATCGAAAATTCAAATCAGCTGTTTTTGTAATTCTAATAGATATTATTATACATAAACATTCATATTATTATACATATAGTCAAATTATTATACACAAAAACTAAATTACATGTCTTAATAAGAAATATGCATTAAAACTTACTGTGGCTTGTCTAATGGGTCCGGCTCATTTCGACCTAATCCTGCAGGATTTTTCTCGGCTTCTTCTTTGGATAGAAGGTGAAGCTCAGCTTCAACTTTACCCTTAACCACAAAATAACAAGTTTTAGTAAAACATAGTACTAAAGATTCTTTTCACATTAATGTATTTACATTTTATAGAGAAAAGTTGAAATTGATTACAGTTTCGGTGCATAGTGACTGATACTGTTACTCTTTGAATTTCTATTCAAATAAAATGCAGAATCTCTAAAACAGTATTTATGTAACGTGTATTTCAGCTCGTATTTTAAAAGAACAGTTTAATTTCAACTTATTAAAGCTTTTATAGCTTTAAGCTTTTAAAATAAAAAAATTTATTTGAGGAAAAACTACGAGTTTGGCGAAATTTTAGGGCACATAAATAACTTTTTCAAGTTCGCTTCCAACAATTTTTCTTTGAGACCTTATTCTGATATTATTCAAATGATTTAAATAAAATTCATAAATCGATAAGAAAATATTTATTCAATAGACATTTTGAAACATGTTTTGAAAGTATAATTTAATTTCAACATAATTAAGCTTTTGTAGCTTAAGTATTTATTTTGGGATTAAACAGCGAGATTGGAAAGATTGTTCGATTGTCCAAGACTTGCTTGCTTCCGACGGCTCTTCTTTAAATCTTTTCTTTTATTAGCTGAATAACAAACGTGAATCATGAGAAAATATTTATTTAATAGATACTCCAATGTCTCTTAAAAGTACTATTTAAATCCCACTCATTTACGTCTTTGTTAATTTAAATGACGTTTAGAAACTAATTAAATCTTGCAGTTATTATAAATAAAACTTTTGGTATTTCCCCCATAGCTTTAAGTAAATATGGTTTCAACCTAATTATGCCTTATAATTAAATATTCGGCTAATAATTCTGGCTTATGCGAAGTGCTATTACCTAATTTCAGATTCTTTAGGAGGGAAATAGGCTTTGTTTTGATTATTATTTTTATCAACTTCAGCGAATTTCGTAATTACCAAAATTGTCACGTTTGCTGCTCAAAGGCGAACACCACACTCTACATTGATAAGGTGAATAATGCTGCCAAAGTAAAATATTCGTTATTGAACGAAATCGTTTATCTTTTCAACGAAATTTTTTGTCAAACCAAGTTTGTGATTGGACAAATTATTTTAATTTTTATTTTTTTTTAGGAGAAAAGTATTAGACTATAAAATAGCATATATTGGAATTATTAGACAATATGGAAACTATTAGACTATAAATAGAAAGGGAAGAACACGTTTAACTTTCATCGCGTGAGACTATAAAATACACATTTCATTCATTACTTTTTTTTCAGCAGACTCTGAAAAGATTCGATCAATGCAACTAATCTTGGTCTCTTCTAAGTAGAATAATTGTTCCAAATTGATTATGATGTTTAATTGCAACAAATGAAAAATATTCTGATTATATTAAGTTGTTGCCCTTGTTATAAAGGTCATACATAAATACTTGAATAATAAGATAGTTGTGTCGATTTCGATGTTTTATTAGTGACTTACCATAAAAAGTCTCGTATCTTAAGTTCAAAGAATGCTCTTATCATTAACAGCTGAGAGTATTTAATAGGGATAGATTTCATAAGGATTGTACTAATTTGTATATTTTGTTGTACGTTTTTTTCACTCAATGCGGAATTGTGACTAAAATTTATGCAAGATTTATATCGTTCATAACTATTTGCATAATAAAATGTTTTGAAGAAAAAAAAAAAAGACAGTAAAGCAATTGTCGGTTACGAAAAATTAAAAATAGATTGCTCCGTGAAAGAGTTGCGTGTGTTCTTTTAGCAATATTGAGAGTCTTTTCCTACTTATGGTGTTTTCTCATTTTGGTGACCAGAATTTGTAGCACAGATTTTGTGACTTAGCGTTGCACTTTTATTTTTTTTAAGTCTAAGGTTTATTTTAATAAGCTCGCAAACCCCAAAGTCTGAAAGGAGAACATTTAGTGTTGTACTATTGACATTTAGAAGCATTTCTTATCATTAAAAACTCCCGTTGACAAAAAAAAAATGATTGCATTCCTGTAAACCTAGTAAACCTGGGGAGGTCCTGCAAACCTGGTATGATATTTTATACATAATACTATTTTATAAAAATCTAATAAAAAAAAATCACAGTTTTCTATTGGAAATCTGTTTTTTTGTCATATTCACTGATTTTGGGACACATCTTACACAAATTTTGGGACAACCTGTGTCATATGTCATAAGAAACATGACCTACCGTAAGTTCCATCTCGTCATTGTCTTTCTTGATAAAGAATGGCCACCATCCTTTTATCCTTCTCTGCTTGAAGAGGGACACTTGAGGTACACTGCCATCTGTTTTGAGCATATCCAGTGTACACAGTTTAGAGGACTTGGCACCGCGAGGAAAACGATTGAGGTCTAGCGTTATAGCTCCTGAAAAGAATATAGCACATATTATTATCGATGGCACTTCGAATTTAAATCAGTCAGAGAATTTGACAAGATTTTCTGGAAACATTGTGTATTTTTAAAATAATTTCTTCTAACATATGTTCTACGTAGTATTGGCGATAAAAATTCTAAAATATTGAAATTATTTAAAAACAATTTTACGTCAGAGAAAATATTAAATTACATGTAATATTAATCATTAATAGTATAATTTTTAGGCTAAAGTAAAATGCTTTTTGACACGTTGAATGCCATGGGGTTACCTGTGACTGGCACTGAGTTTGTTCGTAGCGTCACGGGGTCCCCGGTGACCGGCGAAGCCAAAATTATTAGAAACACATAATTCGAGTAAATTTTTAATGCTTTTAAAATTTTTATATTATTATCGTTACTAAAATGGTTTGAAGAAATTAATGCAATATAGAGCAAGCAAAAATCATTTTGGCCAGGCGGGCAAGCCATGTAAAATTAACGTGGCATTCAACGTGTTAATTTAATCTTTTTGAATATGTCAGAAGACATATTTAATTACTTGTAATTAAAAAGCATCTTATTAAAACCTCCGTAATTGTTCAGTATTTTTATAAAGTACAGCGAGTAAAAAATACAGAAAAATCGGATCACCCTGATTTATTTTTGATCTAATGATCAAGTTTTCACGCTCTAGGACTCAATCTTAATGGTTCGAGGGGATGACCTCCAACAAGATAATTAATTAGGGCAAACGATATTTAAAGTTATGAAATCAGACCCAAAAATAGACTTACTCTGAATAAACACACCTTTTTCGACTATTTCGGATTTCTGACCCCCCAAATATAGTGTATAGCCCTAATCTGGGAAATAAGGTCCTAATTGTTTGGTCCAGAGAGCGGTTTAAGGTTTGGAACGCTTCTACGTTGATTTTACTTTTTGCGTATTTCGCCATATCTCGAGAACTTTTTAAGCGATTTGAAAATTTTTTGCACACAATTATAAAATTCGTATATCCAAAGATAATTCTATGCAAAATATGAGTTTAGTAAATATTTATTATTTTATTTAATAATAGTCGAAAAAATTTTGTATTGTGAGGTATAAAATTTTTTATATCATTTTAAAGATCATTCATATAATTTTACATGGCAAATTTCAAAATTTGAGTGAAATCAATGAATAGTTCTGGAGATACTGAAGTTTATAAAAAAATCATATTTTGTGCCCTGTATATGTTTACAGCTAGAAAATGTATACATAAAAGTTTCTTGTATCGAAAATAAAAATACAGCTCTCAAGATCCATAGTTTCTAGCTTTAGATTATAAATAATACACCAACTTGTCTATTACAAGGCCTGTTTTAACGAAACTGCATTATTAACAAAAATTTATTATTCCGTAGTTAATTTAATGTTAAAGAGCCTACCTATGTAAAACTTCGTCAATATGAGCATAATTCAGATTAAAATAGTAATTTTATTGGAACTTTCTTAAAATTATTTTATAGAAGTCGTCAGAAAAAATATTGACCATTCGAGAAAATTCCGTTCTTTTCGAAACCATGCAACTATAACGGCAACTGTTGATTAGAAGCAAATAACTCTTCGAGATGAGGAATAACGATTACAGGTAACATTAGTACTAAGTAAGGAGTCACTTGTTCATGCAACACGTTTGGCCATCCCTCTTTTAGATTAATTTTTGAAGAATTTATGTTTTTAATTGGAGAATGCTAATACTTCCATTCTGTTGACTAATTAAACGTAGTAATTTTACATGTCAACCAAGAACATAGTTTTGCATTTCAAAATGTAAAATATGAGCAAAACTGGTCAAATAGTTCCTGTGAAATCAAATTTCAAAAATTACAACATTTTTAAAAAAGGCTTTTTTCAAAAAGAGAAAGTTAAATTAGTAAAGTTTCCTAATTCGCCGAAAAACAGGTATGTTTATTCAGAGAAAGTAGATTTTTGTGTATGATTTCGTAACTTGAGACTTCGTCTACACTAAATAATAAGCATATTTGAAGTCACCCCCTCGAACCATTAAAATTATGTCCTAAAACGTGGAGATCCGATAATTAGATCAAAAGTTATTTAGGATGGTCTGTTTTTTTCTGCGCACTGTGCATTATTTGTACGTGAAACTTTAGTTTTGATTTTATTGTTTGATGAACTATATATTTCATTAAAAAATTAATCAAGAAATTAAAAAACTGAAATTATATAAACAGATATAAAATAAATACTTAACATCTAACATTTTTGTGCGAGCATAAGAAAGTTTAAATTCGGGAGTAATATATTTCACTCAAGAGGGAAAAAAAAAGAGATAAGCTTAAATCTTTTGGGTTACCTAAGAAATCATCTGCGGAAAAGTGATCCGCATCCCACACTTGAAGTTCCAGCCTAGCTGGAATCTTACATTCTGTTTCGTCCCAGGAGAAAAGGGATTCTTTTCTGGATATGACGATTTTTTCTTCAGCCGGCAAGTAGTCAAACGGATAAACGAAACGCCAATTGAAATTTCCTTCCCCGGTCAGTGAGCTGCAATAAAATAAAATAAATAAATATTTAGCTAAGATAATTTAACAACAAAAAAGCCATTATTCTTGTAATAATATTACGTGAATATAATTATTAAAAGAAAATGTGCCCTATTTGGTATGCACCTTTATACTTTATGTGTGTTTCTGTTGTTGTGATAAATTTGGTATGGCACATAAAGTTTGGTTACATATGCTTATAAAAATAACTGATTGCTTATAAAAATAACTGATAAATAAGCTTTGCTAATAATTGCCTAAAATGTTGTTTACAAAATGTAATTTATTTAGTTGATAATTATTTGTAAAAGCAAATTAATCGGCTAAATGTTCGTTTTCTTATTCTAACTTTCGTTTTTTAATCTAAATTAATTATTCTAACCACGTATAGTGATTAAAATATTATTATTATAGTAATAAAGATAATAACTAGTTGATGAAATAAGCTGAATGAAAGTTAATCATTTGACTGATGAATTATTTAAATTAAAAATGTTAGTCTAAATATTTAATTTACGACAAAAAGGTAATTTTTTATTATGTAAGCCATTATATTTAGATAATCAGTTATTATGTAGACTAATCAATTCAACAATATCATGTGTAGCATGGTGAAGAGCCGACAGATACCTTTCAACCGGCAATATATAATCGAATGGAAGCGGATTAAAAGAAAGTCTATAATTACATTGAAACACACAATTTGTTTTCGAACATTCAAGAGTTTATTTCTTGAAAGCCGTGCTGAAAAGAATAGAAGCGGAAGAATAGACAACAGGGGCTGAGGTTTCGATATGTTTTGAATACGCTTCTTGAACATAGGGTTTTTCAGAAATAATATCAGAAAAATCTTATTGTAGACATAACCATGCTATGTCAACCAATCTTTAATATCGTATTATAAAAATTGCACTTTCGTCAAACTTTCGTAATATATAATTATGAATTGAGATACGATGCTCAGTCCTTAAATGTTCCATGTCTAAGGACCATACAATGTGAATTTTTTTATCTTCTTATTTTTACCCCGTCAGTGATTATACTTACTCAATATGAAAGTTCGAAACTTGCATCGTCCTACACTGTATATTCGACGTCTGTTTTTATATAAAATATTACCGTAATTTAAAAACACGCTTTCGGGCTTTAATTGTTAGAGAAACATTTTATTCTCAGAGAAACATGTTTGATTTGACTGTAATTTACTGTGTTATATTTTGAAAAAAAAGAACATTTAGACTTTAGACTATATTTTAGACTTCTGTCAAAAATGTACTGATGTTTTTATATGTCATTTTGAATGAATCTTTTAGTATCAATTTTACCATTACCAAATAACTATGATAGTTATCAAATGAAAATATCTATAATGATTTGTCACACGAAAAGAAAAATCGGAGTGGAATCATAAAATAGGTACAAAATAGAAACTTTGAACTGTTTTTACTTCTACCTTAATGAGGTTTGTAATTGAATCACGTTTCCGTTCAAACTGAACTATAGTATCGTATAAACAGGCTTAAGACGTACGTTACATGGTTCAACTTTGCTCCACTGTATTAATTTGATTATATTGTTCAGAAGATTCATTACTAGCGTATAATGATTCAACGCTGTCTAAAATTTTTAGCATTGTACTTTTAAAATGTAAAGGTTATCCCGAAAATCACACAAGAAGCAATTTTGATACTAAAACACAAGTTTTAAACAAAAAATTAGGAATTTCTTATTAATCCATCAAGAGTGCAGGAAAAACTCATGTATGGTAGGGTACATTGAATAAAGCAAGGGAACTGTTGCAACATGTACAATTTTTTTTTAGAAAATTTGAAAGCCTGTTTAGGCAAAAATGCGACTGTTATATAACATTCATTTTCCTCCTTGAAAGCACAGATGATCGTTGGTTATTGAACATAATCCTTATAAAAAGTCGAAGAATGTTAAATTGCATAAACTGGGCTGCACGTTTTTTCGTCAAAATAGGAAATTCATCAAAATGGCATGACCAGGAAATAACAATGACCAAACATGGCTCAACAATCAGACCGCGTTGCTCTTTCGTGTAGTATGTTTATAAGTTTATAAGTCTAAACTATAAGCTGTCTCATTTTTTTTGGTAAGGATTTTTAGCTCCTTTTTTGGAGTCAAATTCAAATCTTATGTGAATTTTGGGACAATCTTTATATAACAACATTTATGTTAAAAGGTAAGCTAAATTCATAAAAAATTGTTTTAAAAATTTTGAAATAACTTCCGATTGTGCAAACGAGTGTTGTTAATGTTCGTTACCTTAATCATTATTTTAGATAATAAAAGTAATTATATTTATATAGAAACATAATTTTTTTTCACATGTTAAATCTTTGATCTGTTTTAAAATAGATGAGTAAAACAAAAGGAAATAACTTACCGATAATGAATATCCGTGCACTGAGTGTCTTCCGGACCTTTGAGCCATCTGATGATGATAAATGTAACATATTTAGAAATATATATTTACATTAATAATTTATGTAAGTAATGTGAAACACAGAAAAACAACAACACATACCCTTTTACATAAATGTCTGACATCTTTTCGCCTGTAAAGAAGGCATCATCTTCTAAAACAACATCGTCTGTGTTCCAGATGATTACTCGCAACTCGTAGCTGGTGCATAAAAAGTAGAACATTATTATCAGTGTATAACAAGCAATAAGGGCTATTCATTAATTTGTTCGGGGCTTCAGAAGGCTATAGTGAAAAAACAGACAAATACTGCAAAAAAATTACATTACTGTTAAACACAGAAAAAGTGCTTTTTTGCTTATCGCCCTTATAGATTTTCTTTGCATGAACCCTGGGTGATACGGTATATATAAAGACGATAGTCCAATTTCCACCACAATCAAAATGCGACTGCCAACAATATTACAGCGTTTAAGATCGTTTCACGGAGTTCCAACATATCATACGGTAAAATAGGTAAGAAAACAAGACCCACAGAAAATGAAACATGTAATATAAGTCCAATGGACGAGGTTAAAGAGTTAAGTCCTCTTCAGAATTATAAGGCGCCTTTGTCTTCTGGTTCAAGGCTCGTTCTCTGAGCCCGATGCCACCAACACCACTGATACACACAATAAAGAGCTTCGTTCGCCCTTGGACGCTATTTTGATTTCTTTATTAGTCGGATGTATGCTTCCAACTATTGCCAACTGTTTTTACAAAATACTTCCATTGTTCCTGCATTTAGCATAAGACTCGTTTTAAATGTATTTATTTCAATAAATTTTTTTTAAAAGGCCTTCTGTAACTCGGATGAGAATTATGAATAATCCTGTATATTAATTAAAATACATTTCTTTTATACTAAATGTCAAATACAAGGTGCATCCAGAGAATGTAAGCATACAACAAAGTAAGAAAAGGATGTAACTTTATTTATGATAATGATAGTTAGTCCCAATACACTTATGAACAATTCATTAAAGCATGTGAAAGGAATCTGTAAAAAATTAAATTTTTGTTTTTTATTTTGAGGTCAATTGAAGTACATGTGTCACGTGTCTTGAATGAGAGTCGTTCAAATTGGCAATAAATGTTAAGCTAACCTAAGTATTTGTGAATGATCTGCCATTGTAAAGTCCTTATCTCTTCGACATCCATTGTTGATGTTGAAACAGTATCGTTCCTGACACGCTTGTTATCATCATTTGCATCAGCATTTGAGTGTTAAATCTACTGATTTCAACCAAGGTATCCCGATTGCTAAATTTGCTTCAAGTTTGAAGTCCGTTACGGCGAAGAACGGAAATTAAAAGTTAGCAAAGGTACCCAAAATTCTAGCACCAAGGTATCCAAAGGTATCCAAAATTCTAATTCCGTAAAAACGTTCTCCCCTTGATTCCTTGAGATAACGATTACAGAAAAATAGCCAAAATTTATTTCTTATATAAAAGTCAACCACACCTTCGTTTAATGTTTTGAATATTAGGAAAACTTTACAAAAAAGCATTGCGATTGTAATTTTTAAAATTACTTTTTAAGAGAGCAATCACACAAATTGATATTAATGCTGAAAGCAATAGCTAAGCTTAACCGCACGGTAAGGAAGCATTGTTCAGCGGCTTTCATTTTGGCCGTTCAGATTCAGCAATCTAGAAATATCTGGTAAGTTGTCAAACTGAACGTGGTTCATTCACATGAAGTAAATTTTTTAACTCACGTTGCTTTTTGAGATATCATTAAATTCCTCAAACTATTTAGAAGCATTTTGTTCATTGCCTTTAAAAACTATCAAAAGTGCATGTAAAGATTTAGTGTTTGAATCAGTAAATGCTGGAAAGAAACTTACAATAAAATGGTAAATGGAGTGATTAATAACTTTAAGGATTAATAAATGAAGAATACACTTCGTTATAAAGGCGAATATCACCATAAAATTGGATGTCAAAAACGTTACGCTAGACGTACTTGAATTTTAATTACCTGTTTGGTTTTCGTGGAGATATATCAGTTGGCGGTTTAGGCAAAGGCATATCCATTGCAAACATATCCACCCACATTTCGAGTTTGCCCTAAATGATAAAAAAAGTAAATGTAAGAACTGAGTATTAAATAAAGGTATTACGTATTTGATCTATTTCAACCATGTTACTCCCACTGTACCGTTATGTTTGAGAATCTTATAGTGTGATCGATTTCAAAATACATACGAATGTAATAGATAATACTTTTATTAACAATAAACAGCACCATCTATAAAGGATGTCAAACTTTTTTTCCCCATATTTTTGACTCCTCCACCTCTTTGTCATAAAAGTGTCACACTCGTCATACGACTCGCTATATTATATAAACGTACACTAGCAGGTTCGAAACAATACACATGTTATAGATAATGTCTCAAATTTTATATTTATACTTCAAATACTTTTTAAGGAAATTTGTGAGCATTACAATAGTAAAGATTGTATGTAAATCAATTTTGATGAAAAAGATGAATAAATATAAAAAAATAATAATATGAAAATATTTAATCTGGTGATTTTAAATATTTCTATTGTAACTAAAATTTGGGATGTTGCACTTTCTGCCCCCTTCCTCTCATTGTCATAAACTGTTGCGATTTCAAGAACCCTTTCCCCCTTCTAGCACATCATTCATTGGTGATCTCTAGGTATTATTTATCAAACTAGCAACCACATCGCCAAGCAACCACAGCGCCATTTGAACAGGCTGTAGATTCTCAGACTTTGGACAGAATGGACCTTCCTTTTCCTCCTTCTCGTAATTATTCAAATTTATGTTTGTCCGTGTGCTATTTGTTATTAATAATAAGATTTGGCACTAAGCTTTTCTCCGAGATCTAGCCAGGGCCACATCAGTAAATAATAATGAAAATAAACAAATCGTAAATTTTTTTTACATAATGCTTCTAAAATTAAATTTCCTTCTTCAGTTTTTTATTATTTTTTAGTTTTACTTATTTGGGTAGATGAAGTGCTCTTAACTCGTAGCCCTCATGATTGTTATTGAAAAGGAAAAGTCTGACAGTGCGTGAATAACGAAATATTTATTATTGCTTACTGAATCTAATTAGTTTTAAGATGATTACATTCAATTTAGATTTTGACAAATTATTTTACTCGATAAATCAAACTTTACAATGCAAAAATCATGCATTTGGTCATGAAATTGTGGATCCTCAACCTCCATGACCCTTCCCTTCCTGGCTCATAACAGGCTGCTGCGGTCATGATTTACTTCTTAATTAATTAGCATAGTTAAGATCTACCTTTCGATTTAGGAAGAATTTTCTCAGAGCGAGAAATTTCGATCACTAAATCAAAAGTTATTTTAAGTGTTTCGTTTTATTTTCTTTTTCTTTTACACGAGAAGAAGTATTCAAGTGAAATTCAACTTTATTACATGTTTTTTTTAAAACTTACTTGTTCGATGCCGGGTTTATCTGGATGGTAAAGAGGCCTAGTTTCGACATGTTCAGGTACTAATTTGTACTCGGCTTTCGGAATCTCATGCCACCGGTGCAGAACTGCTAACGCCATGTGTTCTTCATGTAGTTTGTCCGCTGGAAAGAACGATGAAATTTAATGGTCAAAAAATAAATGTATCCTAAGTTTGAGGTATAGGCCGAGGTCAAATGATGATTGAAAACATACCATCTGTGTCCCCATCAGTTTGAAAAGTGAATGCTTTGTTTCCTATTCTTATTCTATTGGGCATCATGTAAGGTCCATCTAGTTTCAAATCTTTGCAAAGTTTTGCAAGAATCTGTGTTGGTTTTAATGGATCTCTCCATTGGTTTGGACCAGACCTGATAGGAAAGTATTAAAAAATCTTATAAATATATTTCTGATCATCCCTTTGTATCAATGGTTACAATTACAGTAAAAGTAATATTGCATATAATAATATTTCTGGTCAAAATCTAACAAAGTGAAGGATTAAATAAAGAAATTAAGATAAGAAAATAAAATCAATTGTGAATAATCGCAGTGAAATTCTAAGTCAAAATAAAGTTCGTGTAGGAGAGACGGGGGGATAACATCATCAAATTTACCTAAATAAAACTTATTTTTTACTTTTTTTTATTTTAATTAAAAAATAAGTAAAAATTATCAGTAGTAAATTAACAATAATGATATAAGCCTTTGCTTTTCGTGGAGAGAGAAATTTTTTTAGTTGTAAGTTCAAAGATTTCAGAAGGAAGGGGAATATCATCTTTAAGGGAAAGGAACATTTATTTTTTATTATTAGATTCTATATAAATTATGTTCGTTTTTTTTCCTTATTAGAATCAATATACTTAAAATTTTCAGTAAAAGTCTTCGTAAAAATTTATTTGGTAACATTCTAGAATTTATAGTTTTAAGAAGGAATGGGAAATGTCAATCCTAGAAAGAAAAAGAAATTACTAACTAGATCTATATATAAATTAACTATCACCATTTAATTAATAAAACTCTAAAGCAAAATTAAAAAAAAAACATAATAATTTTACCTGGGATGTAAAGAAAATTTTTGGATGTTTTCCGGAGAGGGGTGGGGGTAATGTCATCCACAGTACTATGGATTATTTTTTATTCTCTACTAGAATCCATATAGTTTGTATTCCAATATTTAATTGCTTAAAAACATAAAAAAATTTTAAAATGTTATTTTTGAGGTATTTAAATATGAATTTAGAGGGAAGGGGTAATGTCATACTCAAGGCATATGAACTATTTTTATTCATTACTAAGATCTAGTCATGTTATATTTCATAATTTAATTGCTTAAAAATTGAAAAAAAGTAATGTGTTAAAAAATATTATTGGCAATGTACCTAATACGTATGGTTTTAGAGGTACGGAGGAAGGTAATTGTCCTCCTCAGGGAAGATGGACAGTTATTTTTTTACTAGAATCTGTGTGTGTTATTTTCCAGCATTTCATTGATAGTAAATTAAAATAAAATATGGATTAAAATTATAGTTTTAGAGGGAAAGATGAGGTAGCGCACCCTCAGGAAGTGGAACTTTTTTGTTTTGCAATGCTAAACTTCAAATGAGTATTTTGTAAACTTTCAAAACTTTATAAATTTTTACCATAATTTTTCCTATTTTGAGTATACTATATGCCAAATATGTATGCTTTTATTTGAAGTTATGTTGTCTTCAGCAATTAATGAGACAACTTTTCATTTGAGCTATTTTTCTCTCATTTCATTCTATAGAGTGTGTCCGAAAAGTAGGAATGCAGTCAAATTTGGGAAATACGCATTGATAATTGGAATAGAGGTTTTTGCAATTGATCATCCAAATTTATCTAGAAGTGTTTGAAATTTGAGCATACAGATGGAGCCACAATAGCCAAATGAGGTGGGGTCAAAAAGCGTTTAACATAGAGATCTCCCGATTAACACACGTTTAAATTATCATCAGATATAGAACTCCAGTTTAAATTTGATCCTTTAAGCTGGCTAGAAAGTGTCCGAAATTTTTGTTCACGATATTATATATCTTTTCGATAATTGAACAAAAAATTTTGTTCGTTACCCCTAAAATAATCGAAACTTGTGATGGCACCCAGCACAGAGCTTATATTTAGTTTTTAATGCATGAGTTAGTTTTAAAGAGGTCAAAATTTTGATTGTCGATTAATTCCTTTTAGTATTAATATCTCGATAACTTTCAATAGTAGTGGTAAAAAAATTACTGAAAGTTGTACTGTCGTCGAGGACAATACTCCGAGTAAAATTTGAACGCTATAGTTAGCTTAAAAGAGATCGGAAATTTTACACATTCTAAATTCCCTTTTGTAATAATATCGTGATAAACATTTAGATCCGCCAGGGAGTGAATGAAATTTGCATTGTCACTGGCCATGAAGTTTCAGTAGAAATTGGAGTGCTCTAGATAGTAGTCGGGAAGCGGTAGAAATTGTGATCTCAAGATTTTTATTTTTCACATGAAGAGTTGTTAAAAATCTTATAAAGCAAACATATAGAATTAATAAAAATAGAAATAAACTTTCCAAGCAACGTAAACTTTAATTTTCAACAACTTTTATGCAGCTAAGAATTTTTAAGCAATAAGGGTTAAGCCTTACGAAACATTAAAAAAAAGTTTTACGTTTCATATTTTTGAGCTAAGCCACAAGTTGGCCGGTGTCGACTATAAAATCTGTTCTCCAGATCTATTTTGGTTTCACCAATCAAATCATCCGATCCTAAAAGATCCCAGTCGTAGATCTGAACATTGAGCAATGAATCTTGAGGAAAAGTTGCTTCAAATTCAAAACATCTGTAAAAGTAAAAAAGTAAAGCAATTATATCATCCGAGAGATAAACCATTGGTGAATAACTATATTTTTTATCTTTTGATAATCAAAATTTCTAAATTCAAAAACACTGGTAGAACATAGACTGATAGAAATGGCTGTATATTTCAGAACAATCAATTGGCAGATACTTATGACTTATGTATTCGTAATTCGAAGAGCATTCAGTTAAGATTATTTTGCTAAGATGCATACATTGTTATTACTAAAGCTGATAAAGTGGATCAAATTGTAGTTCTGGATTAAGCTAATTACCTAGAGGAATCTCAAAAATTAATTGATAAAGGAAAATATAAATTCTTTAATGATCCAAGTCTCTTAGTGAGTTGAATAAAATTAGATTTGCCTTCAAAACTGGTGTAATTATTCTTAATCATCTGAAATATTCTCTTGCACCTAATAATTCACACTTTTAGGTTTTATGTTTTACCTAAAATGTTTAAGGCTGTTATTTCTTTTAGATCAATTGTTTCGAATATTGGAACCACTCCTTATAAATTAATTAAGTATCTTATAAATTAATTAAGTATCTAATATTTATCCCCGCTTCTAGTATGAATTCGTTTAATGTCAATTATTGCCAAAAACTCGTATAAACTCGTATGTTGATGAGGATTGTATGTTCAAATCAAATAAAAACATAATGATCTCTTATGAACTAAAACCTTTATTCACTAACATTGAGGTTAATAGTGCCCTTAATTGCTTTAAAATGAGATAAGAAGATATCTGCTTTTGAAAATGACGAACTTTTACACTTTACCCGTATTTGTCTAAAGCAGTCTTTCAATTTTAATGGTAAATTTTATCGAATGATTGATGATTCAGTTATGGGTAATCATCTCAGTCCCTTCTTTTAAAGGACCTATGTATGCAAGTTACACTTTAATTTATTTAAGTTTTCTTTGTGTTGAAGATTGTTCTGTATTGATAGAAAATTCTGACAGTGATCATGTTCTCCTTCTTATGATATTTAAAGAACCTTGCATTTAATTTAGGCTTAAACAAGAAAATAATAAACATTCACCTTACTTAGACGGCCATATTAAGCGTATTAGTGACAAATTTCTCACTATTGTGAATCCGAAACCGTTTGCAGCAACACTCCTCCCTCATAACATTTCATCCAATCCCCCTAACCCAAAGATAGCTACATGGCGCACACTTGTTTACCGAGCTTTTAAAATTTATTATAATTATCTTCTCAATGAAGAGCTCTTTTACCTTAAAGCTATTGTGGTAGACTGTAGATTTCTTTCCTATATCATTGATTCGATTTATAGAAAATTAATCTCACTATCCAGCAAATTCTATAATTTGAATTTAAATAACTTGATAGTTATGCGTTGTTGTCCAAGTATCAGTCCCCAAATTGCTAAGATTTTGAATAAACTTGAGTTGTTTCTCACCTGTTAACAAACTAAATTTTACCAATTTGTAAGCTCCTGATAATAATATCTTAAGTACTTGTCAAATTTCTTGCCTGGGTAGTCTGACGTATATTGTACTTTCTTTTATTTTATAACCCAATTTTGAGTTTACAGCTATCAATATTCAAAATCAATCAATATTGGGTTCAAAATCATCCTCCCAATTTAGTACCAAGTCAGAAGACACGGGAATTTTCGCTTCAAGCATTGGAACAAATTCAAGTTCGAGACTTGAACAGTCAACAAAGTGAACTCTTCAAGTCGGAAGTAGAATCTGTATCAGACAGCTATCGCTGGCATGCAAACTCTTGTCACCGCATTATTTGGAAAGCTCTCTATCTCCCGACTCACTTACGTATATTTTATTTTAAAACTGATTTTGAACAGGCAACCCAATTTTGAGTTTACGACTATCAGGGTTCTTTTCCGCAGTCTTGTAATTTTGAACCCAAACCAGAAAACAAGGGAACTCCTGGTTTTTTGATGGAACTTACCCGTATTCACGTTACATGCAGATAAAAACCACAAAAAATACATATGGTTAGCCTGATGATTAGGGGACTTTAACTAATAATTCGTTTTCCACTGAGGATATTTTATGTCAGTATTGTGATTGGTGTGAGCCGGGAGCAGAATTTGCATCGACCAACGATGAGGCTTGAACCTGGATCACATCATTAAGAGGTGAATGCTTTATCCCCTGAGCCACCGAGGTTCCTTTCTGCGTATATGGGACAAATTAAGCGGAACTTTAAATTGAACTTAAGGAATATACATAAAAAACGTGTTAAAAAATCAAAAATATTTAACAATCTTCCATCATCCTATATAGTTTGAATTCTAATCGCTTAATGTTTCTTTTTTCCGTTGAAATCATTTAATACAGCTATTCTTCACTGGTTGGCTGGTTCTTATGCCACTTGCCAAACGGGAAAGCCTGCTTGGTGAAACTGAGCAAATTTTAAGGCAGAGTGCGCGTTTCTTATTTTTCAGTGGCGCCATCTATGGCCAAGAACACGACTTCTGCCAAACCAAACGTCACACCCGTTTCATAGGGCGGACCCATTCATTCATCCACAGATCGTAATTTTGACCTAAATCAGAGAACGATCGATCTCCAATCCAGTACCCCCAGAGGTATTGATTTGTTATGGGAACATGGAGGACTTTTGCGACTCGACAGATTTAACTTGCATCAGTCACTTTACTATACGGGAAGTGTACGGCCGGCGGGGTTCGAACCCACGAGCTCTCGGCCATGGGCTCAGTGCCCTACCGACCAGGCTATGCCGGCCATTCATCTCTACGAACCATGATATTTGAAAATCCTTCCATATTTTGGAAAACTCTAATTATTTATTTATGATCATTCTAATATCCCATCGTTTCCCACAATGACTCGAACTAAATTTTTTTCATTTTGCACACTGGTGCTTCCGTCAAATCTCCCTTCTCTTATTATACATTTACATATAATATTACTTCTTTATTACATTTTTATTATACTTTTATTATACATTATTATCCCCTTTCTTTTATTATACATTTCAATCACATTTCCCCTTTTCCCACTGTGTATAAATCACTTTGCACTATTCTCCTGTCATTTGGTGTTTAGACTCGGAGGAAGATTCTTTGTCTACCTGAAACTATAGTATGTCTATTTCTGAACTTTTGTTTGTGTTTTATTTGGAATGAAAGAAAAATTTAAGGATTCAGTTAGAAAGGGGGAAAAAATATTGAAGTTGTAAGGCTTAACTAACTTACTTTCCAAAAACTGGATTGAGTTGTTTTGAAATATAATTTTCTTTGTCATTTGTCTTTTTACTGCCTAGATTGATGACTATGTATGGATCAGCTTTACCATTCAGATCGGCTGGGTGAAGGTCTGTAGCCTGCATAGAATAGATATTTTAGTTAATAAATGAAAATTTAAGTGGATTAAAATTAATATGGGTATTGAGAAAATAACATACCTGAAAACTAGTATATAGAAACTAATAAACTAATTGTAATACTTGGCGCACAGAAACGTGGCGTAGTACTTGATTTTAAAATGAGTGGTATATGATTTGAATACACGTCTATACTTATATACACGTCTATTTGGATACATAATTGTTCATATTGCATTTAATTAAAATAAGTTGAAAAGTTAAAAAAAATGTACATAAACTATTGTGTTACAAAAATTATAATTTTTTCTTCGCTATTGTCTTCAAACATTTTTGTTTAAAAAATCCAAAATGAGTTTTTTTCAGAAAATGAAGTAACTAAACATAAATCATTCTCTACGTATTATTATTCATTTCGGATTGTTTAAAAAATCTATAATGAGTTTTTTTCAGAAAATAAACTACCTATTTATAAATCATTCTTTACGGTTTGTTTATAAAATTCAATAGAAATGGCTGTNGATGTGATTATAATTATTATTATTTTTTTTAATGTTACAGAACTTTTAAGTGTATACACATATATTCATTGATACCTAAATTCTTAATACATGCATATATATATACACACACACAGTCAAACCCCGCTATAGTGAACCATCAAGGGACAGAAATTTCGGGAGTTCACTATATCCATTACGCGATAATTTGACTAATGGTTCCCAAACTCCTAACTTTTATCATACATTATTCGAATAAATGACTGAAAAATATTATGTAGTAGCAAAAAATGTGTTAATTTTTATTATTCCTCGTCTTGCGTACAAAGAAAAATTCGTAATCTTTAGCTGATGAGCAATCCTCAACATCAGATTTGGAAACACTTCCCGACTCTCGGATAATTTTTCCTGAATTTCTGTAATTCCGCTTGTTAAACCTGTCTAACCTGTCATTCGAGCACATAAAAGTAGTCTCACAAAATCTAGCAAATTCATAAACATTTGTTCAGATACTGGATGATTACGGCTTCTTCGAATGCTGAACAACTTTAGTTTCTCCACCATTCTTTTCTCAACTTTTTTCTGCCATCTAAATTTTTTTCATGAGCAGAAATTATTAATTGCTTATTTTTTTCCATACGTTACAAACTGCAGATTTGGATAGTTTAGATTTCCTGCAAATATCAACTTGATTACATTCATTTTCAATTTTTCTAATTATGCCCATTTTATCATCAATGGAGAACGTTTTACGTTTACTGTTTGTCATCGTTATATTTGAGACTAGTTCGCAGGCTTTTTTTTAACTGTACTGAGATCAAAAAGGAGTTGAAATGAGGGCCTTATCAACACAAATTAGTTTTCAACCTTTTGACCAATAATGAATAATTACTCATTCCCTCTGACAGAAAATGCATATTGATCCCAATGACACCTTACAGGTGCATCATCTGCCTGGGTTTGTTTAGGGATGGGAAAGTGAGACAAAAGAAGCCAACAAGAAAAAATGCTTATCGCTACATTCCCCTCTGTAGATGGTTTAAAAAATCGGTATATGTATTCACTTTGAAGTAGAAATTTCAAAATTATTATAAAAAAATGAAGAAAAAAATCTGTCGAAGACAGAAAACAGTTCACTATATCCAGCTTCCTCACTTTTTTGGTTCACTATATCTACAAAAAATAACATTATATGTGTATAGCAAGGCACGGGACCGAACATTTCGTTCACTATATCCGGGAGTTCACTATAAGCCGTGTTCACTATAGCGGGGTTTGACTGTATATATATATATAAAAAAAAAAACGTGTTAAAAATCAAAAATATTAAACGATTTTCCATCATCCTATATAGTTTGAATTCTAATCTCTTAATTTTTCTTCCGCTGAAATCATTTAACATTGCTATTCATTTCTACAAACCTTGATATCTGAAAATCCTTTCATATTTTGAAAACTCTAATTATTTAGTTTATGATCGTTCTAATATCCCATCGTTTCCCAATGACTCGAACCAAATTTTTCAATTTTGCACCCTGGTGCTCTCGTCAAATCGCCTTATATCTGTTTTTTTTTTTTAAATTTTTTTTATATATTTTTTTTTTTAATCTCCCTTCGTTTATTAAACATTTCAAGTATATTTCCCCTTTTCCCTCTGTGTATAAATCACTTTGCACTTTTCTACTGTCATTTGGTGTTTAGACTCTGAGGAAGATTCTTTTTTGTCTACCTGAAACTATAGTATGTCTATTTCTGTACGTTTGTTTGTGTTTTATTTGGAATGAAAGAAAAATTTAAAGATTTAGTTAAGAAGAAAGAAAAGTATTGAAGTTACTTGATTGACTTGACTGACTTACTTTCCAAAAACCGGATTGAGTTGCTTTGAAATATAATTTTCTTTGTCATTTGTCTTTTTACTGCCTAGATTGATGACTATGTATGGATCAGCTTTACCATTCAGATCGGCTGGGTGAAGGTCTGTAGCCTGCACAGGAGATATATTTCAGTTAATAATTGAAAAGTTGGCTTTATTAATATGGATATTAAGAAACTAATATACCTGAAAACTAATATATAGAAACTAATAAACTAATGGTAGTACTTGACGCACACAAACGTGGGTAATACTTGATTTTAAAATGAGTAGTATATGATTTGGATACGCGTCTATACTTTTCTAGCCATCGCGTTGAGTATTTGTTTCAAACATTCGCTTTATGCGATACAATAGACTAATGATTCAATTTAAAAAAGTTAGGAAAGCTTTCATATGATCATAAAAGAGAAAACTATCATTTTTTAGTTCATTCAAAATTTCAAGGAATTTTCAAAGCGTGTAAGATGCGATAATCTCCTTTCACGCTTTCTTAGAGACTACAGAGTTTTTTCAAGAAACTAACTCAATTATCACAAACTTTTTTTGTTTCATACGTACCCATTATTTCGGATATAAATCTTCAACTTTTATGACATTCTTAAATGCAATTTTTCGATTATCAAAAACCGTTTTGAACCTTGGGGAAATTTTTGTTTTGTTTTCTGTTCCATGAAATTTTTAATAGATCTTAGATACTTTATTTTCGGTGATTTCCAATCTGCAATCTATCTCTTTCTTCAAGCTTTAGCATTTTTTAAATGACATTTTTAGTCTATTTTTTTGTCAAAAAGTGCAAGTTTAAATATTCTATATTTAACACAGAGTCGCGCAAATGTTGCCCTAAACTTTTAAGGGAGTTAGGACACATCATCAGGATTAAAACTGATTAGAAGCCCGCGCCTAGAAATATGGTCATAAGCCGCTATTTTCGCTTTCCTATTATGAACTGTTTCTAAGTGTGATTTTGAAAAATTAATGACAGATAAGAGCACCTAGCCGCATACAGTTTTAATCCTGATGATGTGCTCTAACTCCCCGAGAAGTGTGTGACCTTCCGTTATTTATAAACGTTTTGAAACTTGTACATTTCGACAAAAAATAGACTAAAAATGTCGTTAAAAAAACTGTATCTTTAGAAGCAAAACTATTTTCAGATATGAAACCCCTTCACCCCTATCAGACAAGATCAAGTATTTGATCTTGTGATTTTTTTAAAGAAAACTGGCATTTGAAACCAAAATTTAAAGATCCGAAAATTTTTGCTGTTGTTAAAATTACGTAAATACGCAATATAAGATGTGCAAATGCTTAATAAAAAAATGTGTAAATCAAAGCACATATAGATAAAAAATTAAAAATTGAAGATCTAAAAAAAATGTGCTGAAGGGTGCATCGCAAAAAGAGAGGCAAAAAGTTTGATTTAATAGTCCTCCCCTTTCCTAAAAAAGAAAAACTACATAACGTGAGAAATTTATTACACTTTTTGAAGCAGTGTTTAGGTAAATTGGTAGCTCGCAGTATAGCATAAACATAATTGTTCACATTGCATTTAATTATATTAAGTTGAAAAGTAAATAAAATGTGCGTAAACTATTCTGTTAGAAAAATTATAATTTTTTCTTCGCTTTTGTCTTCAAGCATTTTTGTTTAAAAAATCCAAAATGAGTTTTTTTCAGAAAATAAAGTAACTGTACATAAATCATTTTTTACGTAATATTATTCATTTTGAATTGTTTAAGAAATTCAAAATAAGTTTTTTTCCTCTGAAATAAAGTACCTAACATAAAAACATCATTTAAGAGCTTCCTTTAACACTTAGCTTATATTTCTAAAATAAAATCTTTTTGAATCTACTTATTTGAACTAAACAGAAATAGTATACACTTTATTTAAAAGGAACATTTATAAATTAGAAACTTAAAATATTTTTCTAACTGCAAGAAGTCTCTTTTCAATTTTGTGCTAATTACTGCTTATTAATCAAACATGTCTCTTTCGGAATTGTTAAAAAAGACGCAAAAGTCATGCCCAAATCACGTAATTACCTTAACGACGTACACTCGAACAAGTACATGTATGGGTTCGTTGCTGGGCAAACCTTGGAAAAGTCCTCCTTGAGAATCTGTGACGTGTAAGTAAGGATCCTGAATTTCTTTTGGCAACGGTGTCTTATAAACTTTCAATGAACCCTTCAATAAAAAAACAGCACTTAGTTAATTGACCAAATGAATAATAATAAGATTCTAAGAAAAACGGTTTTGATAACTTAGCAGGAAACATTTTTAGTACAGTATAGAAATACTTATATTCTAAGTTAAATTTATTTGTTTGAACAATTGCAGAGACAGCATTATCAAAGTTAGATTCTTAACTAGGTTGTACGTGGCAATGTACGAAAGGCCTTTTTTGTTTTTATTTCAGAGGCCAAATACGTAAATATGGTTAGTGGATGAAAATCACAGAGAATGAAACAGTACCTTATTTTTTCTTCGCTTTTTCTTGGTTAAAAAATAATACCAAGTTGGCTACCAAAACAAATAACATTTTCCTCATGCAATACATAATTTTTTTTCCTTAAACTCAAATTTTAATTTCATCAGCTTATTTGATTATCATTAATATTATCTTATTAAGAAAAATACCAACGTAGTGATTACCTAGTATTGGTCTTATATTTAAGAAAACATCAGTGGAGGAATGCTTGTCTGTGCGTGACAGATAAGAATTATTTAAATAAAAATAACAGAAGTGTTGGGAATATCAGCCTATAGCCTATAAGTCTCGACCAGGTAATCCATTTCAATTAATCTGGATATTGTAAATAAAACATTGGGATTAGTTAAAATGTTATTATTCCTATCTTATTAAAGAAAACAAAATAAAATAAGAGCTCACTTGTTGCATTAAGAAATTACTTCCAACTAATAACATTACTTCCAACAATCATTCTAATTTAAAGTGTTAAATATATTTGCAGGCTTCTAAATTCCCACTGTATACATTGCCTGGTCAGTGTGCGAAGTGTTTAATCCTTTTATTCTCAGTCGGTTAATTTTTGGAATTGTATACAATGTCTGATTTCCAATTTTATCCGTAATATGATTTCTGTTTGTCTTCCGGTCTCATTGCGTTGAGCTTTAATAGTTTTTGATTGATTAGATTTGGATGGAATTGAACTCTGATAGTTGAGCACGTTTTAGTTAATTTACAACCATTCTACTGAAACAAATTAGTTTAAAAAATTCCTTGTGGAACGAAAATTGCATAACTTGTTAACATTTTAAGTTAATTGAATTTAATTTTGGAAAAGAATACATAGATACATGCATACATATGTATATATAGCACAATAAATAAAAACAAAAAAACATGAAGAAAATTAAGAAAAACAATAAGCTTTATTTATTGCGCATAAGCTGCAAGTAAATAGAACTCATAAAATAAGTTCAAAATGTAGAGAAAACAAGGGAGAAAAAGGAAAAATAATAATAAAAATAACAAAAAACCGGAATTTTTTTTTTAAAAATCTTAAAAAAAAATATTCAAATTTTTTTGTCTTTTTTTCCGGTTTTTTGTTATTTTTATTTTTATTATTATTTTCTTTTTTTCACCTTCTTTCATTGTTCTGTAATTTTTCCCTTATTATTATTATAATNTATATATATATTATAATAGTAATCAGCAAAATATATTGCAAAAAATTCCGTGTGTTTTACTGATTTGTTTACTTCATGCATTTATGTTTTATAACAATAAAAAAGTATTATTTATTGTTATAAATTAAAAAAAAAACGTATGTCAGCAACTAAATTGAAATATTTTATAACTGCTTTTGTCCCTTCTAATTCGAAAAGTTTAAGCTCGTAAAGCTATCTGATTACTCTTTCAATCCAAAACGTTGAGTTAAAAAGATTAAAGTGTTTTTTTTCTTTCTGTTTTTACTTTGAAAACTCCTACGATTCTGTTTTGATCTTCCATCTCATCTCCTGTTCTTTTTCCTCGGAATAAATCGAAAGAGTAAAGCCATTCTCGAAATCCCCCGAAATCAATTACGTTCTCGAGTTCGCAGGAGTAGATCTGAAACAGAAAAAATAAACAAAGGTAAAAGTTTGATTTAAAATGCTTTCCACTTAATGATTTAACAGTCAATATTTAGATGGATCAAAGGTTCAAACTGGAAAAGGAATTGTATTAGCAAAACTAATTTTGAAAATTTATTCTCGCGAAATGATTTTGAGTTTAAAATCTAATGACTGAAAAATTTTGAAATATTACCAGAAGTAAGTTAAACGCTTTCGTGTTCTATTTTTTTTTTTAATTTCTCCCATTTTATGTTTCAAAAATTAAACATAGCATTTAGGGAAGTATATTTTAGTTCTCCGAATTTTATGTTTGCATTCAAATTTCAGGTGAAGTATACTCCCCAATAAACTATTAACCAGAAAAAAATAAATTTAATGGTGATAATTTGCCATGCACTAGGGTACATCACATTCTACTCACATGCAGTGAATTGCACTACCCAAATCAATCCCAAGCTCAATCAAAAATGAAAGCGATTGGGATAGGATTGTGTTAAAATGTTCTAATATATTCGTATTTGATTGTTTGAACTCATAGCAGCACAAATCTGAAGCTGGAATAAGTCCTCCCATCGTTATAATAGCAAGGTCAATATATCATAAGAGATTTTGCGCTTTCCACAGGAATAATTTGTAAAATCACGTAGGTGGGAAGTAATCTTCCCAAAGCACACGAAAGGATAAAATTCCGATAACAGAATTAATTTTTTTTTAAAAAGAATGAGTTTAAAATCTAAGGATTTGACTAAATATTAAAATCTATAAACTTTCAGAAAACCAATATATGTTCTGCTGCCATCTACCCCAAGCTTTCTACAGTGTTAGAAATTTCTCAGAAAAAATGATTAAATCATAATTTATTTGATTGCCATTTTACTATATTCAAACAAAACTGTCAAATATCCGTAAATAAAAGGGTATTCAAACAGTTAATTGTCAGAAACACCGTTAATTAACGGTTTTTAACCGTTAATTAACTGTTTAACCGTTAATTAACTGTTTACCTAATACGGCTAAATAACCAGAATTTAATCGCTCCAGCTAGACCCACCAAATGAAATCACTTAGTCTTCTTAAACTGCTTACGTGTTATAGCCTTAAGTGTTACTTAAGACTGGTAACATATGTCAGTCTCAAGACCGACATAAAGGGGGGGGGGGTTCGAATCCCAGAGTTGGCATCACAATATTTCCTCCATCTCCTTCAACACACGAAGAATTTCCAGTGTCCTGCAGTTCCCAATTCGTGACCTTTGACTATTAGAATACGATACTCTCATTCATGCATCGATTCATTTGATAAAAAACAACTCAACTTTAACCTATAATTCCTGAAATGCCCTTCACTTAACTAAAAGTCTAGCTCTAATGTTCAGTAAATTTCTCTTATGGTTTTGAAAATGCTAGTTTTAAACTTTTAACCGTATAGTTTAGTATTCATGCTTTTTTTTATAAACCACATTAGTCGTAAACGGTTTCGAATCCATAAATGTAAAAAATGTTCTTTACCGCAAACTTTGCAGCTAATTGGATGGAGAGACTGCTGCCGGTTGTTTCACTGTAATTTTACAATAAAAGGATAACAGTGTATCATAAATGGATTTTTTTAAGACATATCAATGAAAATGCTTTTGACAATTGATTAAAAACTGGTAACTAATAATTAAATACACATTAGATTGCTACCTTTAAGTCTTAACTGCTACTTACATTGTTACCTTTGACTGACGATTTAGAAAAATTGGATTCAGAATTAATAAGTCAAAACACTTTTGACCAGTGACTACAGTTTTAGATATTAGATGGAGACAATGAAGGCATTTTTATATGGTTATAATTAAAATATTTATTATCAGTTTTCAGTACAAACTAAAATTTTATTTATTAATGTATTTATCTGTTCCTTACTATGCGGCAGCTAGTAGAAAATAAAGATTGGTTATTGAAACTTCTTGGTAAATCTTCATGTATTTTCTCCTATAAAGGAATTTATATGAAGAGTCAGGGGTCTGTCTAGGTTTTTCTGAGAGGTACCTTATTTGTGAAAATTTAGACATAATTTGTGAAAAATTAAAAATTATATTTAAAAATCAATACAAAAATATGGTAAAAATGTGGATTTATCGTTTCTTAAGGGATACAAAAATAAAATTTTAAGAAAAAGTATTTTCTGAAACTACCGTTTTTCTTAAAATTGAATTTGTGAAACTACCCTTTTTCCTAAAGTTGAATTTGTGAAGGTACCGCTAAACGGTAGTAAATTCGGCCTGGACAGACCCCTGAGAGTGATTATTTTTTTTTATTAAATACATATTTTTTATACTTAAATACGTACATAATTTGTCTTTAAGGCAAACTTATAAAAACTTTCTGATTAAGTTAGTCTTTAAGGCATGCTGTTTCATGTTGTTAGTCTTTAAAGAGTGATGTTAAATTTAAAGGTGCTTGTTAATTTTAAAGTATGACATAATATTTGGCAAGCTGCTACTGATTGGTTCTTTAAAAGTTTGTAAGGTTATGACATGGGTTAGGTTATTGATATGGGTAAGGTTAAGGCTTGATTTGTATCAAAGAAAATTCAAGATTAGTGATTTTTAAAATATTTTAACCATTGATGTAAGATTCTTTCTAACTTTCAGTATTTATGAACTAAATTACCCACACAAAAATAAATTAGTAGCAACATTTTAATTGCATGGAAATGTTTCCCAGGTAAACTCATATAATTCTAATAAAACAAATCCTAATAAATGAAAGAAGTCTTTTAAATAAAATTTTAATAATCAAAGAATAAAATGAAATAAATATTATTCAAAAATATTAATTAGCTAATAAATGAGGGAATTCTGAAATCCATAAGTTAGCACCAAAGAAAAATCCTTTTAGTATGGTTAATATCGAAACATTAATCTACGTTTTGAAACATTAATCTTTAATACTACATTATCGGAACATTAGTCTACGTTTTAGGGAAATTTGATATGCAATTCGTAAATTTGGAAAAAATATTATATTAACACGTTAATACCAGATTTAAAATATTGTACATTATATATAATAATTAACAATTTAAAAATTACGTTTTATATTAAATGCAATTTTTAATTAACCATATTTTATTTAACAAAAAACAAATTTGAAACAATCTAATGTAGTAAAATGCTTAGAATGAATACTTTTATGAGGGATTCCTCTGTCATAAGCTTGCGATGAGATTTGGGTGATAATCTTTGGGCTAAACGAACGGCCGTCGAAGTGCCTTTGAGTGTTCTCTTCATTAGCGGTTGAGGTGGTTGGTGTTGATTTTCAAGCCTCTGTATTTCTTTCTCAACTTTTCGAACATCTTTCTGACTCAATTCTTCCCCGTCTACATCAGAACCTGCATCTCCAGTTAGGCTGTTCACACTGTCTGTGGTCACTTGATTTTTCTCCTATTTTTTTTAAAGGAAAAAAGCGTATTATAATTTTTTTTTATATTAAAAGAAGTTTTTTCCCCTTGGAATACAAAAAAATCAAAGATGGGTAAATAAAGGCTTAAAAGGACCGTGGGAGGAATACTTCATAGCATATTCATTTTCACCAACCTACAAAAGTAATTTACAATTTCAAGTACAAAAAAAGTTAACTCTAGTAAACCTAGATTAAACAATGAAGTTTGAAATGCTAATTCTTTTTCAAAATATCAAAATGCAAATAATTTGCGTGCCAAGATTACTTATATAGAGAAAAAAAAATTTGGTAAATTTACTGCACAGTATAGTAATGCTATTTCTGCTAAGAAAAACCATAATTCTGGTAATGAAACTAAAACATGCGGTATTTAGACGATTAATTTGGTAATTTTTATAGAGGAAATTCGAAAAATTAAAAAAAAAATGTACTAAAAAAGTATTTGTCTGGAAACAATATTAAGAAAGAGTTTTAATGTAAAAATGTCATCTTTGGACATTGGATGGTTTATCATTATAATTATCCAATCTCTTCAATTTTATATAACCGTCGTTGAACGTTTTGGGCTTACGACTACTAATGTTCAACTAAGTAGTCTTGTAATTTTGAACCCGATTCAGAAGACAAGGGAGCTTTTTGATCAAGTATTGGGAGAAATTTGCCTTCGTGGAGGACTTTTTGATGGAGCTAACCCGCATTTGCGTTAAATGGAGAGGAAGACCACGAGAACCTCCCACGTTTAACCTGACGGCAAGGGAATACTAACCCATGATCCGTTTACCACTGAGGATATTTCACTTCAGCACTGTGGTCAGTGCAAGCCGGATGCGGAATTCGTATCGACCAGTCATCACCGAGATTCGAACCTTGTTCACTACAAAAAGCTCTTCAATTTTATATTTCATTTTATATCAGTCGTTGAGCAGTCAATCCAATTTCGGGTTTATGACTACTAATGTTCAACTCCGTCGCCTAGTAATTTTGAACCCAATCCAGAAGACAAGGAAACTCCTCGATCAGTACCCTCAGTGGTATTGATTTGTTATGGGAACATGGAGGACTTTGCGTCTTAAAAACTGTCACGTCAGCAAAATCATTACCTTTAAAATAATTTTCCAGAAAAAAGTATTTTGAAGAGAAAAAACGCCCTAAAAATCTAAAAAAGGAATTATGCTTTTTTTTAAAATTTTGAGTTTTACTCGTTTTAATTCTATTTTTTAAAGATATAATAGATAAATTAATAGGAATGGTTTATTTTATTTTATAACCGTTGTTGAACAGCCGACCCAATTCTGGGTTTACGACTTCTAATGTTCAACTCCGTAGCCTTGTAATTTTGAGCCAAGCCAGAAGACAAGGAAACTCCTAGAACATTACCCCCATGGACCAGTACCAACATGGAGGACTTTGAAACTCGACAGATTTAACGTGCATCAGACACACGGGAAGTCTTCGACAGACGAGGATCGAACCCACGACCTCTTGGACATGGGCCCAGTGCCCTACCAACCAGGCTATCCCGGTCTTAATAGGAATGGTATAGGGATGAATGGGATTCAATGAATCTGGTTGTTTTTTTATTCCATTCTATTCCCCTTAATTTTTTTTTTAGCTTTTATTTGTATGTATTGCGAAATGTTATTTCGTAAAAATACATTTCTCAAATTATCATAAGGATTGGATAATGCATAGTCATAAAACATTTCGAAGTAAGTAAAAGTTCGACTGCAGATGAAGAAAAAACTTCTTTATCGGCATATTTCCAAGAATATTCCTTTCACTAACAGATGGAAAAACTATTGCAAACTGTTAGGAAAGTTGCCAACTAAACTGACGTCTGTGGTTATATTATAGAAATGCTTTCAGAAGATAATCTAATTTTTTTCATTACTCTTTAGATGAAAAGCATTAGGAATGAATTTGGAAACATTTAATTTCAACTATCCTGAATTATAATTACGGAATTCTGAATTATTAATATTGGAAACATTTAATTTCAACTATCCTAAAGCAATGTGCAATTTCATGACTTTAAAATGGCATTAAAATTCAAATCGGATTTATTAAAATATTCTATTTTGTGACACGATGATAAAAATTCTTCACTGATATAACTTAATTAACGAAACACAAAAAAAATAATTATGAAATTTAAGATTGTGAAGTCTTACTGATTCAACTTATCACTGATATGTTTCACTCGTAATCACAGTATGTGGAGTTCCGGCAATTGCAGTGTTGACATTAAGTATTATTGAATGACTTAGACACTTAGAGTTATAATATTGCTAGTTATAATTAGTCTAACCAAGAAAAATTGGGAGGTTGCAGGGAAATTAGCCACAGGGGTTAATTGGGGGGGGGGACTAGTGATAGTTCGCGCGTGCCGGTCTGTATGCGCAAAAAAGTGCACGTTAAATGCGTCGAGTCTTCTCATTGGTTGCAATGTGAAAGTTTTGAGAGGGATGTACCAGCTCAGGTGCTGCCCACTTCATTTCTCCGAAGTTAAAATTTAGTGGTGTCTCTGCTATAGTAGTTAAAGGATAAAGCTTTTCTGAAGAAAACTTTATGATTCTTTATTTGAAAATAATTTTACATTTCTCAATAACAATGTGCATTTACATATTGTAGTATGCGGGAAAAACAAAACTTGATCGTGATTATATAATACTTATGATGAATGAAGCATTTTTATTGCACCGTGTTTACGATTATGGGAAGGAATTCGAAAACCAGAAAAGTTAAATTATTTGTAACATGATTGACTATAGTTCGTTCACCAGAAGTTGGCACTTGGCTCCGCCTTCATCACGTGGTATCCAACGATTCTATTTCACTATTTTTGAGAGAATAATCTGAACAATCCTGAACAAGGTTGCTATTTGGCGATAGTATGACAAAGATATTTATTTCGCAATCTTTATTTTTAACATTAAATATTTCATAAATTTGACGTTTCTCTCTTTTGAATGAATAGTTTGTCCTTTTTGAGACATTTTGTTGCAATATATTTCATTATCTAGAGTAGCGAAGTAAGTAACTGAAAAGGAATTCACTGTTTGCATTTGGTGCGCATTAAGGGCTGTCTCAATTTCAAGCGCGGAGAGGTTTCTCCTCTTACTTCCTCGCTGAAATGAACTCTTTGTCCGAGGAGGTGAGCCAAGTGTGTGAACGAACTATATTATGTTTCAGCTGTTACTTTGTAATTTGTCTTGAGAAGTAATATGATACTTTTAGAACAGATGCAAAAATGCAACACATCAAAAATATATATGTAAAAGCTAGATGCAGAGAAACCTCACATATTTATGTAAGGAAATAAAAGCAATTTATAAGAAATATTTTCTTATAAGTTGCTTCTATTTCTAATATTCTGTATTCAATAGCAAATTAAATAATGTTATCTTTATGAATCAGTTTGGAAAATTAAAAAGGATTAAAGACTGATTGCTGGCAAAATCATAGTGCTGGGATTCTCACTTTTATCAAGTTTTACATTCAGATCACGAAATACATTTCATTAAGAATACATTCATTAAGAAGTAGTATCAATAAAACGTTTTAATCGTAAGTACCTACAAAAGTTGATGAATTAATATATATTGTACTCAGAATACTGTAGTATTGTAAAATAAACAATGTTGTCTTTGTGAAATTCGGATGTTGTGGATTGTTTTTTGGCAAAATAAAGGTGTTTCTGTATTTACTTTAATAAAGCATTGTACTTTTGCTTTGTTCAAGTTTAAAACTCAGATATTTAGATACTCTGCATATTTAGATATGAACGTAAATGCAGTACAGTGTAAAAACATATGTTAAATTTACGCTAAAAACTGGTCAGCGAGTGTGTCTGTATAAACAGTTTATTTCGTAGAAAAGTATTGTTATTTAAAGCAGACACTTGTTATTAAGTAGACAAGTATTGTTATTACAACAAACAAACTCCATTATTTTACCAAGTTAACTCTGTTATTTTAACAAAAATTTTAATCAAATAGCTAAGTCAGCTATGTTTTCGGGCCTAGCCGAGAGTAGCATTCATATCACCAGTCGACCCTGAGATTCGAACCTGCTACACTTCTGTTACATTTTTAATTTATTAACTGAAGTGATATGAAGTGATTGTAAGGTTCTTATTAAGCTTTACTTTTGAGTGGCAACTTTGTCGATGTTCATTGAATAATAAATAAATTGTTTTGTGGAGTTTTTAAATAATTGCTTGATTCTTTTAGTTAAAAATATCTACTTTATCAAGAAGAATCTGAGATTAAAATAAAATGAGTAGCACTAGCAATATTTTGAATTAGATAGCGTACTTTATTTTATGAGTAATTAGTTAACAACTGCTTTTTGATAGTACGTTAAAACCTCATTAGGAGACGAGCCCTCTGTCTTTGTGTCTCAAAAAACGTTCTAAACTGTTTTTGTCTGATAAGTCTAACTCGTTGAATAATATTTAAATGTTTAAATGTGTAAAAACGCTTGAAACTGTACTTGAGCGCTTGTGGCTCACCCTTACAAAAATGTCTGGCAACTTGAATTATCAAAAAATTATATCTAAGGAAATATAAATATCAGGTAGAGAGAATATCAATTCGACAATAAAATGGAATCACTGTTTTATTTATACGATGCTCAAAACCATAAATAATTAAAAAAACAAATATAGAAAATAATCGTTAAATGATTTGTAAAAGGCGTAAGGTAGGCAAAAACTAAAATTTGAACTGCCGTTTTTAATCCATTTACGATTAGGATGAAAAATAGTTTTGTTTATTAGACAATTTTAAATCGTAAAATATACGGAAGAAGTCTGTAAAAACAAAGGAAACTTTTTACAGTGTAACTATGAACGTTTTATTTAAAAATGCTTACAAAAATTGCTATATGCATACGTACTGAGCTCAATTGTAGTTTTAAAAAAGTTGCATTTGCGTTGGTTGGACAATTAGATAGTTCTTAATGAAAAACGAAAGTACTAGGGAGCTTACTTTGATCATAGCTTCATGGGAAGCAAAATATCTCGTCCACCAATCCTTATTTTCTTCATCGTCATCATAGCTTTCATCTTCGGTTTGTCTTTTCTTCTTTTTATTAGCTTCTACCTTTTGATCTTTCTTTTGATTGCCACCCTAAAAATGTTTTATCCTGTTACTACGTTATTGACATAGAATGTATAATCAGTCTAATAAATGAGTAATACTTACAAAATCTAAAATAATTAGAGTCTCTTTTGGGCTTAAGGGGCTCGTTCCATCTATATCAATGATGACTTCATCAGTTTGTACCATTAACATCTGATTGCTTCCATAACCTACAGAAAATATGTAAATTTATAATAACTCTATATTCAGTACAATATGCTAATTAATTTGCAATATTGCTGGTGCTACAAACGCTACTTGCTAATACCAACAAGCTTTACTTCGGTAGAACCAAGCGAATTTAAGGCAGAAGGAGGGCTCTTCTTGTTTTTTAGTGGCGCCATCTATGGCCAGGACAACAAGTTTGTCACACGGGTACGCCACAGTCCATTTTATAGGGAGGACTCATTCACACACCATCCATCCGTGGATCGTAATTTTGACCTGTATCAGAGAATGATCAATCTCCAAACCAAAACGCCCAGAAGTATTGATTTGTTATAGGAACTCGGGGGACTTTGTAACACCCACAGATTTAACACGCAACAGTAACCATTTTACACACAGGGAGTCTTTATCCAGCGTGATTCGAACTCACGACCTCTCGAACATGAGCACAATGTTCTACTAACCAGGCTATCGTGACCAATTTGTGATGTAAGAAACGGCATGAAATGGTGTTTATAAAGCTAAAAATAATCAGTTAAGGTTTAAACAAAATACAAGGGTTGTAAATAAAGTAGTGACCCCATAGACAGAAAAATATTTTTGACTTTTGACTAATCTACAAATAAAATTGTTTCCAATTCAATACAATCCATCAGCAATATTTCTTATCCTTTACCGAATAATGAAAAGTCCAATTGGCAAGATATTGGTTGTTGATGACAGTGACAAAGACTGCTTTGTAAATAGAATAGGATTCTCAAGGTTGCGTGATTTCACACTTTCCCACATTCTTCCTTTCCGTTACCACGATTTCGACAACTTTGAGATAACTACTTTATTTGCAAAGAGTGCAAGATAAGATGCCACATTAAAAAATCGGATTACGATTGCACGATTTGCTTTGGCTTATCGTACAACCTACTGTATTTCTGATTCAGGTTTCTTGAAAAACTTTACAATATTCAGATGTATTTTACCCCATGTAAAACTCGATTTTAATTGACCACCATTTGTGAACATAAACCCACACTGGCGCACAGTAGCTGGGAGATTCTGCTAAAACCTAACAATATCATATAAAGGCAAACTGTCACAAGATGAGCTTGAGATAACAAATTGTTATTTTTTATAGTTCTTAGATATAAATTTTCCTTCTCGTTGGAAAGATTCAGCAAATTCCCATGAAAAGATTCTAAAAAAAAAAAAAAAGAAACTCGAACAGCGTCTCGAAGGAGAGTCGTTTACGAAATAACTTAGTTTCGGAAATTCGAAGATCGAAGTAAACAGGATTTGAACTTGAGAATGCTAATGGCGGAATCTGGCAATAAGAACATATCCATAATTTCGTTTTGTATCCAGTTACAATTAAACTTTTGACCAAAACTTGTGTAACTACTCGGAAAAAAAGCTCTAGTAAAATTACCGTACTGTACGGTAACGATACTTTTGATTAAAAAAAAAACGTAATTTTGGTTAAGAAAACCAAAATATACGGTATTTAAACCGATCATTTGGCAATTTTTCAGTTCAAATGGTAAAGATTTATCGAAAATAATGGTTTTCATAATTATATTTCTTATTATCACACATTTAATTAAGAATACAAATCTAAAAAATAAATTTGATCGAATAAATGGTTTCTATGCCGTGTTTTTAGGTATATCATAATGAAATTACTAAATTTTACAAAATTTTATCACATATTATAGTACCATATTTTATTGTTGACGCCCGGTGGCAGAGTGGCAGCGCTTCGCGCTCTCGTGCCACAGGTTCTGGGTTCGGTTCTCGGGCCGGGCATGGTTGACTCAGTCTTTCATCCCTTCAGTGGTATCTTTCATCCCCTCAGTCTTTCATCTCTTCAGTCGATAAATGAGTACCAAGCATGCTTGGGAACTAAACACTGGGGGTTTCGCGTTCGACTGACCCCCTAACCGGAACATCTGCTCCTGCACCCCAGAGCCCAAGGTCAAGAAAACTGAGAAGGGCACAGTAGGCTTTGGCCCTCGTTGGGCTGTCGTGCCACTGAGTTTAGTTTATATTTTATTGCGAATTTTACTAAATCATCATCAAAGCATTTCAGTAAAATTTCCAAGTTTCTTGATCCTCCCATAGAGTCAGAAACACTGTAAATTTTACCATATTTTGATAGTTTTGATCATATTTTTTTCAGTGTAATCAAAATACAATTTATCAATGAGTTACATAATCTCAAAGTTAAAGTAAAGCATTTCCGAAACATACTATTGTGGTCCAATAGGATCATGGAGGAGAGAGAGTTGAGAATTTTGTTACCAACGGCATGATGCGCGCAGACCGTATTTATTTCCCACACCATCGAACTGAACCTTGGTGGGCTGAGAGACGTCATCAAACACAAAAACCCCATCGTTCACCATGGCATTTCCGTGTCTTAACCATTGTGCCATCGTTACTTTACCGTTATGCCTTTGTTTTTCAAAAACTTTTTCGTGGCATATATTACGTGTTTTGGTTTAATTTCTTATAAATAAACCAATTTTATTATAAAAGCTAAAAATAAGTTCCATATAAAAGGGCATTTTAGAAACCTTCGCCTTTCCAAACCCTATGCAAAAAAAAAATTAATAATTTTTAAATTAATTAAAAAATAATCAGAAATCGTATAGTTTACAAGCGTAGTTTTTTATCGTATAGTTATATGTTGAATTTAAGCTTTTATCAATGTTACCTCAAAACTCCTCAAAGCGAATCTAGTTAGTTATATGAAACCAATTCTCTTCTGAAAAGAAAACAAACACGCAAGAAAAAATTCTCGAAACAAAATATTTTAAAACGAGAGAAAGACTTAAAGCATTTTTCTGAAGCACCTAACTATATCTTCAACTAAAAGAAAGCTATTTCGTCCAAAATAAATCACGAAACAATATCTATAGAATTTATAAAAATAATATGGTTTCCTAGAGTTTATATTTCCGTTTCAGAATTTGAAACTATTCTTTAAAATGAAAATAGAGTTATGGTTATGGATTTGAGATACTCACGTGATAGGTTTGCTTCTTTCTTTGAGAGTGGTCTGAAAACGTATTTCTGCAGAGAATTGATGACGTGCGTTCCCACCAACGTGAAACGTCCAAAACTTCGACAGTCCATTACTCGAATGGTCAATGGTGGACAATACATTTCTTGATCTGGTAATTCCTGTGGATTTCAAATAATTTACTTGAAATCAAATGATTCAATAAGTAAATGCATATTTTTCTTCTAGGTAAAATATCTCGCATTATATTTGTATTTATTTTATCTTATTCGGTTCTTCCTGTATGACTCAAACATTAAATTTATGCGCAAAATGATCGTTTAAATTTATAAATTTTCTAAATGTTTTGGTTTATGAATGCAAAACTGAAAATTGATCTGCTCATTGATAAAACTTAAAAATTAATTTTTTTGGGTCAAATATAGATTTTATTGACGTAATTTAGGTAATTTTATTAGTGATAAAAATTTGATGAAAATCAGGGTTAAGGTTCTGAATCACAGTCATGAATTTAAATAACTGTTAATACAACTGTTACATAACTTTAAATTGACCGAAACTGCTCATGAGTGCAATAAAATGTCGAAAAACTTAAAATTCTGAATGTAATTAAATTTTTTTTTATAAATTTACTTATTCAATATACACTCATTGCGTAGAAAAAATAAGCATCTAATTATATTTCTTGCTTATATTAATTTGAAATATTATTTTAATATCAATCGAAGTATCCCAATTCAGTGCATTTTTGAATGTTATGTCAATAAATTTCGAAATATATCTAGCATATATGAGAAGGTATATTACATAAATTCAACTAATATTTGTAAAATGTTGTACTTGGTTCTCATAATATTTTGAATAATTAATTCAAGAGCAACTATTTCTCTTTATTATATTTCGAATATTAGAATTGCAAATAAACATTTCAAATTACTAGTATTTATTTTTTNTGTGGTCCAATGGGATCATGAGGTTAGGGCTTGACAATTTTGTTACCAACGGCATGATGCGCACAGACCGTATTTATTTCTCACACCATCGAACTGAACCTTGGTGGGCTGAGAGCCGTCAGCGAGGACAGAAACCCCATCTTTCACTATGACATTTCCGTGCCTTAACCATTGTGACATCGTTATTTTATCGTTGTGCCTTTGTTCTTTTTTAAACTTTTTCGTGAAATATATTATGTGTTTAGGCTTAATTTTTTATAAATAAACCAATTTTATTTATGAAAGCTAAAAATATGTTCCACATAAAAGTGCATTTTAGAAACTTTCGCCTTTCAAAACCCTATTCAAAAAAAAAGTTTAATAATTTTTAAATTAATTAAAAAATAATCAGAAATCATATAATTTACAAGCGTAGTTTTTTATCGATATGTTGAAGTTAAGCTTTTATCAATGTCACCTTAAAGCTCCTCAAAGCGAATCTAGTTAGTTATATGAAACCAATTCCCTTCAGAAAAGAAAACATATAAGCAAGAAAAAATTCTCGAAGCAAAATATTTTAAAACGAAAGGAAGACTTAAAGCATTTTTCTGAAGCACCTAACTATATCTTCAACTAAAAGAAAGCTATTTCGTCCAAAATAAATCACGAAACAATATCTATAGAATTTATAAAAATAATATGGTTTCCTAGAGTTTATATTTCCGTTTCAGAATTTGAAACTATTCTTTAAAATGAAAATAGAGTTATGGTTATGGATTTGAGATACTCACGTGATAGGTTTGCTTCTTTCTTTGAGAGTGGTCTGAAAACGTATTTCTGCAGAGAATTGATGACGTGCGTTCCCACCAACGTGAAACGTCCAAAACTTCGACAGTCCATTACTCGAATGGTCAATGGTGGACAATACATTTCTTGATCTGGTAATTCCTGTGGATTTCATATAATTTACTTGAAATCAAATGATTCAATAAGTAAATGCATATTTTTCTTCTAAGTAAAATATCTCGCATTATATTTGTATTTATTTTACCTTATTCGGTTCTTCCTGTATGACTCAATCATTAAATTTCGGCACAAAACGATCGTTTAAATTTATAAATTTTGTAAATGTTTTGTTTAATAAATGCAAGACTAAAAATTGATCAGCTCATTGATAAAACTTTAAAATTACATTTTTTGGGTCAAATATAGATTTTATAGAAGTAATTAAAGTAATTTTATTAGTAATAAAAATTTAATGAAAATCAGGGTTAAGGTTTTGAGCCGCAATCATGAATTTACTATTCATAACCGTTTTAAATTGATCGAAACTCTGCTCATGAGTGTAATAAAATGACTGAAAACTTAAAATTCTGAATGTAATTAAAATTTTTTATAGATTCAATATGCACTCATTGCGTAGAAAAAATAAGCATCTAATTAAATTTTTTTTGCTTATATTAATTTGAAATATTATTTTAATATCAATTGAAATATCCCAATTCAGCGTATTTTTAGAAATTATATCAAAAAATTTCTAAATATATATAGCATATACAAGAAGGTATATTACATAAATTAAACTGATATTTGCAAAATTTTGTACTTAGTTCTCATAATACTTTTAATAATTAATTCAAGATCAACTATTTCTTTTTATTATATTTCGAATATTGTAAATTATTAGTATGCTTTTTTTATACATTTATTGATTATGCCATTGATTATGTTTTTGCCATTGGTTATGTTATGATTATTGATTATGTTTTTGCCATTTAGCACATTGTTCACATAAAACTACACCACGATATAGTTTTGGAAGTTTAACACCTCACCTATTTTTAATTCAATTGCTTTTTATTAAATATACATTTAAGACTTGGACCCACATTGAATTTAAGCTTCATTAATAAGTTTTTAACTTTGTATTAAAGTTTACAACTAATTTCTAAATTTTTTTTATTGTTTAAATGAATTTTTTGCAAAATATATTTTTAAAGAAGAGTTTTGAACAGTTTAAGATAGCTCTGATCAGCAAATTATGATATTTACTGTGAATTCTACAATTGAGTTTAAAGCACTGATAACCCTGTTGAGAATTAATACTTTATTTTATGATCAGGATGAAAATGAATCCCATTAAAACTAATGAATCACATAATAATGGCTACTCATCAGAATATTAAAGTAATGTTTCTCATTAATTACTCGCACGTATGTAACTATTTTCATAGAAACAATTACGAATTAACTCTTTGAAAATAGAATATGCGTCCAAGGTTACGCGATTTTCATACTCTCCACACTTTTCTCCTCCATCTTAACATTATTGTGAAGCGGTATTATACTTCAGAAAGAAGTGGGGATATACTGGGGTTGGGAAATATAAGATTTGCGAATACCATGGTAATGAAGAGTGGAAAAATGCGGAGAGTGGGAAAATTGAGTCACCTTGAGATGCCCATTCCATTTACAAAAAACATAGTTCATACATGTAGTTATATCATTTGATAAAATTTGTTGCTCACCACATCAAAGTATTTGACAGGTGTAGAAAAGTTTGGATTTTTCTTGTAGTTGAGAATAATGGAAGACTGCAGAATATGACCAGCACATTCAATATCCACTCTTGGACGATCAACAGTCATCAAGTGGACCCTCTTTAGCTCTCGAAGACCCCAGAACAAAACCTACGATTTAAATGGATTAAGTTTACAATAACATAAGACAAGCACTCGTCCTGAGTGAATATTTTAACACACTTGTTTAAAAAAGGACTTGGGACAATAGAGTGACAAGGCACATTTTTTTCATAGGTAGCATTTTACTAGGCATTGTTTCCAGCTAGGTCAATTTTCAAGTTGTGGGAATTCCGAGTAGAAAAAAGCATAGCACATGGAAGGTCAATACATGAAGATCACGATGTAATAGTAAATTTAGAGCTATGGCTTATCTATAAATTCCCCCAATCTCTTTATACACTTATTAACGTTTCAGGTATAGCTTTCTTTTTAAAAGACAGTTCTCGGAATATATCATAATCTCACTATTTTTGGCTATTCATTTGGCTATAAATTTGATATAAATTATTACTAAGAATTGATTTTTTTTCTCCAAATTTCATCATTGGCAGCACGTATAAAATGTTTGATTGATAATACAGATAATTATTTTCAAGCCATAATAAAATTTTTTTTTACTGTGTCAAAAATATTTAATTTGTATTTTTAATTACTTTATTCGAATTCCACACATGTTCTGAAATTTCGAGCTCAAATTATTAGGTCTGAAATTTTTAGAGACATTTAAACTTTTCTTTTAAATGCAATGCTGCAAGGTTTTTCTAGAAGAATTTTTAAAAACAGTTTTCCAGTTTCTTTTATTTCGTTCAATATGCGTACGCAAAATCTTAATGTAAAAAAGCGAGAGTGGCATTATTTCGTTATATTTGTTTTATTTCTAGATACCATAAAGATTTCAGATCTTGTTGGTGTCAAAATATATTGGGACTTTTAAGTGGAAATTAAAGTATACGTATTAAGTAGACTTATTTTCTACTTATTTTCTAGAAGAGGAACAGTGTTAGTGGTGGCAATATTAAAAGTGAGTAATATGCTGAAGATGTCTCACTCTAATTGTGCAAACGATTCTAAATTTTATGTAATTTTCAATTGCAAAGAACTTTCTTTGCGATAAAACAATTTTGAATAATTTAGGACACTTTTTTTTCTCCTTTTGCATATTTTCTTGAAAAGTTTTAAAGTAACAAGTAAGTATAAAAAATACATGAATATAGAATTATAAATAAGTATATTGCATAGAAACCGGCAATGGCATTAATCTGTTATTTTTTCTTTATTTCAGATTGATACAAACAAGATTTCAGATGTTGTTGGTGCTTAAAAATATTGGGACTTTAAAGTGGAAAATAAATTACACGCGTAAAGAAGATTTATTTTCTACTTATCTTCTAGATCTAGACTTATTTCTAGAAGTGGGAAAGTGCTAACGGAGACAAAATTAATAGTCAGTAATAGGCTAAAGATGACTTATTCTAAGTATGCAATAGATTCTAAAATTTATATTATTTTTAAATGTGAATGATATTTGTGGTGTTAGAAAAATTTTGAATATTTTGTGATAATACTTTTTTTCTATTTGTTTTCTTGAAATAAAATAAAGGCGAAAATGACATTGAAATTAGAAAAGTTTTAAGGTAACAAATAAGTATTAAAAATCTATGAATATGGAATTATAAATAAGTATATTACATAAAATAAATAAATGAAATAAAATGATTACGATACAGAATTTTCTCACTATGAAAGGAATCAATTTTCGATAAGTTCATTGAAAATGCTCGAGAGTTGTTTAGAAGAAGAATAATTTAGTAAGCAATTTTTTTAATACATTCTGTTTGATTCTCCTAACGTTGAAGGTGTGACGTTTCCTGCTTTTTTTTTCTTTTCGAAAACCTCTTAAGTTGTTACAATTACTGAAACATTATTACCTATACAATTTCAGCTTTGTAAGTCACATTTTGACACCTGCTCCCAGCTTAAAAATATTTTTCTATTGTTAAAGGAAATTGCAATATCGTTACAAATCAAAATCATATTCTTATACACAGTGTTGCCAGATTGGGCTAAGAGTAGCGGATTGGGCTACTTTTAAAAGTCCCCGCAACTAAAAATCGAATTTGGGCTACCCGCTACTTTTTTGGGTGCTCATTATTTTTCAAAAGCTACAAATTTTAAAAATGCGTTACTTTTTTTTCTTACAGAAATACTTTTTAAAAATTTTTTTCCCTTTCCCATCATAACGTAGATTTTGAAAAGTCTGCAGTTTCTTTATATTTTTTAAAAAGGAAAAATTTTTTCTTCCTGAAAACGAAACAGCTTTAAGATTTCAAAATTTCCTCCACCCCCGAAATTGGTATCACTGGACAGCTTTTAAAAAATATTGAATACAGCCAGTTTTGCTTTTTCGATCCGGAGTATATTTCTTGAGATATTTGACCATTTCCAAATTTTTTTCGCCCTATAGACTAATCAGTAAATCGTGTTGGACGGAGGCCAAAATATCAACAATAACCTAAAATCGTGCGTACATTAATATTTTTCCGATAGAGAAGGTGTATCATAGAGTTTTGAATTTTGTTTTCAACATACAATCACGCAACAGTCTAGTAAAGTAATTAAAAAAATAACTACATCTTTTATGTGTTCAAAGTTACTTATTACATCCTGCTTTTTTGTGATACTTTTAAATGAGATGATATGAAAAAGTGGGAACTCTAATTTGAAAATTTATACTCACTTCAATTCTGTATTTTGATAAAGTAGGTCTGATAGATAAAGGAACAGGCAAAATAGGCCCTCGATCTGAACGCCATACATTTTCTTTAGGTCTAGGAAGTTCAGGAATCACTCCTTTTTCATCTGATTCTGATAGCTGAAAGACGAAAATTCAACTTAATAATTATTTAATATGAGACCTTCAGAAAATTTATTTTCATTTTTTAAAAAAAAATTTAATGAGGAGCAAATCATTCCTATCAGCTAGCTGAAATATATAAAAAAAATCAATTGGCTCTAAAATAAAAATAAGATCGAAGAATCAACTGATTATAGTACTTCAATCAACTTATTATAGTTAATTTCTGAATTTAGTGAGAATATGAAATGTTCAAATCTTTTCTAATAAAACGCAGGTTTACATTCTATCAACGATATGGTTAACTCACTTTCAATTTTGCTAGCTCAATACTCACCTGCAACAGTTCAAATGTAGCTAAGAGAGCTCCCTAAAGTGTAAGCTAAAAATATTTAAGTTCAAGCGACCACGAGAACTTCTTTGTTAATAGCTCGTATGGTAACCCGTGTTTTGGATGAAGCAATTTATCTGAAACATTACCAAAATGGCCTTTAGTTTAATAGAGGAGATATTCTATGTTAATACTGGTCTCGCAGCAGCCTGATCGTAAAGACACGGTTCCCTCTAGAACACCAAAGTCAAGCATTACTGGCTGCGACAGTTAGCGGGTAGGTGATCACTTTGATAAGCCTGCGTAGGGACCGAGGGTGTGCTTTAGCAGTCCTTGTTAACCTTAGGTTCTACCGTAAAGTGCTCGACTTCGCAGGCAGGCCATCGAGCTACTAAAATAGGGGAGCCATTCCCTCTGCAGAGGATCAAAATTGCGATAACATGTCTTCTGATCATCCTCAGGGATGTTTTCCAGACCGTCACCAATAAGTCCGCAGCTCTAGTACTACGTAAATAAAGCACTATCTATGTTAATACTGCTATTTATGTTTATGCAGTTTCAGATAAGTTTTCCTTTTATTTCGAACCTAAGTTGCTAGTGTCAGCTCTGATATCTATATTTAAATAGATATCTTGAACCAGAAAGAAACTATATTATAGAAAAGTTTGGCTTCTGCATGCAGCAATAAGAAAGTTTTATCCAACACAGAGACTACTCAGAACAACTACAAAGACAACTCAGTACTTTGTACTCAGTATAATAATTAGATAATAAGGAAATTAGATTAATATGTAAGGAGATTAGAATGAAAATTAGATAATAAGGAAAAAATTAATCTGCCGAAATGAAATTTTTTGTCATTCGTATTGCATTATGGGTGAACTCACCTGCAGCAGTTCAAATGTAGCTAAGAGTTCCCCAGCTTGTTCCGATCCTCTGAAGATATCATACCATTCGAGGGTAGGAGGAAAATTAGGTTTGCAATATGGCTCATCGTTGAATTTAACATGAGGTCTTGCAATAGTCCGACCGATGAATTCTGATTTTCCCTGGAACGAAACAAGTCATGTCATAACTTTTCTAAAAAATTTAAATTTTAGTTAAACTACTCAGAACTAGCTTGAAGCTCATTTCCAAGGATACGCATTTATGCAAAAGTAAAGGATATTTTTATAGGCTGAACGAAAATTTGATTTTAAATGGATAATGTAATGATTGTTATTTTAAAACTTCTAGGTACACTATTATGAATTTTTTAATGCTTTTTCATTTTATTTTGCTTAAATTTTTTCCCCCTCAATATTGTTTATGTTGAAAAAATGATGCGAATTTCTGAAATAGATATCTCAAAAAGTTGTAGATTTGCTTTATTGATGAGATTTTGCATTATTTGAAATAGTTGACTACAATATTGCGATGCGTGGTTTATTTATTTAGAGAGTTCTTTAATTTCCAACTCCGATGGTTTTATGCTTAATAACAGTTGAATGGTAATTTTGTTTCTATTATACAACCAATAGTCACATCAAGTTTCATAAATCGGTCTTAAAGTTTTGTAGCTATCCACGAAGTGAAAAATTTTCTTAATTTTAAACGCCAGATTTTTACTTTTAAAATAAGGGCAGAATGTCTCTAAAATTCTAGAAATCTGCATAGAGATAAACGTTTTTTTAAAAAAAATTTGGATGCTTAAATTACATAGAGAAAATTAAGTATCATTACAGATTTTAATGACGTCTTTCAGATCGATTACAACTCTTCAAACTTCATTACCAATCTGTCACGTGCAAAGTAATTCTACATATAAAAAATTAATGTCTAGCTTAAAGGGCTTTTCTTTTCTCTTGCAATAGTCTAACTTACTAATGAAAGAACAGTATTTTTAAAAAATCGGACTATACTTCCTCAAATATCCCACTTTCTCTTTGTCAAGAAAAGCATTAATGATGTTTTTCTATTTCAAGCAGAGTAACCTCACACTTAAAAGAATGTTTTTAAAAAAATAGTTTTTCTTCGAAGAAACACTGAAACACCTCCTATTTAATTTGGATTACTCCGTATTTCTTGAATATTAATACAAAAATAATATTAAAACTGCAACTTCATTGAATGGACATGATAGAATCATGTTATTTCTTTTTAAAAATACATAAATCAAAATTCAGTTTTTTAGTAATACAATGCAACAAAAATATTCATATTAATAAACATACATAAAAACTTGCGAATTTATCTAGTTTATTTTTGTGGTTCATCATCAACTGACTTACCACAGATCATAACTCTTTTTCTATTTATTCATAATCTTTTATATATTATACCCCCATTCACAGTTTCGTTAATTCATTGATTCGATCATCCTATGATTTTTCGATTTATTGATTAACTGATTCATTGATTAGTACACTCGTTGATTCAGCGAATCTCAATATTTGCTGGTTCATGTTTTCTCTGCTAGCTTTCTTTTATTCGCTAACTAGATTAAGAATAACTCATTGGAATGGTTGCCGTAATGGCATATGAGCATTGTGAATTCGACAATTGGAAGTAAACAATCTTTAAAAAATAACGTGCAAAATAAACTACTAAAACTCTTGAAAAAAAAAAAGCCTTAAGTATTATCTCGCATAAAAAACATTAAAGAAATCGAATGATCGTCACTGTACAATGCGTTTCAACTAAATAAAGCCACCTGGAGTGTTTGCCATAACTGGACGAAAAGAAAACCAATAAGAAACAAACATATATATTATGAAATTCAATATCTAAACACATACTTACAGGAGTAACTCACGCCATGCTTCACGTGAACAGGGGAAAAACAACGAAAGGGTAAAAAGAATTGAAAAAATGTCCAATGAAATAAAGACACTTCTGATTAAAATTAAAATATCTACCATATTTCTTATCTGACTCAAAATCTGTGATTGTGCAATCCCAGGAGTTCAAAAGCATCCATATAATGTCTATACAGTCTTCGACTATTTATTGAAACTGCTTTTTTGTAAATATATTCATCCTTACTAAGGATAGCCTTTAATGTTTTCTTGGGGATTGAAGTCACGAGAAAGGACAGGTTATTCATGACACGCACCTTATTATCCAAAAGCTAACACTTTAAAGACTTTGAAGAGTAAATGAAGATATTATTTGCTTGAATCAATAACTTGAATCGACAATGCCAATCAATGAACTTCTAATATTTTTCTGGTAATCGATAGCCTTCATGTAATTTGGGAGAAAGGTTACGTTTTTACCAAAATAACCGAAGCCTTCTCCACAGCATATATGCGTCTCCACATTTCTAACCAATTGCGGAAGATTTTCTCCGTTTCTTCTCATCTTCTGTTTTACTTTATAAATCATGCAAGAAATTTGCGATATAAAAGTACTAACAGTAGCCATTGTTGAAAGCTACCCACAAGCGAAGGAGAGTAAAATATCAAGGAATTTAGAAGATACAGACAGTTTTGTGTGCTTTTACCATTGCATGAGAGAAGAAGAGAGTTTCTTCTAAGGCGGAGGCTTGTTTAATTGTTTGGGAAGTTTTCAGCAAAATAGCCTAGCTTCTCTCTCCAGCTGAATGGAGGCTGAAGATCATCAAAAAATTCCAGAAATCCATTTATTGCGATTTTCGGAGAAATTAGTGGCAGCACAAGTTGCAAAATCTTCATAGTGCAGGGCTTTTAGATAATAGGGCAGATTCGATAAATTTCATGTCCTTTTACTTGACCTATATCACTAAAAAACATAAGGGCTATCCTCAGTTGTAATGTATATATTCAGAAATAGCAATTTCAGTTTGTGGCAGAATTGAAGACCACCGTCATTGAAACCTGGAATGATATTGATGTAATGTCCGATAGGGTTTAATAAATGATAGACAACATCATATATTTTAAGTAAAATGTAAACATATCGGATATATCAGCTATAATCAGAAGTAGCATTATTTCGCTGAAGTACTCTTTTTCTTCCTCTTTTATTTATTTGATCTTTTATTTCTATCTGGGTGAAGCATTAAGTGGGTGGGTAATATGTTTAGATACAGAATTTATTTAGACACATTTCAAGAAGCCACTTGTTACTGACTTCAACTGCCCTAGAACCTTGAAATCGGTTATAGCAAGACTTAGAACCAATCATTTCAGAGGAATGAAAATTCTCTCGGACAAGACCAGGACATACGTTCCCTGCAGAAACTGCCCGTATGTCACATTAACACCAAGACACATTTTCGAGTGCCCCGCACTCACTTCACATGTTTTGAAAATGGGAATGGTACCAATTGAGGACAATCTAAGAGCAGTTATCTACAGTCTAGGGGCATTGAAGTTGGCAGCCGCAATAGTCCTTGATGTTATCTGAAAATCCATGGACACGAAAACAACAACAACAACATTTAGACATATATATTTAATTCTCAATGTCTTTTTTTGCATCCAGTTATGATAAAAAAGTTAAGGGGACTTCATTTAGTTGGGGCACACTGTAACAAAAATAGGTAATAAAGGATTTGTGCTATTAAATTATATTTGCTATTAAGTGACGTGATTCTCTCTCACTTTCTCTTTCTGTCTTCAGAATAACATGTGATAATATATAAGCATTAATTATAAAACAAGAACAAGAAAAAGATGCTAATTCTTGCCTTGCTATGTCAATGTCAGATTCAAAAAATACATATAATACTTTTGTTCTTAACAGTACCATATATCACTTTAAAATATGAAAATCATTCACAGTTGGTATAAGTTTTGACCTTGTGCATTTAAATTTAGATTGGGTTTAGCTACTCGAACTAATTCGTAATTCAGGGCACATTTTTAGCAACTAAAAAGCAGGTATTTAGCCAAGGCGAGTGATATTGCTGCCAAAAGGTAAGCAGATTCAGCCATGCACGAGTGAGTAGTTTTTCTGAAATTAGGCTCCACTTACGTAAGAGATGGTGTAATCTGTCATATTTTCGTACGTGAGTGATTGATGGTGCTAAAAAACATAAGTGAAACTTCCATTCAGAAAGATATTAGAGTTATAAAAGTAAGATATACAGACCTGCCACGAGATAAGTAAGATATACGTAGATATGAGTAATAAGAATATATACGAAGACGCAAATTAATTCACAAAAGTGGATGAAAATACTGACAAACTAACTGATGATAAAAATTATGGAGTTAGCTTTCTTAGTTCATATTAGAATACATTGCTTTATTTAGCAAATGTTATGAGTTATTTAATTCATTCTATCTGTGGCGATGCAAGCTGGTTCCATGAGCATGCTTACAGCTATTTTATTAAACATGGACATTATTTTCATAACTAATCTACGGCTACAGGATCAGAAAATTGACGTCTAGTCATAAAATAGTAAAATCGAAAAGTAAAGCTTCCAGAAACAGCCCATTATTGGCTAAGAAGTCATTGATGGTCTTTTACTTCGATGACAAGTTGATATCGATCGGCTTGAAGATAAGCGGCTTCGAAACACTAATGGTAAGTGTCAGTCCTTTACAACTAAAAGTGCTATGTTTTATCAGTGAAGCCTGAGAAAACGCCGAATTGAAATTGATTTAGAAGTTAGCTATTTTATTTCGCATATGTTACTAGCCAGAATTGACGCAACTTATTATCATATTTCACTGATTGACATTTGTTCCTTATCAATTTATTGTGCTTTATAATCATATTTACGACTTATAGTTGCTTACACCCGAAAGTGCAAAGCTTAGTTCAGAAAATTGTATATGCATTAGACTTTGGGAAATTATTGAAGTTCTATTTACTTTTTAGGCGCAAATGATAATAATCTAAATCTGTAATATATCACTTAAAGTTTATTAATATTTGGATGATAAAAACCACAAGATTAATGAAAAAAATAGAAAAAATTAAATTAGACTATTTCATTCAAAAAATAAAATGATTGGAAAAAGTAAAATGTTTGCCAAGTTTCTATTTTATTAAAGAAGGAATAATTAAATGCTAATAACAGTTTAGAATGAAATTATGCTTAGTGTCAGTTTAAGATTAAATGTACGATCACTCAATATGCAAATATAAGACATAGTATCTAATATATAAGTGGTGTATAATATTTCAAATATAGAACAAATTTTAACTTCAAAGTACAAATCTGAAATCCTTATATCAAGACAATAAAGTCATAATTTATATTTACCGTAAATACAAGCGTTAAAATATCTTTATTACAATAAACAACTCAGTACAATCTAAGCTGCACTGAAAGATGTTTAGGAATGACAATTCTACTTGTTCATGACAATTCACGTTAACACGCCTCAAAGCATTTTAAAATAATTAAGATAAAAAAGAAAGAATACCAATGTTCTGTACTGATAATAAAGTAATATAAATGGGAGGATGCTTACCACTTTATCTTGATCGAAGATTTCTACGACAATCACAGGGGGATCTTCTTTGATATCTTCCTTGTTACCGTAGACAACGACATCGTTGAAGAGCAACATCTCGTCCCAAGTTGGGCTCAACGTCTCGTCGATCACCTACGAGAGAGGCGTAACAACTCGTTTTATTTGTCTCTCTACGATATATTTTCATTTCGCGTTTCTTCCATTCAGCCTTATATGGCCCATTTAACTGCTTAAATGGCTCTTGTAGCGGCAGAAGGTTTTATAAAGGTGGTATTTATAACATTGATTTTGTTTTTATTAGGGTTAGGATAAGGATTTGATCGGTAGACGAATCTAGATGACTCTTAAAACTCGAAGGTACTTAATTATGTACAATTAAAAGAACTTAAACTTTGATTTATAACTAGATTATTATAAATATTCAAACAAGAATATTTAGGGTTCATTTCAGGTTTAAAAAAAATTCAATTTCTTTCATTTTAAACTACAGCGAATTATAGAAAAGCCCTTTCTTATTTGCTTAGTAACTGATAAATATATTTGAATATTTTTTCTAATTTCAATTTATTCATTGAAATATGCTCCATTGATCCTAGTTACCAAAAAAAAAAAAAAAAAAAAACAAAANACAGAGGGAGACCCTGTCAAAAAAAAAAAAAAAAAAAAACACGAATACAAAACTGCACGATTTTGTAACCATTTACAACCAGCATGGCCTCAATTTTATAAAAATTAAATTTACTTGGACATTCGAGTTAGTCTTTTAGTTAGATAATTTGCATTGGAATTAGGCTGTGGTTTCATCAAATGAACCGTTTATCTTGACTAGTTTTTCTAGTGGTGCCATTTATCATGACAGATGCGAAGTACTACACTTTTTTAGTAAGCAGTTCTGTAGTGTTGCCATCTATTTGCAAATGCGAGTTTCGTATTTTAATAGTTCAGTGTCACTAATTGAAGTGCGCAAGAGGCTAGAAACGCATCATGTGTTGAAAGAATGTAAGAAAGATTGTCGTGTTAACACTGGGGTTTGAATCACCAATTAGACTGGCATGAGATTATCAGAGAAGCTTTCTTAGCTAAAGTATGTACCCAGCTGTAGGAACTATGCCGTTTCATAAGGTGATACTAGCTAACGCGGGTAAAATTCAGGTAGTTTAATCATATTACACAGTTAGAATTTTCATTCTAAAAAGTACGGTAAAACAACTGGCTACAGTCTGTTCACCCAATTAACCGTAAAGATTACGGTACAGAACATTTTTTATCCTTCACGGTTTTGAAACGTTTATAGCTATTTGCCATCTATTGTTATTAAAAACATGAATACAAAACTAAACTGTTTTTTAACCATTTACAATTAGCATGGTTCCAAAACCATAAAAAATAAATTTAACGGGGCATTGAAGCTAGGATTTTCATTAGGTAATGGGCAATGGAGTTGTGTTTCAGCAAATGAACCGTGGAATGTGGTTCAATTGGTTTATCCGGTTGTTTCACTTATTGTAAGAGATTTGAAATATTAGACTTTTTTGTCTTAAGCAGCTTTATTGTGCTGCCATCTGTGCGTGAATGAAAGTATCGTTTTTTAAAGCCCAGGATTATAACTTAGGGAGTGCAGTACACTAGAAAATCTTCATATGTTGAAGAGAATGGGAGAACATTATGGTGTCAACCCTGGGACTTGAACCCCTTTCCGTCGGTCATGAGATTGACAGATTAGTCTTCGTGGCTATAATATGTACACAGTTGCAAGGAACTAAGTGGCTTCATTAGGTGGGTGTGATAAAATTCTGTTTGTTCAACCATTTTGTTTGAATATGGTTAAATAACAATTAAATAAATTTGCTCTTTTATAATTTTTTCCGGAACAGTGTAGGTAAAAACAATTAAGAAGTGATAAATATTTCCGCAGTTACTAATCTGAAGGCCGTCGTTTTAATGGTATTTCAACTGTTTTGGTTTAATATTTGTTTTTCTATGCAAGGAAAAATTAAATAAATTGTTATTTAACCTCTTTTCCCGAAAAATTTCTAACTGTGTAGTAAACAATATGGTAAAAATGGCAATTTTAAAATATTTTTATAGTTACAGATTTAAATACATAATTAATAATATCCTTAAAGAAGCGAAAATTGAGACTATATTTTTTAAAATTAGTGATAATGACATCCAAGAATTCGATAACTCATACAAAATGAATTGTGCTAAAAAATTGTCAAAAACTAGTTAAGTAAGCTATAATTTTTTTACCTGAGTCGTTTGACTTTGATCCGAGAAGAGGACTCGAGCAAATGGATCAGAGAGACCAGAAGCATCTGAACCAATCAAAGATCTTGCTTGATACATGTGACATCGAAGCTCAAAGATTTGTTTTTCTGTGCAAAAAGAAGAAAAGTGAAATTATGCTCATCCACAACTTATAACTCTAAAAACATATAAAATGTTATATATATAAATAAAACTACTAAAAGAAAACGCAAATATTTTTAATCTAAATAGATAAAACTTCTTTGATGTTTTTTCCTGGACTTCTATACGAAAGCATCGGGGTACTGAGGGAGTTAATTTAGGAATTTGCTTCTCCCTCAATTAGAAATGGTTTTGTTTTATGGCTACCGGGGCCGGTACCCCCTGAAGACGTCGGCTTCGGTGGTCATATTTTTATTTTTATTTCCTTCGTTTCCTTTAAATAAAACTACGTTATTATCNAAAGTTTAAAAAATACATATCTGTCAAAATCTTCCTCTGAACTAAAATTTTCAAACTCCATTACAAATTACATATTTAAGAAATTTGTAAATCCTTATCCTACTAAGTAGATAGTTATCATCGTAAAAGAAAAAAAAAAACAAATAAATGTTTCTAATTAGGCACTGAAAATGACAGTTTAAATTAATTACATTCTTCTTGTCCACAGTATGACACAAGCTAAAAATATAACTAAGCTCTTTTAATCTTACCCCCTTTTTTTAATTTCCCAAAGCTCATTAATCTTACTCAAACGAAAGCATATCACATATTAACAGAATATGTTTCTGACACTTGTCTACTTTGTTAAAAATATTATTTAATACACTTCCTTTTAAAGCAATGTTTATTAACTTTATTACAAATTTGATGGTAAAATTTACAGATAGTTTTTAGAACATTGAACTTTAACGGAAAGTCATAAAGAAAGGAACATCCAAAACATCGTGTTTTTCTTTTTAGTAATTTGTGAATGCTCATGTTTATTGTTAAAACAACGTTATCACAATAAGGTTTTTTTTTATAAAGCAAATGGAATATTTGGGTTTGTAAGAAAACTGCTGAGTGTAATTGAATGGGGAACAAATATTTGACATGAAAGAATTTCAAAGTTGTTATTTCGAAGAAAATTGTCAACATAAATTTACTCTTCATTTCTCTTGAGTTCAGTTTTTTAAACACTTTCTGCCCTAAAAAGGAATTATAAGAGGAAGGCAAAATTTCGAAGCTTTATTTTCAAATTATTCAAAAGAGCGAATTTTAAGAGCCCTTTTGTGAAAAACAACACGAATTTCATTTACGAATATATTTATAGGAATGTATAAATGTTGTTGGTTTCATTTGAAAAAATTATGTTTCTTGGATTTAGAACTTCACTTAACGATTCGTTGAAAACGTTAAACAAATCCCAGAATGAAACCAAATAACAAAATGCTTTTCTCTTTATTGTTTTATTCCCAGTTTTTCATTTCATTCCAGTTAGAGAAAATAATTTTGAACTTTTCAAAAATCGATTATCTTTTGAAATAGTGGTAGAATACTTATTTAGTTTCAGATTTTAAATTTTGTAGGCAGTTCGGAAAAAACTTTGCGCACGCAAAGGAAATAGTTTCGATTTGCAAGTCTTAAAATTCATTTTTTTATCAGAAAAACTGTCCTTCTACTTTTTATGAAATGTATAAAAAAGATATTTTTTCCCTTTTGCTCTGGTGAAAAATAATCTTCGAATGACGAGTTAATCTGAAACGTACGCTGATGTGCTAAAAGATTTCTTCTACCTGGCTTATAGATATTTTTAATGGAAATTCCTGAAATTTGTAAAGTACCTAATCGGAAAAAAGACTAAGTAACACTTTGATGTAACGAATGTCCCTTAAAAAAGTGTGACTTAACAATCTATTACCCCAAATCATTCAAATACAGTTTTAGTACTTTCCTCTCCGTTAAGAATTTGATGATTTCGAAATAAATTTACAATTAAATGATTAGAACAAATATAAAAAAGGAAGATTTATTCTTCTTTAAGATTTGTAGGAACTCATCCGTTTATCGGATTACTATAAAACAACATAAGTGGATTTGTTTCATTATCTGTAAGAAGTTTTCATATAATTTCAAAGCGATATTCAGCACTTCGTTTTTACATCTTCATCTTCCATTAAATCGATAGGACAGTCATAAAAAGAATAACCCATTTACTTAACGGGATTTATTTTTAAAGATTTTTTCTCTTGGAATAAAGAATGAAAAATTGATTTATTGAGTCAAGCCAACCAGAGAATATTTGGCAGACATTTGGTTTGCTGTCCTGATAAAAATGTCTTATCTTTCTCGAAAGTTGATGGGGAAAGAGAAAGGAAACTTTGATTGGCGTTAAAAAAAGTAATAAATAGAAATAAAGACATTCGTTTTCTTTAATAACAGATTTCATTCGTTTATTTGAAAAAAAAACGAAAAAGCAAAAAAAAAACAACAACAAATTAAATTACTATTAATGCATTTACTTCGATTGTTTCAACTCATTATAATTATAATAAAGTGACAAAAATGCAATAATATAAGTAAACAAAAAAGAGTTATGTATCTTTTAATTGTAAATAATTCCTCTAATTTTGTTTCATATAAATCTTATTCGAAATCCCATTAAGAATATTAAGATAAATTTCCAATTCCTCTAATGCAGTTCTAATCCACATAATTCTTAAAAAATACGTGTAAAATCCTCATAAAATCCTTATTCAGATGAGTCTAAATTGTATTTATAAAATTAGAGGGACGACAGTATCCATCATATAGACTAGCGATATTTAAAATGGAACATAGCATCGCGTTCAGTTCTGAGAAACCATATTTCGCACGTGGAAGTAACAGATCCGTAGTTTCTGCACCTTTGCTTATTGGAGTTTTTCTTATAAAGGAATCTTCAATGTCGATAAGTTGGTAAATCCTGCTGAAGATCTCGTAGCTACCAATACCACTTTGAGCAATTTCTGTGAGCTTTTCTCAGATCAATGAAATAAAAGCGTGCAGTTTTAGTATTGCTCAATTGCTTTCCTAACACTGCTGTACAATCATGAAACTCTTTCTCTTCCTCTCAGAGTGGAAGGGCACCTTATGTTCCGCAATAGTTATTGCTCTTCAAGATGAGTGCTATCATCCTTCTTATTGTGTAAAAAATCAATTCAGATTCATAATGAGTATTTAATCCTATGTACTTTAAGAAATTCGTTTGATTAACAGCATCTAATTTTTTAAAAAAGTAAAGCACTCGTCACATGTCGACCAAGGGCTTCAAAGGCTATAAGCTTTACCATTAAAAGACAAACAGCTTGATGGCAGGAATGTGGTAAGCTTTGCGAGGCTGTTGCTTTTGCTTCCTAGATAAGCTTGGTAGGCTACAAGTCGCCATTCGATACATAATCACGCTTCTTCATTATGACAGCTTGGTGCATATTATTATTCCATTATAAAATGACCAGCGTTAGTGCATTAACAACTGTTTCATCGCAACTCTGATATCGAACTTAACGAGATCAATTTAAGCATTTTTAAATGTCAACTTTTAAAAAGTTTGCTTTTGTCTGTTTCATACTCAAAGAGTTTTTCAAAAAAGTCTAAATGCATAATTATAGTATTTTTTATCAATTACACTGTATGAAACATTTTAATTTTATGTACTAGATAAAAAAATATTTTTAAAATTTACTTTATAGCTGATGTGTTACAATGCAAATCATACTTCGTGAAGAACTTCTGTCCTACTTTTTTTGACCTAAATAGAACACTATAAACTCTCAGATTAGCGTAATGGTAACGTGATCTCCAGAGATAATCAACCTTTGATCCAATTATCACTGGAGATGGTTTTTTCCAGTCTTGTGATTTGTATACGAAACTTACCATTAATACTTGTCCCAATATTTAAGGCTTAATCTATTTCTGCTTAGCAATACGCTATCATATCTTCGCCTTGAACAATTTTCATATATCATAGCAATACAAACATTTCCTTTGAAAGTGAGTATTATTCAATTCATTTTGTATTATTACTGTCGACAAACAGTGTATTTTATAAGTAAAACTTGAGACAGTAACCTTCATCTTCCTATTACAGCAATATTAAACTGAACGTATCTTCAAGTGTCAACTCTACTCTAACTCTCTATAACTCAACTCTAGAGTAAAATTTTAAGACATTATTTTTTATTGAATTTAAACTGCATTTGAGTAACAGGAAGAGGAAAAACAAGAAGACCTTTCAAGACTGAAGTGTATACAGATAAAATTATTAAATCGATTTTCGTGGGTTGTAGAATGGTCCTTGTAGTGTTTTTTTGCAAGTTTAACAGCCAACGATTTCTTAAATTCGAGTGTTAAACTTTTTATTCCATACTTTTCGCTGTAATTTTTTTATACCTTTTCATAATTGCGCATTTTTAAGTGTACATGTTTCCAGGCAGTAAAACAGAAAGTAACGTACATTTGTACACTTAAACAGCTGTGGCACTTACAAGAGAGATATTTGACTGGAATTGAATTTTCTGCGCACCACTGTTAAAAATCCAAAGATAAAACTACGTCATATATGATATATAAGACCTCATCGCTAAGTTTCTTAAATATTGCAAATAGAAATTCAAAAATAATGAAAAAAAGAACAAAATATCATTAAAAATATGCAATGTATTTTAATCATTTCCTTATTTTTAGAAATCAGAGAAGAAAACTCTGAGGATTAAAAAAGTTTCAAGACGTACTTTCATATTAACTGAAGACGCTTAACATTTTTTCTCTCTAGCGTATTTAGCATACTTTCAAATTTCAAAGGAATGAGATTTATGCAAAAAAAAGACTAAGAATAGTTCTATAATCCATTTTCCCAAAGTCTAAAAAATTTAAAAATATAGCTTGCGGATTAGGTTTAATACTTGTTAAGTATTATAAAAATTAAAATCAGTTCTTTCTGAATAATAATCATATAGAAACTAAATTTTTTGTTCACCTACTAATATAAAAAATCAAATGCTTAATATACTCTTTAAAAGCTGTCAAAAATCTTCAATATCACAAACATCAAACGAAAAATGCGTGAAATAAAATAAATAAGTGAAAAAAATGGCGAAAATGGTAAAGTTTTCCATCATTTTTCTCCCTAGATATCAGTGATAAAAATGTGAAGTGTATTAATATTTATCGAAGGACTTCATAATTTTTTCTCGATTCAACTCTTAATCGATTTTCAGATTTGAAAAGGAAAAAAAAAATGTTTATTAAAGTCAAAATGTTCTTAAAATGTCTCTTTTTTTAGTTCGAATAAAAATGTCAAAATACCTGCATATCGAATGATGGAAGGTGGAGCAGACTGGAGCTTTTCTGCATTTCTTATTTCTATCGAAGAGTCGTATCCTTTTGGAAGCCCTTTCAAAAAATGTTTCTTGTGTTTCGTAAGACCAAGCCACAAGTACATTTGTACTTTGGCCTGGATGGCCCATCCAGCTGGGCCAGAACCTTTTTTGCCAGGAAGCTAAATCAAAACAGTTTCAGAATTATAAAAATTCGTTTATCATTGTTTTTATTTACTCTACTTTAGTACCAGAATTTAGTGCTAGAGCTTTGATTACACTGGGGAATAAATTGCTTGTTGCATTTATAGTAATATTTGATCAAATTCGAATGTGGGGATTTTAAACCTGAAATTAATTTTACTCCTAATGCTACATTTTTTTAAATACCATCATTACTCTATTTTTTGTCGGAATTTACAAGTTTAAAAACGTTATATGTAACGGAGGGGATTGCGTAAATGTTGAAACAAACTTCTAAGGGAGTTAGGGCGCATCACCAGAATTAAAATTGAATAAGAACTCATACCCGGAAATGTCGTCTTACGTGGTTAGGGGCACGTCCCCAATTAAGACCTCTTCTTCAGAAGCACACGGACAATCAGTTTTTAGTTAACAGTTAGGCATGAATTCCTGTGCAATTTTAAACCTGATGATGTGCTCTAATTTTTCAGGAAGTTTGTCGCAACATTTATGCGACCACTTGTTATATAACGTTTTTAAAATTGTACATTTTAACAGAAAATAAAGTCCAAGAAAAATGACATCTGGTTAAATGTCATAGACTTGACGCAGATTTGAAATCAGCGATGCGAATGTATCTAAGATCTGTTACACGATCTAATGCCACAGAAAAAAAATTGTTGCCCAATGCTATTTCTAAAATTGTTTTTGTAATATTTTTAGATCAATCCAAATTTATAACGGAATTAGAACGTAAACAAAAATTATCCATGATGTGAAAAATAAAATAAAAAAGGTTACTATTTTATTAGAAATTTCATAACCTTAAAATAATAATTTAAATTTGTATTATGATAATATTACAGCGATGCTTAGATTACATTAATGGTCCTATACATGACTGGAGATTAGAAAAATTAAATGAGAAAGAAAGGTATGATTTGTACATTCTGTAAGGGAAACTAGATTTTGGTTCAACTAAGCTTAAAAATTGGATAAAAAATTTGCCGAAAACTGGCTCTCCTAGCTTAGAAAATAACTTCAAAATAAACATAATTTTCATTAACAATGTGCTGCCCTCTGATAGTAAGATTAACAGACATTAATAAAACTATTCTTGTTGAAATAGTCTGACTTGTGGCAATCGTTTGTTTGACAACTTTTCCAATAACAGCGCCATCTGAGAATGAATTTTGTGACTAATTTTGAAATTTGTGAGAAAGAACTGCATAATTTCTAAAGCAGAACACAAAAATCCGACCATCTGAGTATCATTTCGTCTTTTTCTTTTTTAAATTAGTTTTCCAAATCTTTTGTTATTTTGGAATATCGAATAATCATCAAATGTTTTTTTTTGCTTTTTACTCAATTTTTTTTCAAGTAATGTTTCTTTCCCACAGTTTTTGCAACTTGAAGAGTTAGTGCACATCTGTAGTTTATAGCCTTCTTCCATCACTGATTCACATAAAAATCTGCTGATCTTTCCTTTCATTATAGAAATAAAAAATTACTGCCATTGTATTGCATGCTGATTTCGCGTGAAACATATGTCATTACATAATTATAAATACCAAAAAAGAAGTCCTTCTATTTTCACGCCTATCCATACAATACCCATTAATGATTCTTCATCTACTTGATTTGTTCCTTTTCATCATCAGCTTTGGTCCGTTTTTATGTCTATGTTAATTATGCTGTACAACCATTACGTTATAGTTTTTATTGTATATCTAGTTGTATTTTATATCGTTGTATTTATATAGTCTGAAATATACACTCATGGACAAAAAAATTAGGGCACCAAGAAGGAGTAGTCAAAATGAAACGAAATTTCACATACGTAAATGACTACTTTGATATAAGTAAATGATTAGAAAATCAAAGAAAAACGATAATCTTTGATTATCTAATCATTTACTTACATCAAAGTAGTCATTACGTATGTAAAATTTCGTTTCATTTTGGCGACTCCTTCCTGGTGCGCTAATGTTTTTATCCTTGAGTGTATTTTAAAGCTTTTAAAATAAATATCTGCTTCGAAAAAATAGAAAAACACAGGTGAAATTGATCTGCTGTTGTTAATTCATTCACCGATTCACTAAAACGCTTATTCAGTGATTCACCAATTAACTGATTCGTTTATCCCTTCAGGACCGGCAGATAAAGAAAGCATTGCTTCCCCAGGCTGACAACCATCGTTTTAGGACAACAATTATGCTTATTAAAGAGTACCTACACATTATAATACGAGATATAATACGAAAGTACAACATTGAGATCACGTTTATATGATCTTGGATCATGAAGCGAGAATCGCGTGATTACATACATGTGATCATGGTCCTGAGAGGGTCAATGCGTCAATTCAATGGTTTTCATTTGTCTGAATCGAGGATTGGTTAACAGATTAATTTACCTAATTTTATAGTCAATTTTTTCTTCAATTCGGCGGCTACATCAAGACTGTTAGCTATGGGTGCTTATCTACGATATTTTTTTTTAAAAAGTAAATAATTATATGAAAAAAATAATGAGAGTTAAAGTTCTTTTTCTCCCGATTTACATAGGCTTATAAATAAAGATTTCGGAAATAAAATGTAATAACCCACACTTTTGCAGTTTAGTATTTTCTTAACTGCCGATTTTCCTGTCACAAACAATGTAAAAATGTATGTAGAAAGTAAGATATGTAGAAATAATGTGAAACTTTTTAAGAAAGTGAACTTGTACTGAATTTCTGTCTGCAGTTGAAAGTTGCTGCCAGTGGTTGAAAACTCTTAATGGTTATAACTTAAAATTCTATTCCCAGCATAGTTATAATTATGGAAAAAAAAGGTCCACCTTGAATAACTTTTGCTGAACTTACTTTTTCTGAATAAAAATTCCTTTTTTTCGATGGATTGGAAATCTGATACTCAAAATATAAAAAATACGATTTTCTTTAAAACTTCTGATTTTTCAAGAACTATTCGACCCATTCGTCCCTGATTTTGTATTTTCCAAGTAAAATTACACTCTTTACAATGATGCAAAAATTTATATACCTTACAATTCAAAAACGTTTTGACTATGATTAAATAAGATAATAATAAACAAAGTTTTTTTACTTGAAATTATTTTGGGATAAACGAATATTATAATAATGGGCTAAAAGTTTTCAATTCTCTTATAATGTTCTCGAGATATTACGAAATGCACTAACAGTAAAATTAACAGGGGTCAAGCCTTTTGACCATTCTCCTGACCAAATTATTGAGACCATATTTTCCAGATTACCAGTTACCCTCTATATTTTGAGAGTCAGAAATTCCGTTGAAAAAATCCATCCAAAAAAAAAAAGAAAGAAAAAAAGAGAGAATGTTTAATCAGAAAAAATACGTTTTCGTGTCTGATTTCGTAACTTAAAATATAATCTGCACCAATTAAGCAGCATATTTGAGATAACCTCTGGAGCCATTAAGACTGAGTCCTAGTTCGCTTTATTTTGTGCACCGTATGAAATTTTTATAAGATTATCACTTTTTACCACCGAGTTCTTCTTCAAATAAATAATTAATTTTATCGGAAAAAATCTCCCCCCAACTCTCTTATATTCTCTCAGCTGTTTCAAATGGAGCATCTCTTTATCGTAACTAGTATCATGGGAAAGCAATTACTTTTAGAAACAATGTCTGCACTCTGCCACAGTGTTTCCCGCTCTCTTCTTCCACAATAGAATACATGAGTTCCCTGGCGCAAAGTCTTTGGTAGGCAACTCTTTTACCACCGCTTATCATCCATACGAACACATCGGGCAATACGTGCTGCGGCTACAAGTAAGACCATCCATTAGTTACAGACATTTTACGTACACTAATGGGCTATTAAGTGAATAAAAACATTCTGCTTACATCATCCGTCAGGTTCCTTAGCTTCTTCAGAAACCCCTGGGCAGTTCTTAGTTTCTCTTTGATGGTATTCTTTGTGACGAGGGGTTTCATTGTCCTGGAGATGGTTGCGATGTGATCCTAAAGGATGAAGAGAAATTTAGTTACATTTTATTTCTATGAGGAAAAGCTTTAAGAGAGTCAAAGGACAAAAAAGAAAAGAATCAATATAGGGATTGTAATAGCTAAAACAGTTTTGGAATTTATTTTTTTCCCCTTTTCATTACATTATAAACAAGAATGTGGTTTCTATAAGTAATTTTATTTTACTTTTTAACCGGCGTTGAACAGCTGATCCAATTCTGAGTTGAGGACTATCAATGATCAACTCCATAGCCTTGTAATTTTGATGTAAAACTCAGATGAGAAGGGAACTACTGGATCAAGCAGTGGAACCAACTTAGTATTCGTGAAAGATAGCATTAGCGTTACATGATGAATAAAATCAAGAAAAATCCCACGGTTCGACGGCCAGGGAATTCTAACCTATGATTCGCCTACCTCTAAGAATCTTTCACGTCAGTACTGCACTCGGTACCAGCCACCGTTGGAATTGGAGCCTAGGTGACCTCACTGGGAGGTGAATGCTCTATCCCCAGAGCCACCGTGGCTCTCGATAAGTAATTGCAATTTTTTTTGCATAAACGATATGGATTGGCGTGTAAACATATATAAATTAAGTAGGCTTAAGTATCCAAGGTTTATTCAATTTATCACAAATTAATATTCGAGGGAAATAAGAAGGGTTATATCGAAAGGCTTTTTGTCAAGTTGTTACATCATAAGCCACAGAATTTTTTTTATAATCATTTGGAAACAAGTAAGCATTATAGTTTAGTAAAAACGTTCAATGATACAAAAATCTTAATTTTGTTATTACTTTGTAATAATTCGGACTTTAAACAGCCAAATTTTCGGAGTCGGAATCTTGGAAGAAATGGTCTAAATTGTTTTAAAATTTGGGATTTTCATAATTCATCTAAATAATTATCAAATTTATTTAAAAATAAAGGTAATGATTAACCTTTTTTTAAAAAAACTGTTTTGTAAAAAATAATTAAATGTAAAAAATGCAAAAAATAATTTGTATTTTTAGATTTTTAGATAGCATTTTAATAAGTAAAACCAATAGTAAAACCATGCAGTTTTTATTATTTTTATAATTATTTCTTTCTCTTAATTCTGTTAAACTCTCACGCGAAGAATGATTTGTGCAAACAAAATTTCGAGCTCAAAATATCTCGGGGAAACAATATTTCGTGAGCTAATTTTATTTTCTTGCGTGGTTTATCCAAATTATATTCATTTAGATTTTATGCTCATTAGATTTTGTGCACTTGTGATATTATTGAAGCAAAATTTTTTCTTCATTCCTTACGATATTTAGGTTAAAAAAACAGTGAAACTACATAGTAACAGCCATTTTTATTAAATTTACCAAAAGTTGTTTTAATATTTACCCACCCCCCTTTAAAAAAATTAAAAAGTTATTTTAAGCGTTTTTTATGATTTTGGTTAGGCAATTAATTTTTTAAAAATAAATGAATTATTTTGTTTTCAATATCTAAATATAAATTAATACATTGCTAAGTACATTGTTTAAGTAATTCATATACTCATATTTTCAAAAGATTTTTTATATGTCGTATAAAAATTTGAATTAAAAATTCAAAAAAGCGTTTTTATACTATTTTCATAAATAATAAAAACTACAATTAAAAATAAAGTATAAAGCAACATTTTATCCTTTTAAAAAATGATATTTTTCTCTTTTTTTCGTTGCAGCAGTGTATTGCAACAAAGGTACATATTTAATTAATGCAATCAAGTTTCTAATTAATGCTTATGATTCTAATTATGCGCTGGAAAAAGTAATATCTTGTTTAAACTATTTGAAAAAAGTTTTTCTTCATTTTAAAAATATTCAAAAATTGTATTCTTTTCTGAAAAAAAAAACAATTTAAATAACTATTGTTTTAATTGGATAAAGAGATTAGCACTTATTTTAAACGACAATGCATTATTTTTTTAATTCTTAAAGTTAATAAAAATATTTCTTTCATGAGATAAATTAAAAATTCTTTTCTAAAAGGCTTAAGTGTTTTAAAGCAACGAAACCCAGGAAGAGGAAAGAGTGATTTTTTTCATATTATGAAGTTATGCTAATTGCAAGGTTCATGAATTTAATTTCCTCTTTTCTTTTTCATGACTTCAAAATTTTTTTGCTTATTTATCACTTTTTTGCTTGAGTAATAGTTTTATTAGACAATTGGTGGAAGAAAGAAAAGTTCTATTGTCGAATTCCATTTTATCAAATTCCGAGGTCGAAAAACAATCATTATGCAATAACGATAATTTTTATTATATCGATATTACGAATTTGAACATTAACCAAAATTATTTTGTTACATTGGAATTTTTGGCATAAAAAATAATAAATATTTCACTGTTTTGACTTATTTGCACTCTGCATTTAGGAAAAGAAAAACAATGCAATATTTAAAAAGCTCACAAAAGCTATTAAATTAAAACAAACAATGAATTTATTAACTCTACCATCAGACAAATATGTATTTTGTAATTCTGTACAAATCATTTAATACTAGTAGGTACTACAAACTTCTCCAAATTATGTACATTTTAAAACAAAATTTCCGAAAGGATTTTTTTTCAATAAATATCTTTTTACAGCTTCCAAGTTGATACAGGTTTGTATAGCTGTATAAGTACCGATACGTTTTATTCAACGCGTTTTGTACTTTTGAAGAAAGGTAAAAATGTCTTGATCAAGAAGAGAAGAGAAGAATTGTTGCTTATTTTCGTCCTCGTTAAATTGGATAATCCATTTTGTAATATCATGTTTCAAATGCATTGCTTCTACGCAAATTCATTTGGGGATTCGAAAAAAATGTTCGTATCTTCAGAATTTTTGCCATTTCAATACAGGTCTTTTTAAGATGGTTCTGAAATCTATAATAAGTCATAAAAGGCTAGGGAATGAGGGAGGTTTTATAATGGCTATTGTTCTTTGCTAAACGCACTAAACACTTTTCAATAAAAAACATTTCAAGATTGTCACAATAAGCCCTCATTCATTGTAATCTGTGGCAACCATTGTAATCTTATCTAAACCAGGTTTTTATGGCTTTAGCCCTGCTGCGGGAGAAACAACTAAATTAAATTTGGTGCAAGCCCCATTATGCCAACCAAATTTGATATAGGATAAGAATATTGAAAAAATAAATAAATAACGTTAATATACTATAAAAAAACCAATAATATCATTCCAGAATTCTACGAACCTTCAACACTTAAGTGAGTAATTATTAAAGGAGTGGACGCAGCGTGGCCAAATTGGTGCTCTTTTTCAGCCAGAAAAAAAAATGTAAATTTTATTTTCCGATTTATATGAAGATTTGTCAGGGCAAAAAACTGAGTTTTGGTTCATTACATTAGTTTTGCAAGTCGTATGTTGGACAGACCTATAGTGAATAAATTATTGATGTGCAGTTAAATAAGACTTAAACAAGACCTAATAATATCACTCTTCATCTCTTCCGAAACGATCTCTTCATGTTCTATTTTCTCATAAAAATTTGTGAAGTTAGTCATCGATATACACACAAACTAAATTTTAATTTCATTGTTATTTCAATTTAACTAATAGGTTATTACCAGAAGTTTTTATTCAAATGCAACACCGTTAAATTGAAACACATATACATATTTTAAGATTTTTTAAAATTATTTCTGAAAGCATGTTGTTGGATGCTGTAGAAGTCTGGGTTTAAACATTACAATATAAACAAATACTATGAAATCATTGTTTCAAGTTGCGTCGAAGAGTTCTACAATATGGGTCAACAGATTAAGAAATAAAACTTATCGTACAGATTCCTAATGTTTAGATTCATTTTCATTTTCATTTGAATTTAACTAATGGATTATTACCAGAAGTTTTTATTCAAATGCAACACCGTTAAATTGAAAAACATATACATTATTTCACGATTTTTTATATTGTTTCTGAAAGCTCGTTGTTGAATATTGTAGAAGTTTGGATTTAAACATTACAATATAAATAAATACTAAGCAGTCATTGTTTCAAGTTGCGTCGAAGAGTTCTACGAGTACAATATGGGTCAGCAAAGTGCGAAATGAAACTCATTGTTAACATTCCTAAAGATTAGATTCATTGTCATTTTAATTTAACTAATGGATCATCACCAGAAGATTTCATTTAAATGCAACACTGTTAAATTGAAAAACATGTACATTATTTCACGATTTTTTATATTGTTTCTGAAGGTGCGTTTTTAAATACTGTAGAAGTCTTGGTTTAAACATTACAATATAAGCAAATGCTATGAAATCATTGTTTCAAGTTGCGCCGAAGAGTTCTATAATATGGGTCAACAGACTACGGAATAAAACTCATTGTTAAGATTCCTAAAGTTTAGATTCATTGTCATTTTAATTTAACTAATGGATCCTTACCAGAAGTTTTCATTTAAATGTAACACTGTTAAATTGAAAAACATGTACATTATTTTAAGAATTTTTATATTGTTTCTGAAAGCACGTCGTTGAATACTGGATTTAAACATTATAATATAAATAAATACTATGTAATCATTGTTTCAAGTTGCCCCGATGAGTTCTACAATATGGGTCAGCAGAGTGCGAAATAAAACTCATTGTTCAGATAAAGTCAACTAGTGTAAAATTAGTAGTTAATCGAAAAGCTTTAAGTGCTTTAAAGTTATCCTGCGTTATCACCCTATGAATAGTCAATGAAGGCTTTGTTAGCGATTCTAGAATTTTGGAATGCAGTCACGCCTTTGACTTCGAATTATTTCCAAAATACACTAATGAATAAGACACCGAGGCAACTGCTTCGATTTCCATGAAATGCCAGAATTCTGAACGAGGGGAGTGTATGCATTTTTCATTCACAATGGATTACAAATGGGGAAGCATTTCCATTTGTTCTGTCTTACAACTAATGACTTTGCTGATTTATAAGATAGATGTTAAAGATGTGAAAATAGGTAAGAATCCTTCATTCTGTATACAAAATTACAAGGAAAGATGTAAATGAAAAGGAAATGTTTTGCAATTTGAAAGTTTATGTCATATCTTAGATTATTTGGAAAAAGGCTCCTTTGTTAAATCGTTATTAAATCTTAATTATACTGTCCACGGAGTTACGTTGATCATTCAAAATATTATTGCCATTTGAGTTGCTTAGAATATGTTTAGAAATTCTCAGAAATAAAATGAAATGACATATGTAAATAGCTGCAGATAGAAAATGGGATTATTTTTTTTCTTTCATAGAGAAGTTTAAGCATTCAAGTTTAGGGGAAATAATGTCAATGATTCTGCACATGTGTACAGATGAAGAATTAGTAATTTAAAACGAAATCTCCTTTTTTTATTGTTATATGCCTTTTGACAGTTCGGGAAAAAATGTGGTTGCCGTTAGTTTTTTGAAAGCTCTGTCATCGCACTAACGTTTTTTGCCTAAATTGTTTTGCCTAATTATGTTTTTTTGCCTAAAATATGCTATTTCCATACCTGCTGCAAGTTAGCAACAGTTACTCGTTACTGTTTGGTCAAGTTTACCCGATTTTTAGTCAGGAACAGTTCTATTGTAACTTGCCATTTTTTCTTTGTTCTTGTTCCATTTTCGTTACATACCTTTTTAACTAAAAATGGCGCTAAACGTAATATGAAGAAAAGCCACGATTTTGAGAGATTGAAAAGCGCTTGTGGTCTAATTTTTTATGTTTAAAAATTTACTTCAATGATATCTTATCTTCGCTGATAAAAATTTGCAAAAAATGAGAAGAATAAGGCAATGATTTTGATAGATTTAATATAGCACGAAAATGTTACCATTTTGGCGATTTTTAAGAAAAAGTTTAATAGCTTTTAAAATATTTAAGTTATTGGTCAGTTCTAAAGATCAAATAGTTCTTCATGGCAAGATTCAACTTTGCTTCAAGCGTAACTGTGTGCAAACTGTGGCCTTTTTAAAAATTTGTTTTGGCAAAAAAGATCTTAAAAACCATTTTAAGGATTTTTTATTCTAAATTCTTTCACCAAAGAATGTAAACAGGCCACATTTTTACTTTTTAAAACCGAAGCAAAGCTATAAACTTAAAGTATATATATGCTATCTTGTTTAAAAGTATTGTCTGGATTTCTAATCAGACAAGCAGTTAAAATATATTTGAAAAATATTATACTTCTGAAAAAAGACTGTTAGTTTGTGAAGTTTTGCCCAACTAGAGAAAAATCATCAAAAATAATGAATAATTTTAATTGTTTGCCCTTTTTATGCAGCTTTGGGGTAACTTTATTATTAAAGTTACTATTATTAAGTATATAGTTTAATACTTTATTATTAAGTATTAAAAAATCAGATCACAACCGCTTTCTTTAACGGAAAAATATTGTCTGTTATTCACGTTGATATTTCTCTGAATTTTCATAATTAGTATAAAACTAAGTAGCTTAAAATGTACATAACTGATCCTAACAATAATGAAAACTATTGCTCAACAGCTTTAAAAAATGAATATCATTCGTTGAGAGGCGTTATTTTATTTGATGTTAGAGCTCTCGAAGAACAGCCTTGAAAGGGAGCAAATAAGTTACCAAATATGTAAGTAAGTATAAAAATAAGTAACTAAATTATTGGTGTTAGATTATTCATTGCAAGTGAGTGGTTGACATGAGCTTTAACATGTCTTTTGCAGTAGCACTCAATACTTTATATCTTAATATTTTTCTCAATTGCATTGTTACATGCATTTTGCCAAATGCATGTGTTACATGCATTTGGCCTTCATATAAAATATTCATTGTCAAACTGAAGTGTTTTTCCTAGTGTAACGAGCGCACAGAATATCTTAACTCGAACAGATAAATATTTGTTTCTGCACTTGACTTCAGATTTCTTTTCTGTGTAAAGTTTCAAATTTAAAGATTACTAAGATAAACATTAATTTAACTAAGTTAATCTGTATTAAGCTTATTACTGCAAACTCACTACGTGGATATCTAACTACATGTATTTTATTTAGGTATAATCATGTGGGTTAAAACACACACAATAGCACGGGTTTATTTAGATTTTAGCATTAAAAACCAAAAAGTTCATTGTAAACTGAAGGGAGTTTCAGACCATGAAAATTGTAGTTTTCATTAAATGCACAATATTTGATTAAAAGTTACTGCAATTCTTTTGCTGATTGCAAAAAATCCTTTCTTCTTTTTTTCTTAAATTTTTTTAAACTTTCATGATACATAGAAACCTCGGGTACCACGGAGGTTGCTCTTATTTTTTCCACTTACGCAGGGTTATTCATAATTCCCTCCGGGGTTTTCGAAGCGTTATAGTAAAAAAACGAAGACGAATATGGCAAAAAAGAACATATGAAATTATTTCGAAAGTATTAAAGTTTTAATTTAAGCAGTTGCCGGTAGATGGCAGTAACATGTACCACTGAAGCCACTTGTAGTAAACATAAGGTTGTAGTAAACAGAGGGAATTATGAATAACCTTGTATACAAATTTAAAAATTTATGATATAACTTATATCACTGATATACAATATATATGGACAAAAAAAATTAACAATGTCAGTGCAAAATACACTTAAAAAAATCAAATCGCTTGAAGAAATGTTATACAAAAAAGTAAAATCAGTTGCATTTTAAATAAAAACAACCAGTTTTGATTTGAAATATGTTAAAATGGAGAGAACGAGTTACGAAAGTCAAAATTAATCTTCAGTTTAAGGGTAATGAATAATCGGAAATTGGTACAGTCAACTTGGTTCACGATAACGATTCTTCATTGATTCTCCGACATCAAGATTAATATCCTTCTAAGAGAAATTGATTTCTTCAGTTTGTTATTTGTATTACTTTCGTGATACCTGTTCGTAAAGGAGTTCTTGATAAATGAGATGTCTGTGGGATTTTGCGTGGTGTTCGTATTACAGTATTTCCTGTATTGAGTTTTGGAAAAGTGGTTATTATAGTATGAATTTTCGACCAGTTAATTTTACTTGCTGCTAATTTTATATTGTAAATTTCAAGCTGCCAGTTTATTTGTAATGGATAGTCATGGTACTCGCATATATTTATTTAATCGTTGAATAACGTGATAGGATGCAGATTAACCCATTCCTTTTCGCTCCCGTGAAATTTCCGGGATGGAATGTTCAGTAGTAACGCTCAAATAAGAATAAAACTAATTCATTTCTTTTGCCCGGAAAACATTTTATTTCTCATTTTTCACACCAGATGGCAGTACCAGGATTTTTTAAAGATAATTGTAGATAGTTAGTTAATTTTAAACTAGATGTCAGCACTAATCAAACACGTATATTTGGCAAAATAGGCACTTTTATGACCGTTTTCCTGAAAATTAACCGATCGTTAAGGGGTTAAATAAAATTGTACGGGTTATAGAATTATAATTGCTTACGTATAAAGTACTTTATTTCTACCATGACGGCTGGCAAACAAGAAATTCTTTTTTTCGAAGCTATGATCGCTACATACCTTTGTAAAGAATACTTATGTGATTTGTATGCTGCCATTTCAAAGAAACGTTTCTTTCATTTCTTTCTTTTTTAAAAAACATATAAAATAAACATATATATAATATGCTAGGTCTTAGCATTTTTTATATATAGAGAGTTAGCATTTGCGTATAAGTACAGTGTAATTTGTTGACAATTGATGCATCATTATGAAAGTGAGAATTGTTTACTTGCCAGCTCTCTTTGACAAAGCTTGGTTCTTTCTTTGTCCAGCTTTGTTTTAGTCGATGCACTACCACCAGCTCCTTTTAGAATCGTCAGAAAACGACTGCAGAAAACAAAAAGAATCAGTAAGAAAATTAGCACCAGAACTAAACTTTAAAATATTGAACTTTTCACATTACTTCGACAAGTTTTTAAAAATCATTTTTATCGTACCATTTTCAGTTTTAGTAAAATTTAACGCACAAGTGTATTGGAGCTGCCATTATTAAGTAATACAAAGTTTACAAGAAAAGTGGCTCATGGACCCATTCGGATTCTGTTCAAGCTAATGAAAAGTTGGGATTAACTTTTGCTTGAAATAAATATTTTGTTCGAAACTCATATGTTGCCTCAGGTGATTCCATTTGTGTTGTAAAAATTTCAAACAATTTTAAAAAAAAAGAAAAAAAAAACTTTTTGAAAAATAGTGAGGGTCGGTAGTAAAAAAAAAAACGAAAAACAATTACCACACTGTGAAAAAACTATAGACTGAACTACCAGAATATGGTAAAATTTACCGGGTCTCTGGCTCTGTGGCAACCCTAAAAATCTCGATAATTTTTATCGAAGTACCTTGAATATTATTTCGGTGAATTCATTACCAATTCATTATAATCACGTGTAATAAAGCCATCATATAGCTTTATTACATGTGATAAAATTTGGTAAATGTCGTAAAATTTGGTAATTTTATCATGTTACCTTAGAGCATGATATAAAAACCATTTATTCGGTAAAATTTATTTTCCAGTCTTGTATTTTTTACTAAATGCGTGATAATAAGAACTATAATTTTGAAAACCAAAATTTCCTTTAAACTGTTGCCATGTGAACGGAGAAAATTACTAAATAGTTTAAATACTGTATATTTCGGTTTTATTAACCAAAATTACGATATTTTGCATATTTTAATTTTATTAACCAGAATAATGAATTTTTAATGTTATTACCATACAATACTATAATTTTTCCAGAATTTTTTCGCCATGCACTTTTTATAGTTTGAATATTTTGTTCTGAACGTACTAATTTTAAATTTTTATAAAATTTCCGAGCCTTTAAGTTGCAATTTAACTAATGAAAAAATTTTGGAAAATACTTTTCTTTACCATTGAAGAATGAGAAAAATAATTTAGGATAAAATTATTATTTATCGCAAATTTATGTCAATTTGCATTTACTTGCTATTGCAGTGCTTATATTTCCACACGAAAGTTTTTATAACTTAATTTGTTACATTTTTTCATAAAGTTTTATCAAAATGGGACATAATAAAACAGTAACCATCGGTCAACATGATGCGAAATGATAAAAACACATGAAAAAACAACCAGGTCTCTATTAGGTTATATAATCAAGAATTATATAATAAAATTTTATAATCTCAATAATTAAAACATATTATAATTTAATTAATAATAATTAAATTAATAATTAAAACATATTATAAATAAATTATTAATAATTAAATTAATAATTGAAATTTATATGATTCAGTGTATTTAAACTTCTAAACTTCTTCCTGACAATGACATGTAAAATACATAATAAATAGAAGATGTTATCAACAGTTATTTTTTCCTTACAAGTTTTATTATAGCAGTAAGTTATTTCTTAGGGGAAAAAAAACAGACTTTACTATTTTTTTTTCAAAAACATTTCCTATTTGAAAAGTAATTTCCGTACTAGCAGTCATTTTTTTTACTTAGCGTAATTTTTGTTAAAAAAATATACCTTTCGTAAGTTTTTCATTAAGGAATCTGTTTGTAAAACCATTCATATTGTTTCTTTAAGCCTTGATTAACATCACAACTGCTTTAAATCCCTTATTTTAGGACTCTGTGATTTTATAAGACTTTAATTTCATAAGTACATAAAATAACGTTAAAAAAACATAAATATTCTCTCAAAAAAGACGTATGAACGTTTTGGTACTATAATGAAGCACTTTCTTCTGTGCTGAAACAAAGAATATGAGAAAAAGATCGATAAATTACAAACAAACAGGATAAACTACAAGCAAACAAGTAGCATTAAGAGAAGAACCAATGGGATAAGGGAACAAAATCGGACCTAAGCTCTTTGATTTTGCTCCTCTACAATGTAAAAAAATTCAGGATCAAATTACAATAAAAATTACCGGCACTCGAAGTACCAGTACTTTTTACCGTAAAATCCATTTTTACCGGAGCAAGTTACGGAACAGAAAAATATGATATATCGTAATTTTCGCTGTAACTATTACCGCAAAATCACGGAATCACTCTAAATATATAAATATTACTGTAAAAAAATTACGGTAGAATATTCTAAAGTAAATATAGATTTTACTGTGAAAAAGATTTTTCTGGATGACGCTGACGTACCCAAAGTACCGGGACTTTATACTATCGGGATTTTTTCCGGAATTTTTCACCTGGAAATCCGGATCCGGAAAATTTTACAGTGTATTGTATTGTTTTGAGTTCTGTTAAGTAATATATATTGTATCTGCTGAAAACTTTACTAAAAAGTATCACTTAAACTAAATAAATTAATTTGAAAAAAATTTCGAAAACTGATATTTACTAATAAAAGATAGTTTAGAAAACGTTATAATGGCAAAATCTTGGTAATTCTTATTGATTTGTATTTTTAGATTTCATCACATCCAAACGTATGGTGGATTTTTTCTATAGAATATGTCGCGCATTAATTTTGTAGTAAAGTTTGGAATGTTCGTTTTGTTGTGGATCATAATTTTGTGTTTCGTGCATGTTAAATTACGATCGTCTTCTGAATAAAGGCAACGTTCAATGCCGTAAATTAGGTTTATGGTCATATTTGCAAGAATATGATAACTGTCAAAACATCTTGACAAAATAGTTATCTTATACTTAATATATTGCTCTTAGAAGGAACTTTTTTTTGCTCGCAATATTCGGAATTGTCTATTAACTTTTCAATTTTTATATAGAGATTCGAATTCAAGGAATAATTATGAATAATGATCTTTTAACATTTCTATATTTCTCTAGTTTAATAAATAGTTTCATGAGTAAAAAATAAAATCGTTAAATCGTTGTTGTACATTTATGCCATATTTGTTTCCAAAGTAGCCATAAATGTATTGTTGGGAAGTGAACTATCTTTATAGTGCTACGCTGCGTTAAAAAGTATGGCTAAAACTACTATAACTATAGTCCCATTTACCGTATTTCTTGCTCTATGGGAAAATTAAAAAGCTCGTTAGTTTTTTCCGATGTCCTTTGGAAATAATTTTTGTAAAAGTAACATTAAAGTATGGTTTTATAATATATGGTAAAATTAGATAAATATGCAAAAATTTGATAATTTTATCATTGTGCCTTAGAGCATGGCATAAAATCCATTTATTTCGTAAAGTTTACTTTTCAGTTGTGTATTTTTTTACTAAATGTGTGGAAATAAGATCTAAAGTTTTGAAAATCAGAATTTCCAGTAAACCGTTACCATATGAACTTATACTTCATATCGTAGTTTTATTCGGAATTTCATACCGTATACTTCATTGGTCAATATTTCTTATTATTTTCTCTTATCTTTCTTGTAACTTCTCCTGCTTCAATATTCCATCACGTGTTTTGACACTAACAAAGGTGCTTCATTACAGCAAGGAAACAAGTACATCACTGTTTCATGACAGATTTTAGATTTTTTTCATATTTCATTTTATAAATTTTATTATACATAACAAAGAATTAAGTACTCCTTATTTTTATTTAATTTTTACTTCAAAAACATTTAGTCTTTAAAAGAATGGTTTAAAAGATAATCTTTAAACTGGAAAAGATTCTATTCTTTAAATCATAAATAACACACATCCTATTTACCATAGTTCCTTTACAAAATTCTTCCATCAATCTTTTCCGGGATTACTTATTTTCTTATTCAAATATACTAACAGAACGAAGGAAGTTACTTACTTACAACCCGTCCCCAACTCCTCCAGAACTCCCCGTAATCTCTTATCGGCATGTGGCTTCTCCAAGCGGATCATTTCTTGTACATCAGACAATCCCTCCTCCTGTACACAAAGGAATTAATAAGTTAAACGTCAACAAGCTAAGGAACTTTTAGATATCAGAGAGTATCTGCTCTGAATTCTGATGAAGCTTTCAACAAGTCTAGACGTGTTAAGGAAAACTATTTATTTCTCTAGGAGCACATCGAATTATATCTAGTGTGACAGACAATAATTAATTTGGAGAATAAATAGTTTCAAAGTTTGGTTTAATGAAATAGATACCTTTTTTAAATTGCTTGTGACAAATTTCAAAACAGTAATTTAAGGTTACGATCGCATTAAAATACATTCTATCAGAAGATATTTAATCTGCAAGGATTATATGAAAGATTTATGTAGATATTTTAATTAAAATATATATAGATAGTCAACTGGGATTGATATTGTAAGGCAATAAGACTGGAATTTTTTTTGTACACATTAAAAATTAATCTGGATTACTTAAAAAAAAATGATATGCGTTTTGGAAAATTTACTGATTCAAAATTCCAGTTATTTCTTTCGATTGAAAATAATTGCTGAAAACATTTCAATTGAAAATAATAAGTTGAACGTCAACAGGCTAAGAAACTTTTAGAAATCGGTGAGTATCTGCTCTGAATTCTGATGAAACTATCAACAACTCTAGACGCGTTTCAGAAAACTATTTATTTCTCTTTGATGCCATCGATTATATTTAGTGTCCCACGCAATAATTTATTTCTCTAGAAAATAGTTTCAAAGCTTTGTTTAATTAAATAGTTTCCTTTTTTAAGCTCTGACAAATTTCAAGAGGGTAATTTAAGGTAACGATCGTATTGAAACACAGTCTATCAGATGATATTTAATCTGTAAGGAATACATGAAAGATCTATGTAGATATTTTATTTAAAATATGGATAGATAGTTAACTGGGATTGATATTGTGATGTAACAAGACTGGAAATTCGCTTTTATTCAGTTAAGTTTTATAAGTTAATGTAAATTTTTATAAGTTAATGTAGCTTACATGAAAACAACTAATATGTATTTTGGGAAAACTCCTGATTAGCAATTCAACTTATTACTTTCGATTGAAAATAATAATTTAATAGAACTTGAGACTCAGCAGTGATGTTTTTTCTTACAATAATTATTTAACTGAACTTACAGTGTTTTAGTTTTGATAATAAGTTAGTAATCAAACTTGAAACGTTTCATTATTGAGAATAAGTATTTGATTACACTTGCAATGTTTTATTTTTGATAATAAGTTAGTAATCAAACTTGCAACGTTTTATTTTTGAAAACAAATATTTGATAACGCTTGCAATGTTTTATTTTTCAAAATAATCATTTAATTAAAATTGCTATGTTTTTCTTCTGACAAAAAATATTTAATTAAACTTACAATGTTTCATTCCTGACAATAATTATTCAATCAAACTAGCAATGATTTATTTTTGACAATAATAATTTAATTAAAATTGCAATGTTTCATTTCTGAAAATAAATATTTAATAAGACCGTACCAATGTTTTGTTTCTGACTGTAAATATTTCGAGAGACTTGTAATGAAAAATAATGTTTTGTGTCTGAGAAAAATTGTATAAGGAAAATTGTAATACTACTATGTTTTATTTCAGACAATTAAGCAGATTTTTGGAAGAACATGTTAAGTGATATTCTAGAAAATATGAGAAACTAAGTCTTAGAATGAGAAATATGTACAAATACCTCATTTTCTATTCGAAAAATTTTTACGAGAATAAATTAATATAACACGTGAAAATGCTACATAAGTGCCTTAATAGTCTTACAACATGAATGGTATGGTAAATATTTTTCCAAGATGAATGGGTTAACATTTTTACTGCACAAATGATATAGTAAGTATTTTTATTACATATCCACTAGAAGAATACGATTTCAACTTAAGTGGGAATACCAGTGTGATTTTCATAAAAGAGGCATTTTTTTGCTAAGTAAAGATTTTTGGTAATCAATAACAAAGCGTACAACGTATAATCGCTTAATATAATATGGATTTTACTTACCAATTTATCTCCTATTTTTGACAACACATTAGAACTGTACATTCTTCGTCGATGATCTTGCCATATGCTTCTAACCCACACGCATGGTTTGTTATCTCCATAAGAAATGTAATAATACTGCCTGCAACACATTTTACGCTTATTGTATATTTTTTTATAACATAAAATTTTATCAGTACAAATAATATAAAGCTTATGAATATAAAGAGCTATTTAGAAAAAAAAAGAAAATCTCTTCTTGTAAAAAGCTTAAAAATGCATAATTATAATATGATTATAAAGAACTTGTCTTTATAAAGAACTATTTGGAAAGAAATAATCCCTTCAAGTAAAAATATCTTAAAAAATATGATTTTTATAAACATGATTATAATATGATTATAAAGAGCTTATGATTATGAAGAACTATTTATAAAGAAATAATCACTTCTTGTAAAAAGCTTAAAATTTAGGATTATAATAAAATGATTGCAAAGAATTATTCAGAAAGAAACAATAAGTTCTTGCAAAAAGCTTTAAAAAATATAATTATAATAAACATAGCTATAATACGGTTATAAAGAACTTATGATTATAATAAATATGATTATAATACGATTATAAAGAACTTATGATTATAAAAAAACTTTCTGGAAAGGAACATTCACTTCTAGTAAAAAACTTTAAAATAAGATTATAATAAAAATGATTATAAAGAACTATTTTGGTAGAAAAATTAATCTCTTGTTAAATGCTTAAAAAACATAAAAAGAAAAAGAAATAATACATTTGATAAAGATATGTAATGAAACTATAAAATTTTTTATTTTGTTATCATTCAATATTTAAAAAAATAAGAAATTTGTCATGACGAATATTAGAAACACATCAAAGTGTCATTCGACAATCAAGCTGGCTTTGATATTTGTCATTTCGTCTTCTACACTAGTGGTTGGAAAGATTAGTATAGCATTTTATTTCTTCTTTTTATAAATAGTATACTTAAAAAAATTATATTTCGTCTTTTTTTGCTTCATTTTTTAATAGGATTCTGAATCTATACATACATTAGGAATGATAATTGCGGGACATCTTGTGCAAGAATTATACTTTAAAGTGAAACTGATACACTGACACTTGTATATGCTGATACTTACATACTTATATATACTGATACTTATATACTTATCTATACTGATACTTATATACTTAGATATATGGGAATTTATGTACCTATATATACTGATACTTATATTTGATACTGATTACAATACTATTGTAGACTTATTATATACAAACTGATGTAAAAATATTTTGTAGCTTCCATGATACAAATATTTCCATTTTTGAAGTTTAAGATATTTAAATTGTTTTCATAATGAAACAGTTAAATATGGAAAAAATGTACTTTTATCATTTTTGTTTAAAATCAAACTATACGTTATTTCTCACTAAGAGACAAGAAAGATAGATTTGCAAAGACTTGAAATTGACTTTTAAGTTTTCAGCACGCATGAGGTTCTAGAAACATCGAAATTACTTTCTCTATTTTCAGGGGGAAATTAAAAATCAGGAGCTTGTCAGAGAATCCTGTGATTGTGAGCGAAACTCTTCAGCTTTTGCCTTGGAGCTCGTAAATCGATTATAAAAGAGTTCGTCGGCGAGAAAGTGCAATTTCATGTTTAATACAAATGGAAAATATAAGTTAGGGAAATTAAGCTTCTTTATCTTAGAATTGCTTGGGTGTAAAGTTCAAACATGACTCACTAATTTTAGATTCATAAAAGTAATTATTTTTAGTACTTGTAGTCAAATTTATTCATTCAATCCGAAATCGAAGATGATGAGGTGTATAAATTTTCAAAAGAAATAAGGAATATCATAGTTTAAGTGCATAGCATTTTGAGTACCCGGAAACAACAAAAAATTAGCAGAATAACGAAATTTTATTGTAGTGCATTGAAAAAAAATATGGTAAAATTCCTTGTGTTTCTGTCTCCATGGAAAAATCAAGAAACTCGGTTTTATAATGTGCGATAAATTTGGTAAATGGTGTAACATTTGGTAATTTTATCATATGTTAAACTATGGCAGAAAAACCATTTATTTGATGGAATTCATTTCTTAAATTTGTATTTTTTTCTATATGTATGGGTAGACAGAACTATAATTTTGAAAACCGAAATTCCCGGTGAACCGTAACAGAAAAACAGAATATAATCCATATAAACAGAAAAATTAACAAATGAATGGCTTAAATACCGTATATATTGGTTTTATTAATCAGAATTATGTTTATTTTTAATTTATTTATTTTTTACCACAAATTTCATTTCCATACAGTACTTTCTTCTCCATATCTATATGAAGTTTTAAAAAAATGGTGTCAAAATTCAAAAAATAATTATATTAAAGCAATTATGTATCATTTAATTGCATTTCTTTGTTTCAATTTTCATAATAATTTTAGTTAACAGGGAAATCTTGTGATAGTAGAAATTTGATTTTATTATATCTGCTTTATTGTGTAACATGTTAGGAAACATAGATATTCTTTTGAAATAAACTTTGACTTCGGAAAAATCTTTCGAAAAAAAAATCTCGAGCAAAATATTACATATACGTGAGTTTTTTATCTACATAAATTTGCGTGCACATAAAATATATACTATACTCATATTGCAGAGACAATTTTTGAGGTTTAGTAATGCTTATATTTAACACTATCTGAATAATCGTACGTTGCAAGGGGAAAAAATAAAATAATTAATTGATCGGTAATAAAAAAAGAAAGCAGAAATCATGTATAAAGTAGTTAAATACTACAATTCCAAAGGAAATTTGCGCAATACAGCAGAAATTCTATTAGAAAATTGAAACCAATTGAAACTTTTAAAGAAAAAAAAATTAAAATAATGAAAAATATAAAAATGACAACCGAAGTTGACATCGCCAGGGGATACCAGCTCCGGAAGTTATAAAAAACACAAAACCTTTTCTATCGACAAATGTCTAAATTTGCTCTCTCTGTACCCAAAAGGTTTTGTAAAAAGTCCAGGAAAAGACAAAAGAAATACAAAACACACAAAAAAAAAAATACAAAAGTAAATTACATAAACTAATTACAAAAGGAAAACATCGTTGAAAACATTGCAATTAATCAGTATTAATCAACATTACGAAACTTATGATTTTCTGAAATTACTCTAATTTTCTCATGTCTCATTAGATAATTTCAATTTTATGTTATTAGTTCTTGTTGAGCTTCCATTATTTAAATTTATAGAGGTTTAGAAGCGTAAGTATCAAATATGAGAATGATTGATTAAATATGATCGCGTGATTTTATATCTCTGTTAAGATATTATTTAGGTGGCCTCATCACCATTTGTCACGAAAATATTTACGTTAAATTTTCTTTTGACAACCTGAAATAAGAAAGCAAAGAAAAATAATTCACAAAACCGTGCGATGAAACTAATTCTTGATTGCTTAGAACTGTAAGCTAGAATAATACTCATGTAATAAAATATTTATCAAATTCTATGGAAAACTCCTTCCTTGGGATGTTGAACGCGAGCCAGTGGTCAGAGGGAGTTTCAATGTAGAGAGTTAGGTTCACAGTTTCTTCTTCCTATCTACATCAAATTTAGTGTAGATTTGTATAAGGTTCATTCATTCATATACACATACACGCACATATATAAACACTTAACTTTATCTATATAGATTGTCTCTAACAGTCGTGATTGTTTTTATGTCATGCCAAATTAATATGATNTAAATTGTTTACGCAATGAAACAGTTAAATATGGGAAAAATGTACTTCTATAATTTTTGTTTAAAATCAAGCTATACGTTATTTCTTCCTAAAAGACAAGAAAGATAGATTTACAAAGACTTGAATTTAACTTTTAAGTTTTCAGCATGCATGAGGTTTTAGAAACATCGAAATTACTTTCTCAATTTTCAGGAGGAAATTAAAAATTCGGAGCTTGTCAGAGTTCGCAAAATCCTGTGATTGTGAGCGAAACTCTTCAGCTTTTGCCTTGGAGCTCGTAAATCGATTATAAAAGAGTTCGTCGGCGAGAAAGTGCAATTTCATGTTTAATACAAATGGAAAATATAAGTTAGGGAAATTAAGCTTCTTTATCTTAGAATTGCTTGGGTGTAAAGTTCAAACATGACTCACTAATTTTAGATTCATAAAAGTAATTATTTTTAGTACTTTTAGACAAGTTTATTCAGTCAATCCGAAATCGAAGATGATGAGGTGTATAAATTTTCAATAGAAATAAGGAATATCATGGTTTAAGTGCATAGCATTTTGAGTACCCGGAAACAGCAAAAAATTAGCAGAATAACGAAATTTTATTGTAGTGCATTGAAAAAAAATATGGTCAAAACTACCAAAATATGGAAAGATCAAGAAACTCGGTTTTATAATGTGCGATAAATTTGGTAAATGGCGTAACATTTGGTAATTTTATCATATGCTAAAATATGGCAGAAAAACCATTTATTTGATGGAATTCATTTCTTAAATTTATATTTTTTTCTAAATGTATGGGTAGACAGAACTATAACTTTGAAAACCAAAATTCCCGGTGAACCGTAACAGAAAAACAGAATATAATCCATATAAACAGAAAAATTAAGATGTGAGGCTATGTAAATTTTCTTGTTACAAGTTCTTGCGACTTCAGTCAACTTTATCATCTCAAAATCTGAGACGTCCATGCCAGAAATCTTTTTAACTTATCTATAATATCTATAATTATTAAGCATATCCACTACTAACAAACGTAAAGAAAAACATAATGAAACGAAAATATTTAAATTATGGTTGGTTGGTTGATGTCGTATCCTCTATTGAATCATATTTCATGGTGTGCTTGAATAGTTTTTGTTATTTCTATGGCATTAAATGAATAAAAATCCTCTTCTGTGGAGTAGTTTAAGAGGTGAAGGCCTGCAGCGATGCAGGGCAGTTAAAAACATGATATGGTGTCAGTTCCACATTAAGACAGTTGCCACAGTTTTGATATTTTCTAGTCCCATCTGTAGAAATTTTCATGTTTTTATGATGCTTTGTTCTTAGTCTGATGAGAGTAGTGGCTGTCTTCCTATCGATGTCAAGATTAATTATTTGATCGTGGGCTTTGATTTTTAAAGTGGAATAGTCTTGACTTTGCAAAAGCATTTGCATCTGCCAACGTGGTTGGGATTGTATTTTGAATGAGATCTCTGGAATTTTTAGCCAAGGAATCAGCTATTTCATTGAACTCTAGGTTCACATGGGCGGGAATCCACTGCAGGAAGCATTTTTCCGAAGACGCTGAAGTTGTCCAAGTTGTTCTATGATATTCAAGATTAGGCTTGCAATATGAATAAACAAATTGAATCAAATTTGACTAATGAATATTTTTAGTTAAACAAACAAGTTTTTACCTGTCTTTGGATATTGGTTTTAGGGGTGGTGTTGTTGATTGTATCGGACAAGAAGCTTCGCCGTAGGAAGAGCCATCACCTGAATCAGATCCAGAGTCCAACTCCTCCTCATCGCCACGTATCATTCGGCTGGAATCCAACATATTGCCAGCATTTCCTAAAAGATTGAGAAATAAATAAAGTTATGTATACGTTTTTCATGTGTAACACAAGCCTGGAGGAAAGCACGTATATTACCTAAAGTGACTTCGAAATATATCGGTTTTTCTCCGATTTTTCGGTCAATCATAGTTGCTTCGAGCAGACAGCCAAACAGAAAAAACTCGTCATTTCGCCCGTAAGACCCCTGAAAAAAATTAGAAGCAAACCAATAAGCAGTTTTAATAATGTTTGGAATTTACATTATCATTTTATATTTCGAATTTCAAAAGAATTTAAGATTGAACCGGGGCAAAATATAGGCATTTTTACCCATTGGCAAAATTGGTCTTGCTTCGGATTTTATGGCGTGCGCACTTTNACTCACAAGAAGAATACGAATTTATTTGACGATTTTTGATTTATATCACGAATTTATTTGTTTTATTCAAATGGCTTAGTATTTACAAAAAAGATGTAATTTTTTAAAAAAATAAATTGTTATATGGATTTGAATGATTGTTTTGAATTCTTAGAATTTTGTGCATTTGCAATGTACCTAAGTTAGTTGCGAGGTTGGTTTGCGAAGCAAACCATAAAGGATTGCGTAGCAATTTTCGGGGGTTTGCGAGCGTTAGCGATCAGGGGGCGCAGCCCACTAGTTTACATTAATATTTTATATTTTGAATTTCTACACACACAACACGGTTCCCAGCAGATCACCGAAGTCAAGCATCACTGGCTACGGTCAGTGTGCGGGTGGGTGACCACTTGGATCAGCCTGCGTAGGGACCGAGGGTGTGCGGTATTGGTCCTCGTTAAACTGTGCTACCGTAAAGTGCTCGACTTCGCGCGCAGGTCGTCGGGCTACCGAAGCGGGGGTGCCATCCCCTCCGCAGAGGATCAAAATTGTGATGGCATGTCTTCGGATCATCCTCCGGGATGTTTCCCAGACCGTCGCCAATAGCCCATTGTGCAGCTCTAGTGCGACGTAAATTAACAACAACAACATTTCTAAAGAATTTAAGATTGAACTGTAACCGTGGCAAAATATAGGCATTTTTACCCATTGGCAAAATGGGTCTTGTTTCAGATTTTATGGCGTGCGCACTTTATTTGGGCGTCATCACACTTTTTAACCGTGTTCAAGAGTAATAGTGCGCATGCGTCGTCATTGCATGCGTTGCTATGGCGACCGCTGTTGTTTGATAATTCTTTTAGAATTCTTTTTCTTTTCACCAGCAGTTATTTTTAATGTATTTACAGAATAATTTAAAGTATTTTTATATTCTTTTTATTATTAACTTATAATTTCTGTCTTGACGGTGATTTTATTACAAATATGAATACTGAAAAATGAAAAGTATTTTGTGACCAGTCCGACGACAAACATCAATGGAGACAGTTTTTGCAATCCATGATTTGAGATGCTTTGGCGTTTATCGGAGTCAAACCAGAAAAAAAAGCGTTTGACCAATGGGTAGTGATCGTAATAAAGGGATCACGATTTCTTTTTGTATTGTGTTCAGTTGAGTATTTTTTTTTTGATTGACAATTATTTTTACCCACCTTTCACATACTTCTTCCCCTTCCATATTATTTCGTACTTAAAACCATCTAAGACTTGAGATGTTTCGAATAAATTGCTAAGGATTATAATTTTCTTTAGACTAAGAAAACATTTAATAATGTAATATAGAACATTATATTTTGCGCGATAATCTTAATCTAAACTTTCTTAATGACGCAATTGAGAAGAAAGCTGTGTTTAGAAAGCAGAGAAGACAATGTACCTCTGATATGGGGTTCGCCATTTCAATTTCAACGTTGGAGGGTGAAATATCTAAAGAATCTAGAATTTCTGTTTTTACAGCCATCAGGATCCTGCCCCGGTACATAACTCCTTCTCCCAAGCCGTCGTTAAGTGTTGTGTGCTCGTCAAATAAAGAATAATCTCGGGGGGATCCGTATAAATACACATATGATGGGCCAAAAGTAGGAAGAAAACCTATGAAAGATAGGAAAAACAAATCTATGTACACTAAACTACATAACATAATATACAATACTATCTAACGAGTTTGACTTCACGTATAAACAAAAACTTTAATATAGATTTAATATTCACTTTAGAGTTACACATAGATAATCAGGTAGCGCTATAAATTAGATAGCAAAATCAGGTTGCATTTCGGGTAGTTTTTGAGGTAAATTCTAGTGCAAAATGTAATCTCAAGACAAACATAAATTTTTTTGGTATATTTTGCGAAAAAATTATTTTAGTTTAGCGTCAATAGAAGAACTTTTTAGCTTACACATAGATAAATATATTTTATTTTATTACAGGCATTGAGCAGTCAACCCAATTTTTGCGTTTGCGATTTGCCGTATCCTCGTAGTCTTGTAATTTTGAAATCCAACCAGGGAGATAAAAGAACTCTTGGATCAAGCAAGCATTGCGACAAACTAGCCTTCGTGGCATGGAGGACTTCATGATGGAATCAACTCTCATATGCGTTACATGGAGAAGAAAACTACACAAACCTATGGTTATTCCGACGTCAAGGGGTCTCTAAAAATGATCTGTCTGCCACTGAAGATATTTTACTCCAGCAATGTGGTTAGTACGAGCCAGAAGCAAAATTCGCGTAAACCAGCCTCCGCTAGAATTCGAACATGTGGCACCTCATAGGGAGGTGCACGCTCTGATATAAATATTGAACAACCCCCACATTTACTAGGCCAGGGGTGGCGAACCTTTATGCATCAACATGCCATTTTTTCAAAAAATTGTTTAATGAAGTCACAGACGTGCCGTCAAATAACTTTGACTTCGTGATTATTGGGAAAATAATACGCATTACTAGTTACTATCAGCTCAAAACTCTGTATTCACTATGAAAAAAGAATATATTTTGCAATGTCTCAGTTATGCGCGCAATGCAACTTAAAGTAACATGACTCTTGTTGTTGCATATTAGATGACAAACAACTTATATTAGATTGTAAGATGTTAGTTTAAGCAGGACTGTTAATTTTTTTTGCCAGTTATTAATTGTTAGCTTGTTTTTTTATGGTTATTGTTTATTTGACATTAATTGTTAATTTTTTGTAAATAATTGTTTTTTTTAGTGAATTATAATTTTATTTGTTAATATGCTTCATAGTGAACTTTGTGATCGATGGCGTGCCCAGAATATTGTGTCACGTGTCATAAATGGCACGCGTGCCATTGGTTCGCCATCCCTGTACTAGGCTTTTAATATAAAATTACAAAATTGCTTTCTATATTAACCATGCATTTTAGACATCGTCCGAAAGGCTACTAAAGTTCACACAATAAGAAAGATTGAAAGATAAATACTATTAGTGTAAAATTTTTTCAACAGTAACATCCAATTCTTTCAGAAGTTATACATGAAAAATGAACTAGATTAGAGTCAATAGCTGAACCACGGTAGTTTTCGCTTATATATCATAAATACTAAGCGATTCACAAAGCTTTTACGAGAAAAATACCTAATTCCTCTTTCTTTATATCACATGTTTTTGTTATCGCCAAAAAACTACTAAAAGCCACAATGTGACAAATATAGGATATTTTTGAAGTAAACAGCAGTATGAAATGAAGTATCTCATTTATTTCTTAGTGAAACTTTCAAGAAAAAAAAGTAGGAGGATGTCAATAATTTACGGTACAAGTAGTGCAAACCTGATTTCTAATATCTTTATCAGAAACTTTCGGGTTTATTACTGTCAGTGCAATATAAAGACTGGATAGAAAATTGTTTTAGGTTTGATGTAATTGTGCACCTTTTTCTCCTTCGTTGGATATTTTGGAGAGTTCTACGAAGTGTGTGCCGATGACGGCGTCGTTGACTGGATCGTTGTCCCGCAGCTGGATCTTGATTCGTTGGCACAACGGAGGAAACATTTCTGTGAATACTATTTGCTCATTCCACGCAGGACAGCATGTGCCTTTCCTCACTGATGTCTTTCCCTGTGGGAGGAAAAGAAATACATTTAGGTATATGATATTCTTTTCATTATTGTAGAAAATGATCATTTTATAGCTAAACACATTTTGAAAATCAACGAAGAAGGTTATAAAGATAAGAGAAGAGTTTCTTCTCCATTGCTAGATTTTTCGAATAGTGCATGTTTAAATTTTCAACGATGAAAATCATAAATATTGTAATGTAATGCAAATAATGTTAAGCCCTATGCGCCATAGAAATGCAAACATAAAAGCACACATATATTCTATTTATTATTATAAATTCATTTATAATGATTTTTTATTTTCTAAAAACTCACATTTTTATTTTGTTTTTCTTGTATAACTGGTTTTGAACAGCCAAACCAATTTTGAGTTTACAACTATCAATGTTCAACTCTGTAGCTTTGTAATTTTGAGCCCAAAGCAGAAGGCAATGGATGGATCAAGCATTGGGACAAACTAGCCTTAGTGGAGGACTTTTTGATGGAACTAAAACACATTTGCGTTACATGGAAAGGGAAAAACCCCGAAAACCTCACATGGTTAGCCCGATGGCCAGGGGATACCCATGATCCTTCTACTACTGAGGGTATTTTACGTCAACACTGTGGTCGGTGTGAGTCGAGAGCAGAATCTGTATCAACCAGCAACCAATGGGATTTGAACCTGGATCGATCCCCTCCTTGGGAGGCGAATTTTTATCATTTGAGCCACCGCGTCTCTCATGTTCCGATTTTAGTTTATAACCGGCGTTGAACAAGTGATCTAATTCTAATTTTGCGACAATCAATGTTTAACTCCGTAGCCTTGTAATTTTGAACTCGATCCAAAAGACAAGGAAACTCCTAAATGCAATGTTGGGACAATATATCCTGTTTATTGCGACATTTGTGTTGCATAGAGAGGAAAACCACGAAAACTTCCCCCGGCCAGACCGATAGCAAGGGGGCTCTAACCCTATATCCGTCTACAACAGATGATATTTTATTTCAGCACTGCTGTCTGTGGAATCCGGGAGCCGTATTCATATTAAGCAGCCACCGCTGGGGTTTGAACTTGGGTTCCCCTCATTGCCAGGCGAGTGCTTTAATCTCTGAGCCACCGCGGCTTTCACGTTTCTATTTTATTTTTATATTTTATGACCGTCGTTGAACAGCTGACCCAATTTTTGGGCTTATGACGACTAATGTTGAACTACGTAGCCTTGTTATTTTGAACCCAAACCAGAAGACAAGGAAACTCCTGGATCCTGTATTGGGTGAACCTCCCACAGTTAGCTCGACGGCAAGGGGACTCTAACCCATGATCTGTTTACCACTGAGAATATTTCAAGTCAGCAGTGTGGTTGGTGCAGGCCAAATGCGGAATTCGTATCGACCAGCCATCGCTGGAATTCGAACCCGGTTCACCTCATTGGAAGGCGAACGCTCTATCTCGTGAGCCATTGCGGCTCTTACGTTAGGTTTCAGTCTTTACATCTGTTAGTTAGATTTCAGGTACTTAACACCTTCAATGACACTTGTATTTGTTAGGAAACACCCATCAGGACATGCGCGTTGGTTTTAAAGGGCTTGTGTTGTGGTATAGCAATGTGAAATGCTCTTCTAACTGATTGAAATAAATAAAAATTTGATTTTTAATAAATAAAAACCAAGAAAAATTTAAGGAAATCCTTAGTATTTACATAAAACTATGAAATTTTTTTTAGTTTACACTGTCAGTCACCAGTGACTGCCGCATTAAATTACTGACGCCTAATAAGTTAATTTACTGCTTAGAAGCTGAAACTAAGCCCTTAACAAAAATAATTGGCTGAAAAGAAATATTTTGAATCAGCTATCTTTTCATAACATTTAATTATGCACGAATGTAGAAAATGGTTTCGATTATCTTATTTTTTTTTTAACCAATTACAATAAACTGCTTTTAATAAATTCCTTTATTTTTATGCTAGACGGACATTATTTTCAAAGTTTATTTCTTTGCATAGATAAAAAAAACACTGATTTATTTCTGAATGGATCTTTTTGCCTAAAAGTGAAAACAAACTTCAAGCCGAAATAAGACACCCTCAGGATAAGTTGAAATCAAAGCATGAATAAACTCGCTCCTGTATTTTAATGGGAATTCTCCCATAAATTTCCTTTCCTAGAATTCCCATTTAGAAATATATTTTACTAGGAATGCATTTTATTTATGCTCAACTCTTAGGCTTTTCTTGACAAATATTTTATTCTTATTATCGAGAAGATAAACAAATTCATTTGAAGGAAATATGTTTCATAATAATATAAAAAAAAGATTTATTTCTAAGCCGTTACGAATAAAATTGTAGCATTATGTAAGGTATAGATAGAGTTTTCAAATTTATTCATTGATGAAAATTTTGATAAAATCTTATAAATAACCAAACTATAGAAAAAGGAAACAAATTCTATTCATCAGAGAAATTTTCTTCACTTACGACTATTTTTCGTCGAGTGTTTTTTCTGAACATGTGTAAAAAACCTCTTTTTTTCATAAATAATGTTCGTTAAATTAACTGTAACTGTTGTGAGTTTGTCAGTAATGAATGTTAGAACTATGCGGATAAAAAGTGTAGCATAATGTAATTCATGAATATAGTATTTTATTTTATTCAATTATGAAAGATTTAATAAAGTCTAATGAATAACTAATCCATGGGGAATAATAGAATTATCACGTTCAAAATAAAAAAATTTTTACTTTTTATCGCCTTTGCAAAATACAATAAGACGCTTCTTTTTTAATGACGATCAGGGTTTGTAAATAGAAGGCGTTTGTCTTCCATTCATTGGTACTTGAAAAGCTATCTTAACACATTGTTCAGGCTAATTACATGAAATAATGCTTTTTCGCAAATAATATGCTATTTTCATAACTGTTGTGAGCTTTCAATAGTTATTCACGACGCATAGGCCAAGTTAAACCTACTTTTAGTCAGCGTCTTCTATATTAATTCTGTAAATGACGTTAATATGAAGAAAAGAAACAGTTTTGGTAAAATTAAAAATGTTAATGAGTTAATTTTTTTAAAAACTTAAATAGTTATTTCAAACGCTGCATTTTACGTAATTGAGAATTATTCATTGATTTTGATTCATCTTATCGAGGAGAAAAAATCTCGTGAAATTGGCCATTTTTAAAAAAAAGTTCAATATTTAGTTACTTGTCCTTTCTAAAACCCAGATAATTCTTTACGGTTCATAAAATTAAATATTATAGCTTTGATTCAAGTTTAAGATCTTGACAAATCAATGAGTATTTTTTGGGCAAATTTCAATAATTGTGAAAATATTTGTCCATTTTAAATTCTAGACTTTCATTAAGGTAGTATAGGGTAAGCCAATCAGTGAAGTAACATAGAGATTGAACATTTCATATAGATTTAAGAAAAAAAGATTTTAAAAGGTTTTCGTTAGATTGATTGGCAACAGTAGCTTACTACACAACAATAAGAAGACAGTTGACATTGTATTGAATTACTACCAGGTGACATGAAAACTTCTTCTTCTTCTTTCTTTGGAAAATTTTTTGAATTTGTTAGTGTATGTGCAGCACCTTGTTTCGCTGACAAAATTATAAAGTGAGTGTCAGTAGTTATCTGTTTAAAACAGAATTAATTGGATGTAACTTTTATTTTTCTCACCATAAAAAAAAAAAGAAATCATAACATTGTTATCGAAGTTTCGTTCTATTTTTTTACGCATCATACCATAAACAAATACTGAGATTACGGGATATTCATTAACTGGATGAAAAACCATTGAGTGGACAAGTGTTCATTAACTGGGACTTTTCCATTTTTTTTTCATGTACCTTTAATCATATTATGTATCAAAATTCTATTAAAAATACAAAAAATATCTTATATCCAATGACTGAACAGACTCATTCCTTCACTGGAAATAGATTTCCAAGAGAGTGAACTGTGTGTGTGAAATATGATGTTACATGGCTCTAAGATAGATAAATTTGTTTTAAAGCTAGTGCTCTAGACAAATGTTGGAACAATCATAAACAACCATCATCCCACTGCAGGAATTCAGACTGATTTATGATAGCACAACATTAAAAAAAAACCAAATTGTTTTGATAGTATATTCCTGAGAACCATCATGGAAATGTATAATTGAAACCTTCATGGACTACCATGGATCATCATGGAATGTTAGTCCATGAGAATCAAACTTCTCCTGATGGTTAACCATAGTAGTATTAAAGTAACACTTTCCATTATGGAATGAGGGGAGTTTGTAGGCATATCAAAAACCATGAACGCAAAATGGAAAATATTGGATGATGGTGACTATCAAATGTTGTTATTACCATCATGAATCACTCTGAAACCAACATAAACCATCGAAATATTTTGATGGGACCATCAAAAATTTTGACTTGGAAAGGCAGGCAGAGAGGACCGTTACTAGAATTGGCACTTTTTAAAGAAAAACTGAAAATTTTCTTCTTTAGAAGATTTGATTGATGGGAATCCAGAAATTGACTTTCTTTGCTCTTGAGCAATGTGAAAAATGCTCTCTGCAATGTAATGTTATGCAATGTTATGATCAGTAATTGGAAGAAAGTAGATCAGAAAATTATTGAGATGAAAAGTAGGTGAAGTTTAAGATGACACCCAGTGATAAATCAGTTTGACTTGGAGTAAATATAAAAGACAAATCTTGAAGAAGCTGATATTCGATAGTAGTTTCAAGAACTTTAGAAGTGCATTAGCAAAATTCTTTTTAAAAAATATGAAGTTAGGAAATGTGTGGCCCAAATGTGTGGCTAACTGAGAACGGATTTTATATAAAGACAAAATTAAATAGTTAGTATGTCTAGAATCAAGTTAGCATGTCTTATATACCAGTGAATTGATGTTTAATAATCGTAGTGGTGATTCCGCCACAAGTTATTAAAAAGTCATAATATAATCAAAATATCAAGAGCTCATTCACTTGGTCATTTTACAACCTCATATTTGTATCTCCAAGACCTTAAGAATATACTTTGTAAATTCCCTCTAATTGTTTGACGTAATTTCTAATTTACAACAAATATGTTGACACTATCATTTACCAAAAATTGCAGTTTTTAAAAATATTATGAAGTGCAGGATGCTACGTGAAAGCGTAAAATCTGAATTCGAAATTATCAACATTTTCAAAAGAATATATATTTTTTACTTTACTTGCACAACAGAAGCTTAGATTATCCAAAGTAAATAGCTCTATTCACCCCTTACCTTCCTCAAAATCATTTTAGAAATGATTTATCGTCATTAAAGGAATTTTGAAAAAGCATAAATATTTCAGAATACTGAGAATTTAATTTTGAGCCATACTGAGCAAGGGTAGTTGAATCTCCAAGAATATTTGAGTATCATATTACTGTATAAAGTACTGACTCCTTGATTGACAGCAAAAGAATCATTTTTACTGTGAAATATTATACCGTAATCTTTACAATAATATTTATTTATTTAGAGCAATTCCGTGATTTTACGGTAACTATTACCGTAAAAATTAATCCGTAACATGTTTCGGTAAAAATGCATTTTTCGGTAAAAAAAAATACCGGCATCCTCAGTGCCAGTATTTGATCCAGAATTTTTTTACTTTGTCCTCTTGCTGTTTCAACAAATCAAAAGAAAAGCTTAAATTGTTCATAAAATAACTTTTGGTTACAGAGAGTTTCAGAAGCTCTGGTAATGAATATTTCACTGTATTCGTAACTGTCATTTGAAACAGAACATGCATTTACCGTTAAGCCAGCAAAAGAAACTTGAACGTATGGATCAACAAAATCTCTCATTTCTCCTGTGAAAGCCTTTTTAACATTAGCTACAATTCCAGCGTTCATCCGCGGTAGTCCATCAGCCCTGTAGATTTTAACGATGAAGCGTGCATGTTGGCGTTCGGCAGGAACACCCTCAGGAAGTAGCAAATTTCTAAAACAAAATTGTTTGAATCAAAGTAAAAATTAATCTAAGAGCCGAATTTATAATATAACCGAAAATTGTTCTTTTTTCTTTTTCTTTTTTTCAACGCTTCTGTCTAATAAATATATATTCAGTTATATTTCTAACGTTCAAAATCTATTTTGTTCTTCATTCATAAATGCTGAAAATACTTTTTTCCTTGAAAATGTGTTCATGAAACAGATGGCATGGTAAAGAGAGAATAAAGAAAGTTTACTATAATGGAGAATAAATTTTTTGTTTCATTTATCATTATTCATTATTGTTTCATTTTACTTGATTTCACTTAATTCGGATGTAGGGATTACAAATATGAGAATTAGTCTTACTCCTAAAGCTACAGTTTTTTTAAATGACATTTTTAGTTCATATTTTGTTGAAATTTACTAGTTTAAAACGTTATATACACCGAAGAGCCATTACATTATCACCACCCTCCATCTATAACAATGGACTTGCCCATGTTTTCATGGTTTCTCGCCCAGGAACAATGTTTTCATGGGGCACATTAGGAACCATAATCCTCATAGAACAATCCCTGACGTCTGTAAGCTACTTGAACATAGTTGCAGACCAGGTTCACCCATTCATGGCAACANGGGTAGCGTGGAAGCACGAATTTGGTTTTCCAAGTAGGACCACAAGTGCTCTATTGGATTGAGGTCAGGGGAATTTGGGGGCCAAGACATGACTTGAAAGTCACTATAATGTTCCTCGACGATTTGACCCTTATGACATGGTGCATTATCCTGTTGGTAAACACCATTCCCCGCAGGCAAAACTATTGCCATGAATGGGTGAACCTGGTCTGCAACTATGCTCAAGTAGCTTACAGACGTCAGGGATTGTTCTATGAGGATTATGGGTCCTAATGTGCCCCATGAAAACATTGTTCCTGGGTGAGAAACCATGAAAACCTGGGCGAGCCCATTGCTATAGATGGAGGGTGGTCACAATGTAATGGCTCTTCGATGTATATTCAGTTATATTTCTAACGTACAAAATCTATTTTGTTCTCCATTCATAAATGCTGAAAATACTTTTGTCCTTGAAAATGTGTTCATGAAGCAGATGGTTCGGTAATGTTTATTATAATGGAGAATAAATTTTCTGTTTCATTTATATAAATACTTCATTTTACTTAATTTGGATGTAGGGATTACAAATCTGTAATTAATTTTACTCCTACACTCTACATTTTTACTCCTACACTCTACAATTTTTTCTCTACAATTTAACTCTACAATTTTTTCTCTACAATTTAACTCTACAATTTTTGAATGACATTTTTAGTTTAATTTTGTTGAAATTTACTAGTTTAAAAAGTTATATATATCAGCTGATCCCGTAAATATTGCGGCAAACTTCTAGTGGAGAAAAGGTACGTCATCAGGATAAATGCTGTAAGGAACCCACTCCCATAAATGCCATCATACGCAACTTGGGATGCGCTTCTTTGGTATGACGTGTTCAGAAGTACACGAAAAAACAGTTCATAATAAAGGAAGAGCCCCTAGTGACGTATTGGATTCCTATGTAATATTAATCCTGATGAAATAACCTAACTCTCATAGAAGATTGTCACAGCATTTGCGCGACTCTCTGTTATATATAATGTTTTGCTTTTAAACTTGCATATTACGACCAAATATAGGCGAAAAATGCAATTAAAAAAAACCCCTGCAGTTTGTAGAAGGAAACTGACTGCCGATCTGAAATGAGCTATAGGAAAATATCTAAGATCATTTAAAAAAATCTCAAGCAATGGAAAAAAAACTTTCCTCCTCCTCTTTCTTTTTTTTTTTTTTTTTTTTTTTTTTTTTTTTTTTTTTTTTTTTTTTTTTTGAAATAATAATTCTAAATTACTTAAGTTTTAATCACGTTCGTTTGAAGTTATGTTTTAGTTTTTATTCACTAAAATCAACTGAATTTAGTACCATATAATGTTATAATTAATGACGTTTTTGTTTTAAATGGTAGTTAGCATACTTCGGGGTTAATGTAATTATGCACGGATCTCATTTACTTTATTTGCTTATCTACTTAATATACGAGAAAGCCCTCGAATAAATTGTTTCGGTGGTCATTTATAACTATTAAAACATATGAGCTTTAGATGAAGTAAAAGACTTCCAGAAAAGTATAATATGTTCTGAATGAAATATTTTTATTTTTATGCATGCTTTATACAAAACAGTAAGAAAACTAGTGATGAAATAAATTAAGCTTTAAGTGTTTATAATTAACTAAAATATGTGTTATGAAAAACGAATGCCTAATTTTTTAAATATATATTTTTATATTTTTACGTGACTTACATCGTTAATGAAAAAACAATTGCTTGTTTCATTGATAACTATAATGAACTTGCAATATTTTTTTAATGATATTATCTATAAATATGATGGAAAACATAATTTTCTAAAGTAAGTTGTGCTGAGATCAATCAAAACGACCAGAATAGGGCTAGAATGGGGCGACCAGAATAACGACCAGAAGCACTAAACATAAGTTCAGTGCTTCTGGTTTTATGGGAACATCAAAACTCATAATTTTTGAAGAAGTGCTTTGGTATTGACTTATAAAATTAACAATGAAACAATAGTTTTACTGTCATGTGGCTTGGCAGTAAATGCGGTAAATACTGTCGATGGTCATAACATTTTTTAGTTAACATAAATTTAATTTTTTGAAATGTGAACAAATTTCAGTTAAATAGACACAAATGTCATTGGATGAATATTATTGTAACATGAGTCAGAAAAATAAATAAAAAGCAGAAACTTATTTTCCTACTCCTCTATATTATAAAAAAGAAAATTCGGCGTGGCGAACAAAAAATATAAATAACGATTTCAAAATATTTTGTAGAGAGAGATAATGTTTCTCTTTTAAGCATAATACACTACATAGGAAATATTTTTGCTGAAATATGTTTCGAAGCTATTTTTTTTTAAAGAATGTAAAAAAAAGTTTGCAAAAGTATGCATTAAGGTAATTTTATATTCAATTTCGTCCAGTATCTGGTTTTAGCCTGGTAAAATTTGCCTATTCATACCTTTTTTTTGAAAAACTTTTATAAAGAACCGTCAACATAAGTATTATTCCTAAGAAAATGCCTCGCATGGAAATTTTTACATGTATCTGATAATATCCTGATATTATGGTTAAAAAAAATGCAATACCAATATGTTCGTAAATATGATTTATGGAGATGCTGTGTTAATATTTTCTTACGAAAGCTTATAATGACTCTTGTTTGAGATACCATACGATTTTAAACATAAAAAAAGAATATGAATTGATTTGAAAAAAAAAATACTTTGGAGTAACCACTTTCTTTCTAAGCCTCTTTTAAAAATTAAGGGAAAAAATGCAACAAACTAATAAAAGAGTTTTTAAGTTTGTTGATTTAAAGTAAGAGCCTTCTTCAGATGGAACAAAAATTTTACTTCCTCACTGAGAAAATAGTATGGTCAAAATTACCAGAATATGGTAAAATTTAAACCTCGATATGGTGAACCTCGATTCTGGCTCCATGTGGACAACAAATTAGTAATTTTTACCGTAGTGCTTTGGTAAAGATTTCGGTAAAATTAACAATAAAGAATGGCTTTATAATATATGATGATATAATTTGGTAATTTTATTATGATATCTTAGAGCCTGGCATAAAACCGTTTATCCGGTTACCAAATGAATGGTTGAAATGCCGAACATTTTGGTTTTTGATGACAAAATTATGCGTTTTTTTAGTAGAAAATGTCATTACCATAGCACCGCACGTACAACTCGGCAATTTTATCAGAATTTTTTTCACTATGTAGGATACTTATTCGTATAATTTTCCAAAGATTAACTCGGAGAATGCATGTAAATTCCCTTTTTGGTTACGACTAATGAGAAATCATTAAAATAATAAGCAAAAACATGATCTTTTAAAGAATATTAATTTTTAACAACATGAAAACATTTAAGTCAACAATTATTTGTGATTTTACAATAAAAAGAGAAAAATTATTCTTGATTTTAGACTGAAAATAAAATTCATCGGATTATATACTATATATATATATATATATACACACACACAAATAATAATAATAAAATAATAGAAAATAGAAAACCATTAGTGGGAAAAAACCAAAAGTCTTCCTCAGGACACAGCTTTTGGTATAATTTAATGCGATATTTCTGAATACAGAACAATTATTCTAAGATAGAAATTAATCTTTATAATGTGTCGATATCGCTAAAAAATATATATAAATACTACACTGTACATGAACACACACACATATATATATATA